AGAGATGCTTTCGTCATCCCCATCGCCATCACCGTCGCCGTCACCATCAACATCGGCTTCGATATCGTCCGCCTCTCCATTATCATCCTCGGAAGATGGTTCACTTGTAGCATCATCGGCATCGGCGGCCTTGTCGGCACCAGCCATCTTTTGGTCTTGGGCCATTGCGAGTTGGAAGGCCTTGGCAGCCTCTTCCAGGTTGGATGCAAGTTTCCATTGCGGACGAGTTAACGCGAATGTATCGTGAACGCTGAATTCGATATCCATTGGCAGGGAGGGTTTGATAAAGATGTAATACTGGAAAAAGGACAAGAAGTAATCCAACTTCTTACCAGCGGCTCCACGGTTAAAGAAGACGCCGCATGTCTCCAGCATTACAGATGTTAAACGAATACGGAAGTAATCGTCAGGTAGATCGAATGGATTGAACCGACCGGGAACTGGTGGACCACCTACACCATACATGAGCAAATCAAGTTCAAGGCTGCATACACAAGGACATCAAGACGTACCGTATCCGAAGGTGAGGATTTTGTACATGATGTCAAAAATGACAGGGTGTTCCAGGAGGCGATAGTTATAAAGTTCGCCCAAATACTTAACCTCTGCGATACGACGCTGGTAGAATCTGAAATCGTTCTGCTCTAGCCCCAAGTTGATCGACTCAATGACATTATCGATCACCCTCACTACAAAAGCGGGATGATATCGATACAGCGCACCGAGGATGACACCGAGAAGATGAATGTTCCCGTACTTCATCTTGCCAGGTTTCGAAAAGACTTTCTCAAGAATCGCGACGACCTAATTCTCAGAATGGTCAGGCTCAGTCTCACATAGAGCAAATTCTCAACTAACTAGGGAGTGGAAATTTCGTGAAGAAATGGAGTTGTTACAACTTACCTCGGTCTCCTCCCAGTGGAGTCTCCGGATTTGCTTCAGGATTTGACTATAGTTTCGCTTAGACATATCTACATAGACCAACTTCCGGATGAAGAGCTCCATCGGGGTCCTCTCTTTGATCTCGACGGCTGGTCTCTCTGGTGGGTCGACATAGTACACCGCATTGTCAATGAGCATCCGCTCTGGCTGACCGATATGCTGAACCGACTTTTTTCGTTGGAGGGTTTCCAAGAAACTAGCCATGCGAGGTGATGTCTCGGGGGTCCTGAGGAGATACCGGCCACAGTTCTCTATCAAATTGCAGAGAATTTCGATATTCATTCGAGAAAAGTCGTCCAAGCTGACTTTGAGACAGTGAAACACAACATGTTCTGGGACAACTCCAAACTTCGTCAGCTCAGCTAGATATCGAATATTGCTGAGGCGAACCTGGCCCAAGAAATCCTTCTCTTTTCGTCGTTGCAGGCTTCGGAATTCAGCGTCCAGGTAGTCCACGAGTCCTTTGGGGACGTCAGGCATGTATCTTCCTAGCGTAGCAACCAGCCGAGCCCAACAAGGGAGCAAATCGGTACGGCCTTTGGGGACGTCTGTCAATGCCTTGACAAGTCGGTTTCGGGATGCCTTGGAATTGAGGAAGCAGAAATCGATGGCCGTCTGATCAATGATCTCCTTAGACGTAAGGTCGGGTAACCTGGAAAGAAGGGCGTCCACCTGCGCTCCGATGGTCTTGTTCGCAATCGCTGTAGACTGATCATCCGCAGTATTATCAATTGGCTTGGCAGACTCCGTTGATTCCACCACATCAGTCTTCTTGCCAGACTGCTCGTCTGCATCTGTCTTCTTCTTTTTGCCGTCCTCCAGAAGGATGTCGGGTACCTTGCCCTTGATGTCTACAAGGTTCTCGTAGAATCGACGTTCGTCCTCATCCTCCCATATCCCAGCACCTTCGCCAAATGATCGAATATATTCTCCTGTCTTGACCAATCCAATGGAATTGCTCGACGCGGCGAGCGGATCTTCAGAGTCCTTCAAATCGGGCATTTCCGCTCCGATAGCATCGGCAACAACCTGTGCGTTAGAAACCAGTCGTTCTTGCGCCTTCACTTGCTTCTCATAGTTGGATTGGCGGTCTTCGAAAACCTCTCCCGACTTTACATATGCTTCAGCATTCCGACGTGCCTGAGACTGGATCGACTTTTGGTCTTTGATGATGTGATTTTTTACATCTTCAAAGTACTTCTTCAGAATTGTCTTGAATCGTTCTTGGAGCTCCAGGGTGGTAAATGGCTGATCGGAATTACCAGACGGTTGAGTGTCGCTTTCAGTATGGTCGTCCTTTTCCTTGGTCGCAGCTTGCTCCTCTGTTGATGTTGTCGCGCCATCTTCCTCGACGGTTTTGCGGCCTTCAGATCCTGCGGGCTGCACACCCAAGATATCCCAACTAAATGCTTTGACGAAAATGACCAGCAGGGGAAGATTTACATGTTCGCGATCATAGCCAAGCAAGTCCTTCAAGACCTCAAGGGGGAAAGGCTCGGTAGCTACCCCATTCTTATTCGGGTTGCTGCTTCGGACTTTTATCTCGGTGGCCTTGCCTGCAGCTGCCTTAGTCGCATCATCGGGCTTCGTTGCATCGTCCAGTGTGCGCAAAACTCCAACCAACCACAGTTCGGTTACAACCCGAAGCAAGGCTCGTTGTCGGGTAATGCGTTCCTTCTCCTCCTTCTCGCGGGCGTCCGGGGCAAGTGTTTTGAGAAAACTCTTGTCGGGCGTCGCCATGCCTTTGCCCAACAGCCATGCCAAGTATTCAGTGAACTCACCGGGGCCGAAACGTTGGTGTAGAGCGCTAACAATCTCCACGCCTGCTTCAACCTCGCCGGGAGACTTGAGCTTGCAGAGGCCTTCGTAGCATGCGGATATAATTTCAGACAAGTACTTGTGCAGACTGAGGGTGCGGATCTCTTGGAGGAAGGTGCTAAGAGTGGCGGCGGTGACGGCGGTTCGCAGACGTTTAATGAAGGCGGTGTTCTTCTTCAAGGACGAATCGAGTGTCCCATTCACAGAGAAGACATCTAAAAAGGGGGGGGAGGAGTCAGAGGACATCTGAAAAGCGTCTGCGACATTGGGGAGGCGGATCCCCAGACGCTCGAGGCAGGGTAGGGCTTACCAGTATCGCCGTCCCAGGCCCTCTCATTTTGAGCACGCAGCTCGCCTACCTAATCGTTAGATGGGTATATCAATGGCTAAACAAACACGAGCGCCTCACGCTTTCTTGCGCGATCCATAACGAATCGGTATCTAAGGGATTGGGTGTAATCAGTCGAGCGTAAAATGGGCCTACATCCGGTCGCTTCAGAGATATGCTAAGGGATGTATTGGCCCAAGAAGTGGTACTGCGGTCGGGCTAGATGAGCCGGCATCGGTGCTTCCGAGGGAGAGCAGAGCGCTGGAGATGCAGTGCCGCAGAAGTTCGCATACGCTGGGGTCGTTTCTCGGTGCCAAGATCGGTTGGTGAGAGGCGGGCAGGGTTGGTGGTGAAGAGAGAAAAGCGACGAGGTACTGCCTACAATTGAAGATCCTCCACAGTGGGAGTGGGAATAATTACGGCCTCTGCGGATTAGAACCTTCCTTGCCCAACTCACCGTGTTACCCTGCAGAGGGGCAACATTTGTGGATTTGGTCCTTTGCATCATCGCCCAAGTACCCAGTATATTCTACAGCCCCAAGGCCTAGGCGTCCAAAGCAGCAAGCAAGAACAAAGTTACATTCAGCTGCCGCAATTTCAGATATTCATCCCCCTTTTCTACCAGAATCATAAAGCGTTTCATGCTGATCCATCTTTTCTTTCTTTCTTCGGTTTTCCAAAGAAACACAATTGTCTTAATCGCCACTAAACACTGCTATAGTAAACTAAATCTCCTCTCTTGATCGCATGATAGGCATACGGCCAATTTGGAACTTTTCTTGAATGGGGGGTTATCAATATATCGAAGCTAGTTTTTTTTTTTAGGTTTTTTTTTTTTTTTTTTAAAAAAGAAAAAAAAAAGAAAAGAAAAGGGCAGACTCGCTGGGCTTGCTGTCTCATAAGCCTTTGTGGGAGTCTAGGCCACTTTCTTGGTGGTTGAACATTGAAGCATACCCGTTTGGTCCAAGGTCGTAAGACCTTATACTATCGCTTGGAAAACTCTATCAGTTAGTTTTCAGAGCTAGACGTTCTACTTCCAAGGAATGATGAATACACGGCGAAGGGATGGATAGATAGCGATGTATTTTACAGCTTTGAATGCCGAGTAAGCCTTGGGCATAATATCTGGCCAGCATTCCAAAGGAGATTATAAGTCAAACGTGAACGATGACTGCAGCAGCAGCTGTAGTTAGACTCATCGTCAGGCCAGTAAGCGAGATCGATCAAGGCCTACACTGGCCTAATTTTGAATTAGCTTCTGAATAGGTAGATGTGGCCGCTTCGTTAGTTGTGTGATACGATCTTCATCTTCTTCAAACGCGAACTAGACCTCACTCTGGCATAGAACCGAGATCTATGACCTACCGTTCCTAGGTATGTCGCAGCTGCTGCGATGGGGTGTAGCCGTAGCCGTTGCTCGTATGAAATTGTAGCAGCTATAGCCGCTGCTGGCTGTAGCCACCATCCTAGTCTGTACCAGGTAGGGTAATTTCTTACTTGGGGAAGGAAAAAAAAAAGGGTCCTGGCCAGGGTCCCTACCTATCTCTATACCTACTTAAGGTAAGGTATTTAAAATAGCTCTACAGCGAGGTTTAAAGCCACAGGAACGACGTCTTGCGCTTCGTGTCATTGACCCCTCGCAGGTAAATGCTCGGAGAATTACTGGATAAAGAACGGGAGCAAAAGATCCGCTGTCTGCCCTGCAGCTCGATCTTACCCCACATCTGAGTCACAGCTTGCACCATCCTGAAGCTGCCCACACATGAGGATTCCATCATCACCATCCCCCGCAACCTGAATGGTAATCAGAGCGAGCGCGTTCAGAGGTGTGTACCCTCCTACGCTCGTCTCCCGCCTATTGCCCCCCATTCTACGACGCTCACGATCAACAATTACGGCGCGTCAATTCAAAATGGGTCAACCATCCGAAAGTTCGCAGCCGGTCCTTCGAATACTCAACAGCCTTGGTGGACAGAAGACCGTCTTCACCCCAATCGACCCCGAAAAGAAGCGCATTACTTGGTACACATGTGGCCCGACCTGCTACGACGACGCCCATCAGGGCCACGGGAGAAATGCCGTTTCACTTGACATTCTTCGTCGGATCCTGAAAGACTACTTCGGCTATTCGGTCAAGTTTGTGATGAATATCACGGATGTGGATGACAAGATTATTCTAAAGAGCCGGTATCTACATCTCGGGGAAAACTTTCTAAATGAGCTCAAAAGTCAAGAAGGAAGCAAGGCCAAGGCTGATGCCCTCAGCGTTGGCAAGCAAGGCCTACGATTTTACATTGCAAAGAACCTGCCTCTCTTGTCGCCTGACACTTCGCCAGAGAACTACGATGTGGAAGTCAAGAAGGCATACAGCAATATTGTCGACAAGGAGGTGACAGAAGAACAGGATGCCAAGCTCAAGATGCACATCCGCAATGGCCAACAAGCCGCAGGTGCCTTGCTGCGCCTAGAAAAGGCAACAGACTCCGCGCCGCTGTCCGACTTTTTTGATAATGCGAAGGATGTTCTACACCCGTATCTGGACAGCCTCCACGGCGCCACAATCGACAGCAAAGACCATGATCTTTTCAGCGCAGTTGCCCGCAAATACGAGGAGCGCTATTTTGAGGATATGCACGCATTGAACGTCCTTGATCCAGACGTTCTCACGCGCGCCACCGAGTACATTCCCCAGATGATAGCCTTCATTCAGCGCATAGTCGACAAGGGCTTTGCCTATCCAACTGACGATGGATCCGTCTACTTTGATATCTCGGCCTTCGAAGCTGCTGGCCACAGCTATTCTGTATTAGAGCCGTGGAATCGCAACAACGCGGCGCTCCGGGCAGACGGCGAGGGGTCGCTGGCGAACAAGGCCGTGGCCAAGCGCAACGATGCCGACTTTGCCCTTTGGAAAGCAAGTCGACCTGGAGAACCTGCCTGGCCGAGTCCGTGGAACGAAAATGGTGGAAGACCTGGCTGGCACATCGAGTGTAGCTGCATGGCGTCTGACGTGCTGGGCGGTGCTATAGATCTTCACTCTGGCGGAGAAGATTTACGCTGGCCACATCACGATAATGAAGTGAGGTTCTCAGTTTTCTCTGAAGAGACTAGACTAACTATGAGAATAGATCGCTCAATCGGTCGCATACTGGTCTGACAATGGCAAATCGGCGCCCTGGGTCAATTATTGGCTCCACACCGGCCATCTCGGCATGAAAGGCTTAAAGATGAGCAAAAGTCTGAAGAATTTCATCACAATCCGCGATGCACTTAAACAACCGGGATGGAACTCCCGTTCGCTGCGAATCTGCTTCCTTCAAGGAGCCTGGCACAACAAGATTGAGATTACCGAGACCACCCTCAGTTCGGCGGCAGCATGGGAATCCAAATTAAATAACTTTTTCTTGCAAGCCCTGGACGTTGGGAGATCATTGGATGACTTGCCAAAGACATTGGACAGCCTTCGTGATGAAGAATTGAAGTTTGAAGCTCTTGAGAAAGCAAAAACTGGCCTGCACGAGGCACTTTGCGATTCTTTCGACACTCCAGCAGCTATGAGAATCGTCTCGGATTTTATAAGCGAATGCAACGTCATGGAGCTCTCAAGCTCGGCATTGCTCTCTGGTGCCAGATGGGTTAACCGCATTGCCACTATCTTCGGCCTCAACCCGCAAGGTGAGGCAGCCGTGCTAGCGCAGGGTGACTCCAATGGGTCCCACGAACAACAACAGGCTTTGCCGAGCTACCATTCTCAGATTATCGCCTGGCACGGCGTCGAGATTCCAGCCGCTGCCCAGCAGCCCATCTATACTGCTTCCAAGCTCCGAGACGACGTAAGACAGCAGGTCCTCTCCGACCCAGGCCACATTGATTACGCCAAATTGACAGAGCTGGTAAATGGTGCCTCTCTTGGCACTCAATCGAGCACTGCAGCAGATTCCGATAACCGGTATCAAGCAGTGGCGACGCAATTCCGCGATGACATCCAACATCTGACAAAGGAGAGCGCGCCTGCCAAGGACATCCTTGGCCTCTGCGATGCTTTCCGCGATGTCCACCTCTACTCTCTTGATATCTACCTCGAAGACCGCGCAAGTGGTCCTGCGCTCGTCCGACCGTTGGATCAATCGATCCGAAAAGCGCTGGAAGAGAAGCGTGCCGCTGTCGAAGCGGCTCAATCAGAGAAGGCAGCCCGCAAAGCCGAAGAGGAGGAGAAGCGACGAGAGAAGGACCGTCAGGCGAGCATCAATCCGCGTGATATGTTCAGAAATGAAAATTACTCGGAGTGGGATGAGCAGGGTCTTCCGACCAAGGACGCAAAGGGGGAGGAAGTAACGAAAAGTGCAAAGAAAAAGTTGGTCAAACTTTACGAGAGACAACAAAAGCTATATAAAGAATGGCAAGACAGGCAGTAGTTAGAAAATAAAGTGGCAAACTAAGAGTCAGACTACTAGACAATACTGCTTCGGACCGTATCAATTCGAGTTTATCAAGCAACTACCTCCTCGTGACTCGCCCTACTTACCTTACGTGGCCATTGAAGCAAGCCCGCTTGTTTGACATGCTATATGTCACTTTAAAAGATGCTCAATACGTGTGTTGAATAGGCTCAGTGACTTACGTCTGGCAAACAATTAACCTACATACATCCTTCTCCTAGCTGCTAGTTGTGTAGGTCCCGATTCCCGCTCATGGCAAGAGTTACGTCGCGCAAATCTGACAGAAGTTGATGGGAAGGATGAGGCAATGCTATCAGTGGACGGCTGTCGAGCCTCCAGTTGAAGAGGGCGGCAAAAGCCATGCAACACCTAAGTATCACGGACGGAACCTTGGCAGGAGATGAACAAAATTAAAGAGCAGGTACGTCAAATTATGTGATGGAATCATCCAACGAGAACTCAAACGAAGACACTTCGAGAGGTTTCAGGAATAAAATGCTTTCTCAAACTAAACTCCTTGTCCAGCGTGGTTCGTCTCCCCCATCCCAATTTGCTCATGTCACGTCAAAGCATTTCAAAGAGTACATCCCTCGATTCAACATCGCTTCCAGGGACAATGCCAAGCATCCTTTTCCTCAGTGGTGGGTGCTCACAGGGTTGGGGTAGTGCCATGCCGACACAGCAATAGCGACGTAAAGCGTCACGCAGAGGAACCCTTCGAGGTAGTCGCTCTTCTGGTCCTGCAAGAACCTTCCCACCGTGAGGATGGCGAGAATCAGCATGGCCAGGTTGAAGACTTCGAACTGCAAGTCCATGGATCTGTTCAAGCCCCAGCCGATAATGACAACCAAGGGCCCATTGAAGAGCGTGGTCTGGATTGTAGCGCCCAGGACATGAGACAAGGCAAAGTTCATCTGGTTATCCCACGCTTCATCTATGGCAGTCAGATGCTCGGCAAACTTTTCCACGAGAGGGACCAATATCAGGCCCATGAATGGGTCAGAGACGCTCGATTCCGTGATGACATAGTGGATTTCGAGAACGAGATTGATGGAAATCACAGTGACCAGCGCAAGGGATATGGTTAGAGATATTATGCACTCCGTGAGAGTGAGCTTATCCTTGGCCATGTCTTTGGCTTTGTCGGCGTCGCGGTGCTCGTCGTACTCGAAGATGGCATCGTAAATTCCATGGTGCGTGCGGACTTGGAAATATACGAAAACAGCGTAGGCTATGATCAGCAAGACGGCAATAATCCGCGAGATGTTCAAGGTGTCAGTGTTCAGGTGCTCTTCGTCAAGACCGTATTCGGTCAAGCCGAGTCTGAAGAGCGTAGGGACAGACAACACAGCGCCACTATGGACCAACGCCAGTCATGTCAGTAAATGGAAGCAAGAGGCTCGATTGGGAGCTCTGAGTACTACGTACGCAGTAAGGAGCAAGCCGCTACCTGTTTCGCTAATGGCATCACTGAAGGTTTGTTCGGTTCGCTTGAGACCTCCGACAAAGAAGCAGAAACCGAGGCACAGGAGCATGGTTGCCAAGATGGAACCCAGAATGGCAGCTTTGATAACGTAGAATTGATTTTCGACCAAGAGCACGACGAAAAGGATGATCTCGACAACCGAACCAAAACTTGAGATTTCTGATTAGCCTTGTGCGGATGATTTGAGGGTAGACGAGGAAGCGGAGAGGAACATACGTGATTTCGGTAAGTACGCCAAACACATGGGGCATCTTTTGCGCAAGCTCCTGTCCGGCAAAACCTACGAGATTTGCACAGGGGACCATGGCAACGTACAAGAGCGCGAACTTGAGAAGGTGGTTCCCCTCCAGGCTGTCTGCATTCAGGTCAGGAAAGGAACTGTTCACATCCAGGACAACAAGACCTACATCGCACCGCCAGGGCGGCTGGAACGAAAGGCCAGAGCAGATTGCATAGTGTGCTGGCTTTGCTCGCAGATCGGAAGCAGATGCGAAGGAAATGCCATGGGTGAAGACCCCGGCGACCGCTCTCGCCCCTGGGGTTCAGCTTCATCGGACCTTTCTCACTGAGTTGCTTGTTTTGCTTGTACTGGTTGAAGGTGTTTGGTGCCGGGAGGACTGAAGCAGTCTTTCCATTGCTCTCTGGACTCCCTTCTGGCCCTCTGTGTTCGGCGCTGGGTCGTGGTGAGTACTTGCTCACATACGGCGAGTGAGTTCGCCCGGCCATGATGAATAGAATGAATTGGTTGCCTAGGGGCGCAGGCGGCTTAACCCTATGCCAGCGAGTAGGTGGTGTACGTGTGAAACGAGTGAATGTGAGAGGTACAGAACAAAAGTGAGAAGCGCTTGAGAGAAGGACGAGATATGAAGAAGGTCACCTCCCTCGTTGGACACACGACGCCTGCCCAGAATCAGGAATTATATGTGCAAGAACGACACATTAGGGGGAACACAAAGCTAATAATATTGATGGGCGTCAAGAGCAACAAATATACCTAGAAGGATCAATTATTCCTTGAATCAGTCGCTCAGCTCAGACCAAACAGGCCGGTTGCACGATGGGGGCCAATCAGGCCCATCACCCTTGATCAGGGATGTGGGCAAGGTCGGCAAGATACGTGGCGGGTGTCGCATCCATCCACTCCACCAGCAGCCCGTTGATGGCATCTAATTATGTCACAGGCAGGCCTCCGGAAAGTGGGTGGCGGCGATGAGTCGGCTCATTGAAACCGCCGTGCAACCAAGCCGGCATGACAGCATGGTACCAAGGCCAGTCGGTTTGATGACCCTTATGCGCGGACAAGCTGAAAACTGAAACAGGGCACAGTCCTGCTGACAGCTGATGGCCAGCAACACGCTCTACTCTACCCTCGATGGACGCATCCCAATGTTATTTGATGCATGAAACAAGATTGGAAGGCCTCCAATGTGGGCGGGAGCTGCCGTAGCTACGTAATATCGCGGGCGCTATCTTTGGTGCAATCCCACATTACATTGATGCTTGCTGCAGGGGGCCTTAATGTAAGCCTGCCTGCGTGGGGATTAATTGCCAGGGATGGGGATGGGGTAAGGGAGGGAGGGGCCTCTTGTGAGTCGTGCCAAGTACATATCCGTCCAGGAGATTAATTCCACCGATTGGTTGGTTGGGCGCCTACGTATATTATTGACATGTATCCTTCCATATTTCTTGACTGGACAGAAACCCAGCGTCAGGGCAAAAAACCAATGAGCATGCTCGCTGTTGTCACGCAGAACATTACAGCCGCTGTCAGGAACCCAAAACAACCCAGTAAGCGTAATGTGGACATTACAAAGTAAGATGTATACACCTCTATGTTATATTATGATCACGGAGGTCAGCGAGGTAGCGATATCAAGGGGTGAGATGCTCAGCCCTCGTATCTCATACTGACCGAAGTGCTTTTCACACCTAATCCTCCTCCTCCTCCTTTATCGTAACCACTTCAGGCGGAGGGTGCCCTCTGAATGGCACAGGCTCGGCCGTCACAACCGTCTCAATCCCGATCGGCGAATAGTCCTCGGGCCCCAATGGCAGCTCCTCGATATCAATCTTGATACCCAACAAGCTTTTCAGTACTACTTGACTGCCAGCCTTGCTCATCACCTCGTTTGACTCCTTGCATAGCTCGGAAGCCACACACTCTATGCAGCCACGCTGGCACTGGCACTCCTCAACCCTCTTCAGTGCGCCCCTCAGTAGATGCTCAATATGATCAAACGCTTTAGTGTTGATCCCCGACCCTCCTGCACCGCCCTTGGCGTCATAGAATGTCAACCGCGCAGGTCGCTTGCGCTGGGTCTCTTTTTTTGCAAACTCCTTGAGAGCGACTTTGCATTCCGTGCGGACATCGCCGGGCATGCTGACGACATAAGTCGGCAACAAGCTCATCATAGCATGCTCAGCTGCGTGAATGGCCGCTGCAGAATTCAATCGTCGTTCTTGTAGAATGTCCAGTGCCACCTTGGGCACATCAAGCCATACTCCCTTGCTATACCTGATCACGGGTGGATTGTCCACTTGAATCGCATCAAGGACACGTCCATTCCTATCCACCTTGAAAAAGCCGAATACGTTCTGTTGAATCTTGATCTTCCCATAATATGCGTGGTATGGTGACCCGGATATTCGGGAAATCGCTTCTGTCTCAGTAGGATCAATGTCTGTAAAGTCCCGCTGCGTAGTTGTCCAGTCTACCTTGACCTTTTCGACCTTGGCCATGTGCTTGTCAGGTAAGAAGTCCCGTACAAGATAAGTGTTTCCCTGGTGAAGGAAAATGGCACCATCGTAGATAGTAAATGTAGCTCTCGACGCCTCCAGTTCTTCCAAGACTGTGTTTTTTCCGTTTGTTATGTCGATGATTGCAAAGTGTTCGTCTTCTGTATCTCGAATAGCCACAAACTTGGACGGGACGGGACGGAACCGATCGTGGCAGTGAAAATATCCAGTCTCATCCTCGACGAGTCTTTCTTTACATATCTGCGGGAGGTCTTCGCCAAAGTACCGTCGGTCTTCCATTGGTCGAAGGGGCATCTCATATGCCGCGCACTGGATGTGCCCTTCCCGAACCAACATGTTCTCCAAATCAACTTGCAGAGCGCAATTTGGTTTTGTGAATAGCTCGTCTGGGTTTTGCATGTAATGCTGGTCTGTAGGAAAGCTGTCACCCACCAGAATCGATACCGAGTCTTTGTTACGTCGCCCAGCCCGGCCGCTCTGCTGTCGTAGATTTGCAATTGTATATGGGAATCCCCAGGTCATGACACAATCTAGAGAGCCAATGTCGATTCCAAGCTCCAGAGCAGTGGTTGATACAATCCCAAGCAGCTTCCCTTCGAACATTTCGCTCTCAATTCTTCGTCGGTCTGCTGCTGTGTAGCCTCCTCGATACCCCATGACAAGATTGACACACTCTGGCCGGCCCATGAGCTGCAACTCGTGTTTAATGGCATTGACCAACTTCTCACACTGATGCCGCACCCTGCAAAAGGCGATTATACGAACCCCTCGCAGCATAAGGGCACAGAAAAGGCGAGCACACTCAAACTTAGCGCTCCCCCGGCCACTCGCCGGGTCTCCGGGATCCCTATATGGGGTGTTCCAGCATACGAACTCTTTCCGGCCGGAAGGTGACCCGTCAAAGTCAATCAAGCGTACATCCTGGATGCCAAATATCGTGCTGAAATGTTCTTTCGGGTTTGCTACAGTCGCAGAGCAACTCACGAATTTGATCTTACGGTTCCCCAACGCTGTGCAAATTCGTTGCAGTCTTCGCATAATGAATGCAACATGTGACCCCATCTGCCCATTATAGTAGTGCAGCTCATCGACTGGAGTTCATTAAATCAGCAGGTGGAAGGGGCCAAGGAGACGAGACACTATCGAGATGCTCACTTACCCACGACGAATTTCAGATTCTGCAAAAATATCCTCCACTTCTCTTCCTGTGGCAGAATAGTAATATGAAGCATGTCTGGGTTGGTAAAGATGATTCTGGCCTCTTCGCGAATAGTCCTACGCTCAGACATCGCCGTGTCCCCGTCAAAGGTTTCAACAAGAGTTTCTTCGAGGCCCGGCATGTACGACATAACTTCCTTCAGACTTCGCTTCTGATCCTGAGCTAAAGCCTTGGTAGGGAAAATGTACATTGCACGCGCATGAGGGTCTCTCTCCAAAGCATGGATAATCGGCAACTGGTAAATCAAAGACTTTCCGGAACTTGTCGACGTTGACACCACAACATTGTGGCCATCGGAAAGGCTGTTGAGCGCCTCAGCTTGGTGAGCATAGAACTTGGTTATCCCCTTCGTATTGTAAAGTGCATTCACCAAATCCTGGCTGAGGAGAAAGTTGAGATCTCCGTACACAGGTTCTTGTTCCTCGAAAACGCGATGTCCATCCGGGACAATTTGGCCAGTGTACCACAAGCTCTGTTTGAGCTCTTCTAGTATTTCCGGTATAGGTTTTCTTTCCTTGGGAATATGATCTGGAATGTCAGAAGCAACCAGGGCTGCTTGATCATCAACTGGTGATGATGATGATGCAACGGGAATATACTGCTTCGTGCGCTCTGCCAACACAATATCTGGGTCAACCATATCCTCCTCGCACTTGTTGAGAAAATTGCTTATCGCATTGGAAAATTTTTGGTTCCGTCGCTCAATAAGCTGCAACATCTGTTTCTGACTGAACACAGGCATCTTGAGCTCTTCGTCTCGTAATTTGCGAGTTGCTTTGGTTGGCTCCCCAGTCTTCGGGTCCATGACCTGGCGCTTCAATTCGCCATCAATGAACTCGAAGAAGAGAACTTCTTTCCCGCTCGGCGCAATCTGCCGTTCATGATATGTATCAAGGGTCTCCTTGCCCGACCAACCCCCAACAGAGGAGTCATGTGCGGGGACCTGAGTGCGGCTTGACTTTGAAGACTTGAAAGTATCATCTCTCTCCGACCCTTTCACATCTAGTTCAAGCATAACTTCATCCACATAGGCAAATTTGATTCCTTCTGGTCGTAAGGCAACAATTGACGCCACCTCTTCGATTTTCAGTGGTCGTTTGATATGGCTCTCCACAGCAGTTCTAATCGTATCAAAAGTGGTAGCCAAATGCTTCCGCGTGCAACAGAACGTGAAGACTAGATTTAGAGCACGATGAGTCTCATTAAGGGCGGTGAATGACGAGGGCCATTCGATCCTACACTCAACAACTTCAGTCGTTGTCTGTTTCAGGCTTGGTCGAGGTCTTGACTTGGCTCGCTTACTGCCAGTAGACGACGAAGACTGGTCTTCCGAATCTAGACCTGGGCTTTTTCCAGTTTTTCTGACCTTTGATGCCCCTAGAGGAGCTCCATTCTTCTCCTTTTGTTTGCGCTTCCCTGTCTGTGTCCCAGCGGAACCTTCAGGGAGGCCTTCTGAACCAGGCAGCTGTCGCGGCATATTCATTGAACGAGCTCGCGTCCATGTAAGTTTAGACAATGACTTGTAGAAGAGCCGGTAGAGAATAGAATTATGTCTTTATCGATGAGACGCCTTCCTACCTACGAGGTAGGTACGTAGCTCTTCACGCATCAAGACTTGAGCTAAGGCCTCGAGTCACGATACTGACGCCACATCACGTGATCAAACTGACATACCATCATCATTGATCCCATCTTACCTACAAAGTGGTTAGTACTATCTTGCTGGTATTTCGACAGCACGATACTGGCGTTTGCAATTACAGGAGGCTACAGAGCGCCGGAGATGGCTTGCACAGATGGCGACGCTGTGAAGCGTCTTGCTTGGCGGCCAGACGACTTGAATCAGTCAATGTTGTCGTTTGTTCGCATGCCAACGCCTCCCCTTATCAATGTTGCCAGCCGAACTCCTGCATTCGGAAGTCTTGATAGACTTCCGCAAGAAATTCTACATATGATTCTCAATCTTTTGGACTTGCAAACACTTTCTCGCATGACACAGACGTGTTTCTCCGGTTTGTCTGTTATCCAGTCCATGACAACATACCGAGAACTGCTGGAGCATGCGACATCCACAATCGCCGCACTTGGTCAGACGAAGCTCCTGGGCGCTCATACACTAGCTCAGCTTTGGGGGGCTCTGAGGTCGGACCGCTGCGAATGTTGTCCATATTACGGCGCGTTTCTATTCCTCCCAACCTGCATGAGATGCTGCTGGGAGTGCTTGAGGCTCAAACCTTCACTACGAGTAATTTCTTTGCAACAAGCGAGAACTTATTTCGGTCTAAAGAAGAGCCATGTTCAACGACTTCCCGCCCTGCATCCTATACCTGGCAACTATATGTTTTCGCATACCGTTAAAGTACCACCTCAACTTGTTAGCGCAGTTGCAGCAAAAGAGCTTGGTATATCAGTGCACGGTTCATCCGAAAGCCTCGAAGACAGTCTGTTGAGGAGATTAAAGTCAAAATCATCCAGAGTCATTGGGAAGTTTTACCAAAGAGCGTCCATGACCCCCTTAAAGGAGGATTTATTGGCGAGACCAGGCCAGGGAAATATCCCAGCATCAGAGTGTTTCGGCATGGCATCGACACCATTCCCATGCCTCCAACCTTCAGGCAGTATTGAAAATGGGCTTTGGTGCAAAGGCTGTCAGTTGATAGCCGAACTTTATCGTGCGAGCAAGTTGGATCCTACTACTCTTGCGAGGATTGTTCCATATAATTGGGAGCCCGACCGCGTGCTACATGGGATGTCCAGGAGAGCCAGATCTAAGGCAGAATTCTTGGATCATACAAAGGGTTGCTATGGGGTACGGCGGCTTAATTCAGATGCTGCAAGTGATGTTTGACTATACTATACGTAGATGTGACAAGTAGACCGTATAGGTTACATCGCAAGTCTTCTCGTAACCGCTCAATTGTGTCGCTGTTTATCTGAGTCCCTCACAGCTTTCAAACGCTGGCTATGGAGGGATATAATTACCAGTTTCTGGTTGAAGAGGGGAACAGGCTGCTGATGGTTGCGGACATCTGCTATTGACCCCTCGGCTGCCTTTTCAAGTTGATGTTTCTGCCTCAACCTCACTATTACTCTCCATGCGACGACCTGAAAAGGGCAACATCTTAAATTCCGCGAAATTCCGCAACTCACCTAGATAATTACGCCCAAAGAAAGGATTGAAATCCTTAACCAGGAGATTGATGGTGAGAATGGCCCAGACCAGATTCGCGCCGGGGAAAGAGTTCACTATCTCACCATGTCGACAAACTTTTCGACGAAGATACCATGGACAGACCCTACCTACTTATTCCCCAACTGCCAGGTTTTCCGTACTATGACTGACCCAAGATCCGGGTTACTCGAAAGACCGCAACAGCACAGTCCAGGGCACACTATCATCCGGCCTGTTGCGTGGCGCCGAAGACTTAGCACTCACAGTACACCCATAGATCGTATTCATTCATATGTAGGTAGCCATAGATAGTACCGTCCAGTGCCTATTGAAGTGATAGATCTAAGACCAGGCACTCCAATTCCAGACAATGAAGCAATCGCAATCATATAGCTAGGGATATTTGATGATAATGAGGGCTTCCAAACTAGTGAAACTGGCCATGTTGTAACCTAAGATAAACCTAGGTTGCCCTTCTCTGGATGTTTTTGCATAGGTACTCGAAGCTCTCTAGCACACTCGAGCTTCATAAAAACACACTTGACACCTTCCACGACAGCCTGAAATTTAAGCTTGCCTTCTCTAGTGCACTGGTCAATTTTTGAGTCGGCTTAGATATCCAGAAATGTTTTTATAATCAACCTACCTAAGAACAGCAACTAGCTTATAAATAACTTGTATATAGGTGTTTGGTAACAAGCCGGACCTTAAAGTTTAGGACCTCTATATAAATAAGACCCTCTTGTAGATCCAGGATAGAGTCTTTAATAAGCTGAGATAGAGACTTATTATTATTATTATTACTATCCTTAAATTCAAAGGCTCTACACTCAGGATTCTATAACAACCTATACCCTCCAGGTATTACTTAATACCTGTAGGGTATTATTACTTGGATATTATTACCTACTGCTCCCTCTTTACCATTAAGAATAATATAGAGTATTCTTATTAAATAAAAACACTCTATAAGGCCCTGTAGTAGTACAGATAATCCACTCCGAATAAGAGTCTCTGATATAGCAAGTTATTTAATTTGCCTATATATCTCCATCTCACGGCCGATCGGACTCTGATCAACAGGTTCATATAGAAACTCGTTCCATCGATCAGGCGGAATATATAAGGTATCGCAACTGATATTAAATAGACATCTGAAAACTGGGGATATGGTATTATTCGGAAATTCCAACTCAATGGATTCCGCACGAACCCAAGAAAGAGCTACCCCGCGAGCTTCACGATTAACAAAGCCAGCCAGGAGCTTAGGGCAGAAAACATAAGACCAATTCGTAATCTCGCGCTGATTGTTATATCTCTCATCTGATTCCAGTATAGGCTGGGCAGACCAGCACCCCCGCTTAAAGATATATAGCAAGTTGGTAGTTATTCCTGGAAGAGCATAGCCCCATATCTTTAATCGTAATTCAAGGGGGAGGTTGGAAAAGATCAGAAACTTCAAAATGACAGTTATAGCTCAATGAATTTAGTACTTCTAGAGCAAATAATAGAGGAGGGGCAAAGAGAGAGGGGCAGAAGGCAGAGGGGCAATTTCTTATCAATAAACCTGCAGTAGATTTATTTATGTTAGGACCAGAGTTTATATTAAGAAAAGTATATGTCGGGATGAAAGAGACCAACAGTCTCTTCTCATAGTGCGGTGTATGGAATAAAGCTCTTTTAGGAACCCAGGGCCTATGGCGGGACATCAAGGCAATGTCAAGGAGTTATTTGGCTGCTGTATCATGTTCCATGCCACATCTGGCATGCAGTGTATCGCCTCCAGCTCGAACAAATCGATACGTCCACTTGGAAAGGTTGAAAAATAAATATTGATTTGATACTCTGTATTCTAACCTGATATATAGGTGGCTGGTCCGGGTCACCGCCATTATCAACCTCCCAGGCACACAACGTGTTGCTCTACTCTACTTTCCATTGCCCAAACCCAGAATGAACAGTCCCATTTACGAGGAACAATTCGAAAACTGTTCGCCCCCCAGGATTAGAAACACAGAAGATTAAGATCATCCAATAGATGGAACCGGCCAAGGTTCGTTTCCGTTATCTTCAAGTCATGTCAGGCGGTCTTGTGCCGAGGAGTATAAGAAAGAAAACGCCCTCAACTCCAGGGCCCCTCGTACAAACACAAACACGTTGGCTTGCCCTATAAGATCATTCTATTGTAATTACCTGAGCTTGCAAAGCGCGATTTGGAGCCCCTAGCTGCTCTGGAGCTCTTTCTGGACAATACCAAGCTCGTTCATAAAAATCTTCGCATTTGCAGCCGTCATCTAAATAAAGGATAGTGTTAGCCATCTCAAAATTCTATCATGTATCAATAAGGGAAATGAGCCATCATACCTTAACCGTGATGCTCACGGGCTTAGCATCCTCTCCCTCAAATGCTGTAAATATGATGCCGACAGACTTCAACGAGGCTCTTTCCTGGAATTTCATCGTGGGCAATATAGCAGTATTCAGAATCACACGGTGCGTCTGATCTTGCCGCAAGATAAGGCGCGCTACCTTGTGACCCTTGCCCGCCTTATCCCCTTCGTCCTCGTCCAGTTCGAAGCCTGAAGCATCAAACGACCCGGGAACTGGTACGCCGGCGTCATCAAATTCGACGCAGGCCTCGGGGACGTTTATCTTGAGCATACCGGCTCCCCGCTCCTTCCATCCTACTTCTTTGTCATGGTAGAATACCTTTGCTCTTACGGAAACGATCGTTGCCTCGCCAGATTCGCCATCGTTGACCTCGACTATCAAAAGATGGTGCTGTTAGCCCATGGTTCGCCTTAATACGTGTTCGAGGGATTCATCTTACCTTTCTGAAGCTTGAGTTTCTTCTTTTCTTCCGATTCCTTCTCTGGGGATGCGGCTCGTCCCTCATCAGGCTGGCTATCGCCCTCCGCCTCCTCGTCTGAACCATCGTCTTCTGCATCACTATCCGGCGCACCGAATGGCTTCGCTGGCTTGCCCTTCGCAAGAGGCTGGCTACCGGGAGCGGCAAAGCTGCCCAGCGGCTTGATGCCAGACAAGGCAGAGCCAAAAGCGCCACCCCCACTGCCAAACGCACTTCCAAAACCATTGGACGTCTTTGCGGCCAAACCACCGAAAGGCGAAGCACTGCTGCTCGCGCCACCAAAAGTCAACTTAGGTGCCTCGGGCGACGAAGCAGCAGGTGCCAGTGCTGGGGAGGCGAAGGAGGATAGTGGCGGGCCAGCTGCTGCTCCGAACCCGCTTCCTTTGGTATTTCCTAACGCTGCAAAAGGCGAAGATGCCGAGGATAGTTGCCCAAATCCCGAGGCAGCAAATGCGCTAGCTGATGTTTGTACCTCTTTTTTCGTAGGAGAGCTGCCAGGTGGTATTTGCTTCGAATCGGCGACGGTTGTGGTTTGATCCTGTAGCAAATATTGAGAAAAGGGTTCAACTGCATACTTGGCAACTAAGCTGCCACCGCAAAACAACTGGGACTTACCGATGGGGCATTGCCCGCCTCGCCTTCGCGATGTCTCTTCTTCTCTGGTTCTAACCTCGAGGCTCGGTCCTTAGCTGAGTCTGTCGATGTCGTGCTGGTGGCGTCATTGTCATCTGTGTCCTTATCCTCGCCCAACTGATCGTGTGAGCGTTTCTTCTTGGGCGAGAGAACTTTTTCCTCGTCGTTCTGTACTATGGATGTATCGGGGGTGGGCGTTGAGGGGTCCTCAGCCTTATCGTCCCCATTTACGGCTGCAGAGGCCTTGTCCGAGTCGGAAATAGATGATTGCTTGAGCTCCCGGCGAGCAGCTCTTGTCTCGGCATCTTCGCTGGTCTCCACATGGGTGGGTTCAGTTTTGGGACTGTTGTCCTTGGGTGTTTCGTCTGCCATGGCACCTTTGGGCAGTAATGATGGTCGCGAAGTTGGGGATAGCGGGGAGAGGGCGAAGTCTGATCGGTACGAGTCGCAGCTGGGCGAGGTTGGAGGGGGGCGGCCCCGAGCTCGCTGATTCTCGAGCTGGAGTTCTCTCACGGCGGGTATCTCCTTGTGCTGGAAAAGGTGCGCATAAGAGTCGAGGTGGCCGAGAAAAATGGCGTCAAGCGGGCAGAAATGTCCGGCTCTGTTGGTGAGGCAGGCAGGTTCAGTTGGCAAGGTTAGTAGGCAAGGTAGGCCCGGGATTTGCGCTCACCAAGTGGGTGGTTTGGGGTAATTGGGCTAGTGTTTCAACACAGCGCTGGGCTTGGGTGACGAAAGAGCTGGGTCGCAGTCTCACGCCGGCTCTCTCACGGACACGCCCACGCACAAGCGCTTTGCAGTCAATCAAAAGGTGCCGCTTTGTCCTATTGGTTTGCTTCGGCAGTTTCTTCTTAGTCCGTTGGTGGACATCGACAGGGAGTGTGGATTATGTGCTGTAAAAAGAAGGTTCAGCAGGCAAGTCCAGGCTCGTCCTGTCCAATCAACGCCCCAGCAGACGTCCAAGACGGATGCAATTGATTCTCCCCATGTACTAATACCTACTTGTGCCAACAGCAAATATGGAGCCTGCAGGTAGTCATTAAGGCTAGTGGTATTGATGACGGGCACTGCACGTCCAACCAAGAGATAGAAGGCAGATTTGAGACAAAAGCCGCGAGTACTTGCACATGAAGCTATCAAATCGCCCCGGAATCATCTTCCGTACGAGGGTGAAGCACACAACATCATCATTCATGGCGCGTGTTGGTTACCACAGGCTACAAAGAGGAAGAAATCAAGTTCGATGCCAGTCCTTATACACTCGATACAAAAAAAGCAATTGGCCATATGCTCCATTTCAACAAACACAGATAGACAGAGTGAGGGATCGGAAGAAAGAAAGAAAGGTTCTAGTAAGAATACACATTGAATGTCCCTCTGGCTCATACAAAGAGGATGCGTCACCTCGCTCGCTGAAACTGCTCCGATCTTCTAGCTGATGAAGCAAAGGCAGCCGAGTCCCATGTAAAAGATAAACAGAGGGAAAACAGCCAGCATAACACGATTCTTCACTACACCACTACCGCCGAGGATGCTAACGCCAGCGGCCAAAGACCAGAGAACCAAAACAATGTAGACCGGTATTCGTGCAATCCAGTAGAGGTGGAGAGCCGACATGAGCGCGGCAAGGACAAGAGGGAACAGGGTGTACCCGATAATACAGACGCTCTGGGCAAAAGAACTGGAATCCAAGATATCAGCATCAAGCATCATGCACAGAGACATTCAGAGTCTGGACTTACATGCTACCGCCCAGCAACCGAATCTGAAGGGTTACGATCGCCTCGCCCAGCCAGACCATAGCAAACACACCGCTAAAGACCGCATCTCGCTGCTCGGGGCGAGCATTAAAGCTGAGAAGCAGACTCAGAAGGAGACAGAAGATGAGAGGACCCCAAAGGTCCCAATCCCGTAAACCTGGCGTCAAATTGCTCTGTAGCAAATTGTCCGAGTCGATAACCCTGCTGGCCAGTCCAGTGAGCTCCTCTCTCGTACCAGTGATGCCAGCTCCTCTGATGTTGGAGTAGGCACCCCGAATACCACCCTCGGAATCGAACATAGTACCACCAAGGAGGTACTTGGGGTAGAGCACCTCCCGCAACTTGGCCCATATCGCGAGCAAGTCTCGCTTGAGAGTCTCCCATACCGTCTCGTCAATCGTGTTCTGGGGCGCCCTGCGATCTTCGCCAGGAATACTCGAGGTCCAACCTTCATTCGCAGGTCGCGATGAGGAGGAGCCAGATCCAATGTTACCTGTCAGCGGTTGGCTCGCAGATTGTGGTGCCAGGGGATCATCGAATTCGCCAAGGCTAGCTGTCTGCTTGTCAGCTCACAGAATTGAATAGAAACTGATTAGCGCCAGGTGCAGGCACGTACCATCATCGGGGTCGATCAAATCATCGTCATCGTCCAATGGTGGGTTGGCGTAGTGGCCCCTTGATGAAGACATCGTGTTCGGTCGCGCGTCTAGCTCTTCCGGGATTATTAAATCGCGGGCGGTGTTGTTGAAGAATGAAGAAGACGAGATGTAGATGAGGCGACGGGGATGTTCAGAATGCCGTGGTGCGTTGCGCAGAAGCTGGCGGGTTGCTCTGCCGAGAGGTGAGTTTGGGGTATTGTATGGGAGAGAGCTGACGTACTGAATTATTACACGGTTGCCTTTCTGGAGGTGGTGCTCTCGATGTGCTAAGCAAGCAAGCAAGTACCTGACCCCAAATGCCCAGCGACAGGTACCTCACGCGCAGAGAATCCACTCTCTGGCTTGGAAGGATGGCCGCCATGCCACTATTAATATGCCTTCAGAGGGACAGGGAGCGTAGCTACCAATGTACTTTGAGGGCTAACCCAACTTAGTAAGAGTAAGGTACCGATTGCCTACCATCTTGGTATCTAACCTATTTGGGTAAGTCTCACAGTGCTCGAGATCGCAGGACAGTGTCCATTACCGTACAGGTAAGCTGCGTAAGTACATTGTGAAGAGGTGCTAGAAGGTTGCTGTTGGATGGCCCGTGTCTGCCTCCGTCTAAGTACCATAGCTAACAAGGTGCACCTGCCCTGGCCAAAGCCCATCTTGGTTATTGCTCTTTTCGCCTATCCATACGAGCTCAACTCACGCTATGATATTTGAGCCCTAGCAGCAACGATAAGAAATCCTGGCCAATTGTCCAAAGATGAATACAGGAGCAACCCCTACCAAGAGATTCGTTTGTGCCCACCCAGCTCCATGACTGGAATGAGACTACGTCAAGAGAACACGAAAAGCCTGGCTTGTTCCACTGAAGTATAACCCCACGGCATAGTCCCTCATAAGTAAAGCTAGGATTGGTGTACTCAGCAATTGGCTCTGCTGGTATTGGGACATGTATATACATAAGAGGCAGAGTACCTATCGCTCCGGAGTCCTATAAAAATGTCCCAAAACTGACTACAGGCATGAAGAGAAAAAATAAATTATCCAGCTTTATTCAACTCCGCGATTTGTATAAAGACGAGAAGTAGTTCACTCCATAGAGCGTTCGCTTAAACTGGCGGATCTAACGCACTGTACACACGAAGCATACTAGCACGCATTAACACTGTGCGAATAAAGAAGAAAACACGAACACCGCCATTCTCGCAATTTCTCCCCTTCACGAGTAGCTACCTGGTCGTGAGGTCCTCCGCCTGAGCACCAGGGATAACGCGATTCAGAACACCCAAAGCTCACCACACGCATATCTTCCCTCAATCTTAAATACATTTCTCCTTTCCTTTCCCAATGGCTACGCCTGGCCATCTACCCATCAAATATGACGACGATGCCGCGTTCGACCTCCCGGAGCTGGCAGCTCATCTAGTCCTTGAAGTGCGCGATCCTCTCGCCCTCCATCTTACTCAAGCCCAATACTGACGTTTTTGAAGGATGACACCAGGTTCTTGACTGCTGGAGATACATCTGTTGGAGGTAAATATATCCACCCCATCCTTGTGCTTCTCTTCTCTTTTGTCGCTGAAGGGAGGTAACGAGGAGATCACGGCAAGTTCTAACTATATATCTTAGAGGTGTTTGCGGTGAAGTTCTGTCCATATCAACCCATGGACGCGGATCCTGTCTTCGCCGCCGTCAGCAAAAAACACGTAAGGACTCGGTTATTTGAGTATGACATTGCCCTCTCTGACATCCCTTGACCCAGGTCGCCATATGTAAACTATGGAAAGACTACAATTCTGGTACCAGCGTTTTCAAAACGATCAAGCTCATAAGAGATGATGATGTATGCCAACCCCAATATGCTCTCCCTTCTTTGATAGCCAGGACTCTGATTCTTCTTGCTTAGGATGGCGTATCCAACTGCTGTTGCACATGGACTCGGGACCCAATCACCGGCGTGCCATACATCTGTGTCGCCGGGTTTGACGGCATTGTCAAGGTGTATGACATTATCCAAGAAAAGCTTGTCGAGGTATGCTCTTCAAATACAATGGGTAACAGGCAGTCATAAGACTAATATGGACATCTCGTAGAGCTTCACCGGGCATGGAGGAGTAGGTGACCTACATTCTTTCTGAACCAAATGCATGCATAGATCTGTGCATTCGCGACATCTACTAAATCGTAGGTCTTAGGGTATTAATGACTTGGCAACTTCGCCAGTTGATCCCGCGATAATTGCGTCAGCATCAGATGACACTACAGTACGAATCTGGACTCTGGATCCAAAGCACAGAGAGCAGCCATGTCTTTGCATCTTAGGCGGGGAGGGCCATATTGCCGAAGTTCTCACAGCGGTATGCCACTTGCCAATGAGCCCGCTCGCCTCCGTCAGTTGATTAATCGAAACCTCCATCTAGGCTTTCCACGATAACGGGACCTTCCTCCTAACCGGCGGCCATGACCATCGAATCAATCTGGTAGGTCACTCTTTATCTCCATCGCTTCCACTTGGCAACTTAAAAAAACTAATGCATGGACCAGTGGACGCTGCCAGAACTTCCCACCGAGTGTCGAGAAGCACCAATCCAGGTGCATTATCCCCACTTCTCAACCTCTGCAGTTCACGGAGGCATCGTCGACTGGTATGGTTCTCGTTCCTCAATGCATTTGACATCTATTCGTATATCAGGCTGACACAATTGAAGTGTTGCATTTTACGGAGACTATATCTTATCAAAGGCGCATCAAGATAATATCATTGTCCTTTGGGAGATTCTAGGCTTCTCCTCTGAGGATCCTCCACCAGCAGAGAGCATTGCACCTCTGCCACAAATTCCTCGACCCCACGACCATCCAGCCACACAGTTTACACGCTCTGCCTTTGTGCCTACAGTCTCATCCGAGTGCCCGCTTCAGTATGATCGGCGAATGCAATTCCATACACCAAAGTGTGGTGAGATGTTCTTTTTGCGTTTCCAGTTACACCTGCAGCCTGATCAGCACCCCATCCTAGTCTTTGCCAATCCGGCTGGCGAGATATTCATGTGGGATCTGGAGAGAATCCGGGCATACAATGATATCATGGCTCGTATAAACGACCCAAATCGCAGCAAGAATGAGCCGGTCCGCCTCCCCAAGTGGCTGGGGCGGATTCGTGCTCCAAACAATGGCAAGCCAGTGAGCAGTGGCAAAGGATCTCAGAGAGGGAGCCAGACGCCGGAAATCGACAGCAACAGAATTGTGTACGATATATCCGACATCAATCCCCGGAATATTACAGATTGGCAGGCGAGGTACTCCGTCACAGACAGAGATCATGCCCTAGAGCCCCATAGCCGAACGGAAGTTGACATACGCGGCGGGGATTTCAACTCTGGCAAGGGACAGAAAGGTGGCCCTCGGAGGTACAGAGTTGTGAAAGATCCACTGGTCGGCCGACAGGCATCATGGAGCCCGGGGGGCGAATGGTGTGTGGTTGTTGGGAGTCAGAATATGATACTCGTGTTGAGGCGCTGGAAGAAAATGTAAAGCACATAAGGGCAGCGTTATGTGGCCGCCGATTAGGAGTCGGGGGCACAGTAATGCTATAGTCGCTATCCATGTGCGTTTGTATATATACTCGTCAACCGGTCCTAAAGGGCAGAGAAGAGAACATTGGCCGTTGAATGTTCTCAGACCTATCATCCTCGACCTCCAGGATAGACTTTGAGAATGAATCCAATTCACCCCCTACATCTCGAAGTCTGGCTAGATATCTGCGGGCGATGATCTGTTCCGATTCTCTCTCTTCTTCCGCTCTTTGCATGACTAGGTAGGGCATAGGCACGACTGGCAGAATCAAGTCAGAAATGTAGAGTGAGACCATTGCACGAAGCCTTAAGAACTGATCGTGCTTCGAATACGGCCGATCCTGAACGAGCCTATCCATTTTTTCCGCCACATCTTTCATGCTCACAAGGGCTTGTAGCCGAATGGTGTCTTTGCGTTTAGCGAGGCGGTCTTCGCGCCCTGGGATTGAGCTCTCCATAGGTTCAGCCACCCTATCAGTAAGTTCTGACAGGTCACCTATTTCCATATCCCAGGGTTGGCCATGCTCTCCCTCCTCTTCGATTTCGTCGATACCTTCATCAGCATCTTCCAGAGCTATCAGCTGCTCCGTATGTGTATTGTATATCTCACAGCTGAGCAAGGCTAGCCAGAAGTCCAGCGCACAGATAGTTCTTGGTCTTTTGTGGTCATATGGGTGCTGCTGAATCAGGGTTTCAAAGTATGCCCGGACTTTATCCATGTTGGCAGCCGAACCCCATCTTCTCTTCCTTTTCGACGCTTCATCTCCAGATTGTGGAGGTTTCTCACCCTCCCGCATGAGTATCTCGGCGCCAATAGCCCAAAGGTTGTAATACCGAACATCAGTAGTGTATCCCCTCGGCTGCATCTGAAGCAACAAACCATGTGCTCTCGCTGCGCGTGAAATTTGACCCTGGTCAATAAATTGCTGTGTTGCTTGTAATAGGTTCAGAAACCTTCTCTCTTTTTGTGAAGGGTCCTTGTTCGGGTCCTTTTTTTGTTTGCCCTGTTCGTCCTCCTTCTCACCATCGGATTCCGATTCTATCCGATAAGAAGAGCCGTGATCGAGCCCTCTATGAGGGAACAGCGGGATTTTTTCGGAAGGGTCCTCGTCTGTATCTGTAAGCCCAACAAATGAGAACTGAAGCAGCTGTCCAGGGCTGCGACTGAACGGGTTGATGGAGTCAGATGGTAAATGGGCAGGTCTTAAACGTTGTGGTTCAATTTCTGATCGCTTCCTTTTTTCCATTATGCAATGCGCCCTTCAGAACCACGGCTTGTGGTTTAACTTGGATGTTTGCTTTTGGTCAATGGATTTCAAGTGTAGGTTGTTCTCGAGATCGTTTTGACATTGTCTAAATTTTAGTGGAGATGCTGGAACAATTGCTCAAAATTCAACCAAAAGAAACAACCAACACACACAGAAGGGGAAAAAGGGGGTGAGAAAAAGAAAGAAAGAAAATTAACCGCGTGAGTGATTCAAAGCCAAGTCCTGTTTTTCCTGTCTACATACCAAGCCCCAAGTTTTGAACTTAAGCTCTTGGTCTAGGGTATGCACATTATTGAGAGTTGGCAGTACGAACTATATTTCACTTTAGATAGAGGCGGCTTCAGATTTGATGAACACAAGTCGTCGAATTCTTCTAATGACAAGCCAAGAAAAGCTTCCAGCATGGGTCTATGCCCAAATTTACAGTGGCGCTCTCCCAATACTTTACAAAACCAATTTTCCAATGGAGGACCGGTCAAGGAGCAGAGCGCTCGAAGTAGGTCCACTGTCCTTCAACAGGCTTCTCCTCGAGATCCTCCCAACTGTTAATCGGATGTTAGCGGATCGCTTCGGTTGATTGTCAAGGATTGAGGTGAGTCGAAGCTCCTCGACGGACTTCAATTTGAGCGAAGGGGTGAAAGTGACTTACACCTTGGACTTCTCCATTGTGTCAATTAGCTGGAGTTCACCCTCGGCAACCTCAATGATCTCCTCAATGAGGCCGGCACCAATCTGCTGCTCGAGCTTGTGGACCCTGGAACCGAAGTTAGCTCCGTCAAGATATTGCTGGAACCCTCCGATCGAGGATACACCTGCAATTGGGATGTATACTCACTGGTCAGCGGTAAGCTGAGGTTCGTCCTCCCACTCAATCTGCTCATGATCCTCGAGTGGTTTACGTTCGGCCCAGACAACCTGGGATGCTCGTTCGGTAGGAGTTCGGACACCCTCCAACTCGCCACCCTCATCCGCTTCGCCATCCCATTCTTCAACCCGGGGATCTCCAGTCTCGTGCCTTTGCCCAATAACGAAGACGCGGTTGCCCAACTTGACTGTTCTCGCCTCGCTGCCGTCAATGCGACCGCTGTTCACTCGGAAAGCCTCAGCGCTCTGTCCCACGAGGGCCTTGGCCTTGACCGCCCACTCATCATAGCCGGGAGGGACTTGTGCCTCAACAAGAGCGAGACGGTGCTTGGTCACTGCCTCGACGGATTGGCGGTATAGCGACGACTCGGGAAATGACTGAAGCCTGTGGAGGGTAGTGCCGTAGAGGTAGAGGAGGGTCGATCGGGGCGTCGAATGTGTCCACAGGCCGGTTAGGCCGGTAGGAGTGCCCGCCTCCAGATAGCGCGCAAGCAAACGGGTGGCTGGCCGCATGCTGACGAGTTCAATGGGAAAGAGTGGTTGTGGTGTTGAGGTATGTCGCTCTTCAGCGGGAATCCCGTAATTGGAATTGACCTCACTATCATTGGAGCTAGAGATTTGGCTCACTTAGTCACGTGCAAAGTCGGCCCCATCAGTGGCCGAGGATAGCGAGGACCCTGGATTTACCTTGCCTATATTCCTAGCCATAAAATCTTCCAATTGAACAGAATAACTAATTTTAAAAAGGGCCATTTAATTGAATTGCACATACCTCTTTTACTCAAATTATTGGTAGATGGTGGTGGGTGTACATGGTAGCTCATATTCGGAGTGCATCTTTGGGCATAATATGAGGAAGTCACAAATTCGGGTAAAAAAAAAGCGATGTTCAATTGGAAATATCTTGAACAGATACGACGATCAATGTCAGTGATCCAAGGCCTGTCTTGCCTCCAAAGTTTATATATACCCTAACCCAACAAACAGAATCAAGGAGGAAAAAAGCCCACAGTGTCATTTCATCAAAAGCTTCTCTAAAGTGAAGAGCGGGTCCGAGCAACAGGGCCGCCTGGGGCTAGAAAGCTCCCTAGGAGGAAGCCTCCTCACGGGTCTTGCGGTAGCTGGCCTAACAATTGTCAGGTTAGCCGCAATCTTATAACGCAGCATACGCAGAAGCGAGACCTACTTCTTGCTCAGTCTGAAGACCCTCAATCACAGGAGCAAGCTCAGTGAGAATTTCGTATGCCTTCTTGTGGTACTCAATCTGTGCCGAGATAAGCTCGGACAGGTTGCGAAGGGGCTCGGGAGAGTCCAGAACCTAGGTATATTGTTAGAATGCAAAAAGTCTTGGAGACAGCTCAAATGTAAGCTTACATTCTTCATGACACCGACAGCTTCCTCTGTCTGGGTAACAAACTCATCCTCAGCCTTCTCGACCTCCTCCTGAGCCTCTGGGCTGAGCTCCTGCTCATCGCCAGGTTGAGAATGCTGGTTGCTGTGGCCAAGCTTGAAGGTAGTGCCCTTGGCGTGTGCCTTGATGGCATCGAGCGACAGGCGGGAGTTCTCCACATTCCTGCGAGCTCGGGTAGCGAAGTTGAGGTTGGTGTTCAAGGTGGTGTTCCAGCCAGCAAGGAAGCGGCTCTGGATCTGAGAATCCTGAGCAAGGCGGGACTCGCCGACACGCTCAGAGGCGAGCGCATACTTCTCCAAAGCAGTGGCAAGAGGATCCTCTCCAGCGCCTGTGTGGTTCTGGTGCAGCAGCTGGCTGCTAGCCAGACTGGCGCGAGCAATGGCGTGGCTGAAGGTCTTGGGCTGCGGCTTGGCGGTAGGGGGGGCAACAAGAGCGGCCTGGGCCTCGGCAGGGGATGTCGCGGACGAGAGAAGGGTGACCTTTTCGCTAACGGTGCGTCCAAGGTCCTGGAAGGTCTCCTTGATGTTGGGGGGATAGTCGTAGGCCTCAGTAGAGTATTGTGAGCTTTGGGGCGAAGGGTTAGCTGGTTCGATAAGACCCAACCCGTGAATGACATAATACGACTCACGTCACAGCGAGCATCTTCTGGTGAGCTTGCTTCAATGCATCGACTCGCTTCTCGAGATCAATATAGTCGGGAGGAAGCTCGGTCTGTAATGAGCGAAAACATCGAATTAGCACATGGCCTGAGGAGATTAAGTTGCGCTTCGATGAGGGGTGGGTTGGTGACCTTATCATCGGCCTGGCCAAGCTGTTCCTTGGTGAATTGGAAAGTGCGGGAAGCAAACGGGGTGATCTGAGCCCCCAGGTCGCTGGTTGAGCGAACTCGTTAGCCTGATCCGGCGTTGTAATACGAGATACCGGTGAGAGGAGCGTCAAGTAGGAGGCTTGAACGTTGAAGAGGCGGGGAAGCCACTTACCTGAAGCCCTTGCCCAAGCTCTTGAAATCCATTTTGATGGCTGTTACTCGTTTGCGACAACGGGTTCAGTGGTAGGGAAGGTGGGCGAGTAAAGGTTCGCGACGGAAATGATGACGAAAACGGGCGCTTGCGAAAGGGTCGCGATGCGGGTTGCTGTCAGAGGAGGATACGATGGAGAAAGGGCAATGTGGAGGCTTTTGGACATAATAACTCCAACTCTGTTCAAGGGATTGTCTTAGGTGGGTAAAGCAGTTAGTGCTAACCTAGAGTACCTGCGTCAGCCTAACAGTACCTGTAGCTGACCATCGAGCTACGTGTACGCAGTGCTGCTAACGGTAATATGAAATGTACATCGCGCAAGGGTAAGAACCTTGCCCCTGTTTAAGAGGCAAGGTAGTAGTGTGCTAAGATTAGCAGGGCTCGCTGAGGGGCTAGCCCGTTGTAACCTCTGCGTAATACAGACGCAGTGCTCGCTCTAGCACTTCAAACATGATGGCAGTGCTTCTGATCTTTTGTTTCATTGGCTCAAGCTTAATAAGGGTAACAGTGACCGCAAATCTCCTATTATTGATCCCTGATGTGCTTCCTTCAAACGGCCCTTGGACTACCCTCATGATTGGCGCCTTTCTTCAATACTGCAAACGCGCGATAAGGGAAGTTTTCTTATCACACGAAACCTCTATCACATGTAATCAAGCAGCGTCAGCACAACGAGCCACCTCCCGCGTGGGAATATGCAGATCACTTGAGCCATGTGTGCAATGAGAAGCTGTCTTCCTGGGCTTTTCACTCGCACTACTCGACCCTCGATGATAGGGCGCATAAGGATATCTAGGATGTAGTATCGGGGACTGTCCATGCACCTGAGTTAACGTAAGGTACCTAGGCAGGTAGACATGAGAGTACGGATCATTCAAATATGCGCATTGTGTAACACATCACATGCTCTATCTTATACAAGCTATTACCAAATATATTTTCCTAATCCAAAATGTGTTTGTTATCAGCCCACGACGGCTCAACACGGCGACAGACAGATTCGTAATCTCTGAGCGTGATACTCCCACCATCTAAGCCCAAGGTCGTCCAGAACATGGTCCAGTTGCTATCACTCAGCTTGTTGGTTCCAGTAGACCGTTCAAAGTACCACTTATTCACCGGATTGTTTTTGCGGCTTCGCCAACAGACCCCTTTCGGGAAGCAGTCGTTCACCATGGCGCTGAAAACGACGTCTGCTACACCGCCGCTGCCCTGGCGGCTCCTCAGAACGGCAAATTTGTCAAGATATGGAACAAGACGTCCTTGTGAATAGGCTTCCTTGTCATCGAGGCCTTCAGGGGTCTCCCAGGTCAAGATGGCCCCTCCCTCGTACTCGCCAGCGATAATAATGCCGGCAAGATTATCTTTGACGCGGTCAAGATAATGCTGTGCATCAAGTGCTCGACCAAAAGAGTCTTCAATTAGGTAAATCAAGCGTGGTAAATCGATACTTGTATCGGTAAGCCGTAGGCGGGGCTCGCCAGGTGACGGAGACTCCCAAGGGGAAGCTCTGGGATTAGGAAATATCGTCACAGGCATCCCGCGTTTGACAAGTGTTGCGGCTAACGAGAATCTAGAGTTCTCGACGTCATTTTCGGCGCCTTGTGGCACGCGCTGGACGGGTAATGATGAGGAGAATATTGGCTTGTCGGTGAGGAGGTTATGCAGAATGGGATTCCGTCGTTTCCTGGTCTTGACCATTCCATCAAACCCAAATTCCTTGGTCGCCTCCGCCACCCCTGATCTGATAGAGGCATTGGGGTGGCGACTGTTTCCACGGCCTGCGGCTATCGGGGTTGTGAGGATGGCGGAGGACGAAGAGGGCAAGATTGAAAGCGCCTCTTTGACGAGTCTCAGATTCGAAGCATGACCGGTGGCCGACGCCTCGACGTATCCATTACTGGCTACCGGAGAGCCCTCCGGGCCAACAAGCTGCCCCATAAGATCATTGTATTCTTGTTCCAAATTGATAAACCTATGGGAGGCACCGGGGCGACCAGCAACCGGAGTAGCTCCCAGTGGGTCAAGAACAATAATTCTCTCAACCGATGCGAGTTGTCGTGGGCGCGGAAGCTCCTTGGATGGCGAGTGAGCCTCGGTTGATCCGGGAACAGGAAACTGTAATCCAGAAAGGTATTTTGTCAAGGTGATGATAAGTTGATTCGAATCGGCTGGATGCTGTGCCGAGATCTCATCTGGGCAAGCTAAGCTAGGAATAACAGGAATCAAGCCATGATTCAAGGTAAGTGCCAGGCGCCCTTGATCATCGATGTGCATCTCATGCGACAGGGCAGACTGATCGTCGGAACTCATAGGATGCCGCCCTATAGCAATGTTCTCTATACTTTTAGACCCATGCTTTGAGAATGAGTCAATGGCTGAGCACAACCTGAAAGCCTGGTCGCGAAACAGTTCACGGCCATTCTCAATACCGCAATCTATAATGACGACACTAAGAAGCCCTAGAACTCGAAGTTGGAAAAGAGTTTTCGCAACACCGAGCAACGCATCACCATCTAGGAGTTGAGGGTCGCAGAGCTTGACAATTGCAACATTTGGCAGGTGGGAATCGGAAGAAACAGGTTCATTCGGACCGTCCTGGGGCTCTTCATGCCTGAATTGGGGGACTTTCGTCAATGATGTATTTTCCTTCGAGGTGTATTTTTGTAAATAGCCTTTAGCATCTCTTTTGGTAGCCGATACTTCGAGAACCGAGACAATGGTGTCCTACATTGGACCGAAGAAATATTAGAATAAATACTAGAAATCCAAAAGACGGGAGAATAGCATTTGGGGTCTGGGATATACACACAAGATCGAGAGATCGCTTGCTGCCGGGTCCTGGTGTTGGTGATGAGAACCACCTGGCCGCCGATGTCGGGGTAAAATATCGTGCTGCAGCTCTCGCATGGTTGCTGTCTCGCTTTAGGTAGGAAAAGGTTCGGCAATTGGGCTTGGAGAAGAGGCCGACTTGATTTGGAGGCCAATTATGGCCGCAGCTTGCCGTCCCTCTCCATGTCCGAGCTGAAATCATGTCTGAAACGGGTGGTCGGCGAAGCCAGAGCATCAGCGGTGCGCTGAGGTGACTACTTGAGGTAAAAAGCTGCGGCCGGAGGAACACTACAACTATAGCCCAATCATTGTAGGGACGAGGGGAGAACTAGGATTGAGGTTGTTATGCATGTGTGACAACACTAGAAAGTCAAGACTGTGCAGAGTGTGTGTGGTATCAATGAGTCAAGCTGATCGGAGCTGGAGCTTTCTTCTTTGACTGGAGTTGCTGCAACACTCCGCACTGAGGTCCCTGCGATAAGATAAGGGAACGGCTCCTCATCACTATCTCCATCGTTGAACCAAGCTAACATTGGTGTCTACCGCGGTCTAATTGACAAGCTGGAGCAATCTCGGAATCGCCAATGCACCATTTTCTGCCCTCTTGATTCCGAGCTAAATCTAGATATTCAAACTTGGTCGTGCGCGGGACCTTCCTTGATGAGAGAGATCGGCACATCGCATCCATCACATGGAGGATGGGGTCTTCTTACTTTATCAATCTACAGGTAATCATGCAATGTGATCCTCTCCTGGTCGGTTGCATTCGCTCTTGTGGAGACTGAATGCATGTTGCCGAGTCCTGGCCATTGATGAATCAACATTGTTGAGAGGCACGCGCGCTGAGCACCATAGTGGAATAGGTCGTACTCAACAGGGAGACAGTGAGCTACTAGGGAATATGCCATGTAAGAGACTCATAGGTTAGCGAAGACATTGTCCAGTTAGACGTACCTTCTGGCTATCAATGGATCTCAATCATCAGTGTACACTTCAACTGAGCCGGTGTCTTTTCGATGCTTGTCTTGCTTGTTTCCTTGTTGTTCGGAAAGTACTAGTATGCGGGGAATTTGTAGCCTCATCCTGGTTGCAGAATTCCTACGTAGATATTTGGGTGCCTGCGTCACTTGCGCAGCAGTAGACGAAAATAGCTTAGTACTCACTGGGTGGTTACCCTCGGCGCCGGCCAGGCACCAGATTTGATGGAACATGTTGAAGATGGGATATGCCTAATCAGATTCCTTAAAAGCGAAAGTATTCATGCATGTAAATCATTAGGAAGGTAATTAATTGACTACCCAGATTGGACCTTATTTATTATTTCATCTAGGTACGCATCTTAGTACAACAGTAAGCTGTATTCCTCAAAGCGGGATTGACATCATGTCTTGATATAAAAAGATACATGACTAAGCCGGCGCCAGCTCTCGTGGCTGGAACGCCCAGGCTGGTGACAATCAACACCAAACTTACTTGATTGTCTGAACCAACGCTGAAAGCTCCAAACTCCTTCGAACCCTTTGATTTAGATACGAAAACTGACCGACGGTGCATTTCGCAATGGCTCAAGGGTAGATTTCCCCAAGCGCACCCCTAATTTGATTCCGAACCGAGCAGCTGATCCTTCTCCCCTGGCTAGGTACTCCGTCTTCATCGGCCTCGTCGTCGTCGTCGCGCTTTGCGTAGCGTCTTGGTTCCTCTCTCCCAAGGGCGAGAATCAAGTGTACGTCCTACTCAACTTCTCTTCCACCCCAATAGGAGGCCGCCGCTCCATAATCCTCAGGACTAACCGATCGCTTCTATAGCCTATGGCGTTCCTCCCTCATCCTCTCCGTCGTAAGCTGTTATCTCATGTGGGCTATTACGTTCCTCGCCCAGCTTCACCCCCTCATCGAACCCCGAAAAGCCCTGAGCGAGGAATTCTGGGAGCACTAGAACCGATGGTTTGAAGAGTCTGGAGACGATTGCGCAGGGGGCGGGAAGGCATGGACGCGCCAGCTGTTGCACAGCCGAGTTGTACAATTACACTACCATTACTGCAACCATCATCGACCGACTACCCGATGAGGTGATCTTTTTTGTTCATTAAACGGCGTTTATGGAGCGGTGGGATCGAAACTATATAACCTAGGTCTGAATCAAGTTTCTGCCTATACAGGTCACATATACACACATTGGTGTCTCTTCTTCATCTTGACTCCAAACCGGCCTATTCTTGAGTTTGTGACGGCGTGTCTTTCGTAGCATCAGACTATCCTACAGCTAAGCGACCAGCCCATTGTCTCAAATACGTGACCAAGGCCCAAAGCGCCTTTCCATCGGTGGCCACGGTGCTCTCGCTTATCGAGTCGACGTCTCCCAACCCAGCTGCGCTTAGGACCATGCGCCCGACTATCCACCTGGCGGCTGCCCCGGAAATAGCCAGAAAACACGCCGTGTAGTACTTACAGTCCAGAAGAATGCGGAGTGCCTCGACATTGTTGACTACGACAGCCCCGCCCAGGTAGCGAGCCGCAGCTGGGACATCGTGGTACTGCCATATCACCATGAGTATGGGGAAGAGCTTGGTGGACGAGGAGACGAGAAGAGCGGTCGAAACCGAATTAGGGCGGCCATAGCGGCGAAGAATCCCCGTGAAGTTGAGAGGGGAGAGGGCTGAAGACGTGAGGAAGCGGATGCTAATGTGAAAGGCCGCCGTCGACAGAGCACACAGAATGACTGTTTGGCGAAAAGATAGCCAGGCCTTGTTAGATACTATAGCCTAATGTTGGAATAGGATTGTGGTCGTAGGGGGGGAAGAACATACGGAAGAAGAGATATTGTAAAACGATAGGCTGCTGGGCTAATCTTCCCAGATTGCTTCCGCCTGGCGAGGATTCAGGGATAGACTGCCTCTCCATTCGAGCCCACGTTAGGTAGACATCGAAGAGCAGGAGCAGAACGCCAAGCCGTATGATGGAGGGCTATTTGCTTCAGCTACACTAGAACTTATTTTTCATTAGGTGAGGAGGGGGCTACTCCAGAGACATACGTCAAAGCGATCGCCATCTCGCATCAGGGTATTATGCAGCAGGTGTCGATAAACCTGAATTTGCCTGGGCATCAGCTACTCTGTACTTCTCCTGAGTGGATGATCCTGAAACATTGTATATACGCACTTGGGGTTTGATGAGAACCAGGTCAATGAAGAGAACAACAAAGTCGTGTTCGACATACTTGTCGCAAAAGGAGCCGCATTTTCGACAGACTGTCAGTCGAATGTTGTGTCCACTCGACTTGTCATCTGCACCCGAGTAGGATGTCCAAAGAGTCCTGACTGGATGACGACACTCGATACAGATGGGCATTGGATCCGCTGTTACTCATAGTAGTCAAAAGGGCTCCGTGCAGCGGCTGTGAAGTCTGAAGCTCGTCCTGTGCTGCCTCACACGTCAAGCTCCTGATCGCGGTGGGTAACAACACTACCACCTATCGATAACGCCACACTCCATGGTCAAGCCACATTTCACCATCTACCACCTCTCTGCATTGGCAATGATCTTCTGCCCTTGCCGACAACTCGACATGTGCACGCTTGATCACCGTCAAATGAACATATCTTGTTCGACTTGATAGTCACGACGATTACGAGAACATTTTTTATTGTGTGCTGTGCCGGCTGCAGAGCACCTAATGCTTTGACACGCCCAAATCTTTCGCGCATTAAGTTATATCTGCAGATATAACATGCTGGCTTCTATGTACCTATTGTATAATACTAATAAGACTCCTGGCCATCAAAACGCCCACATCCCGAAGCGACTGATGCGAGAAAACCAAAATAACAATGATGCTGCTGGAAAGGCCCAGGTACTAACTATTCCTTGGACATGCGCCAGGGTGAAAACCCACCTCTCCCAAACTCTCGCCACGCTGTGTGATATGGAACAGAACACATTGCAAATCAATCCGACTTCTTATCTCTACGCGTCTCTGCCGTAGACCTTCCTCGGAGGGAGCCCATGCCCCCATCGTTTGGGCCAGGCGAGCCAATCGAGAAACCGCTCATCATGTTTGCGACTGAACCAGAAGGCGCAGGGACATCGTCACTTGTCGCATCTGTGAGTTCTATGAGGTCCCCGGTACCGTCTACCCCCAGCTGGTTACTCCCTGATCTAGATCGGGCCATGATGAGGGGTGTTCCTGGGGCCTTGGCGAGGGCTCCTCGTAGCCAGGTTTCCACAGCAGCTGCAGCACGGTCCAATCCAGTTCCTTGCCGGCTAACAGAGGCAGCATCTCTGCCTTCCTCAAATGGGCTCTCAACCAGTTCGCCTGACTCTTTCGAGAAGCCAAAATGCGCTGTCTCCGAAGCCATAATTGACATGGATGGTCCGTCAATACTGAGGCCGGGAATATTCTTCTGCGCCCATGTGTTGATGTAATCGGAATCGGGGCCTGGCGACTTTACGTTCTTCCCCATAGTCCCGACGCCTCCGGGACGTCGCATCCATAGTGGTCTTGTGTCTGGTGAGTCGCTACCTGGGCGGTTGCGATTAAATAATGGTGTGCCGGGCATCTGAGGTCGGTTGCTGAGAGAGCTGAGCCGCCGAGGCGACATTCCGTCGACGGACGCTGGACCGGTTTGAGAGACTTCGATGCTTTGCCTGGGAGTGGAGAACGAAGATGTGGTCCTAAGACTCTTCCTCCTTCGTGGGGGAAAATATCCCATAGCGCCCCAGGCTACTCGACCTATTTCAACCGGGGCTGGCAGCGAATCAATTTCAACCCATCTTACATGTGTCCAGGGCTTGTTATCATCCAATTGTCCCTCCTCTCCATCGGGTGCCTTGCTTGATCGGCTGTAGAAATCATCATGTGTCCCTATCTCAGTAGAGTTGTCGTTTTCTCTATCAGACGGAGAGGCAACTTGATGGGTCGGCAGTGAAGGTGGGGGATCGCAGGGCCGACCACGAAGATCACAGGCGTCCACAGGAATTGTGAGCCATTTTCGAGTCTGAAGGCTATCACGGGACCACAAGCCATTGGCCTTACGGAAAGCATCCTCCCCGCATTTGTACCGAAGAATGAGTCCCGCATAAGTGTCCTCAGGCTGAACTTGGTGAATGTAGACGAGGTAATCTTCCTGGTGGCGCCGACTGGTGTTGTGTTCGTCTGAGTTTCGGCGTTTGTATCTCCCCAAAACATCTAGACCGCCATTGACGCCATCGTGGCTTTCGAGAATACTCGCGGTGCGGGCGGCCTTCAGTGCAGATTGCCTCTCAGCAATGTCTACCCCAGGTTTCTGATCTGGAGGAAGAGGGCCCCATGCCTCAGGAACCTTACGGCCTCTGTTATCCATTGAGGGGGATTTGGATAATTGTGGCCTGCTGAGGCCGTTGGAAGGACTCAGCAAGCCCCCCCTCTCGCCATTCTCGTTCCCAGTCAAAAGCGTGCTGGTAAGATCCTGAACTGAAGACCAGCCTTGATTCCAGGTGTCGTTGAAGAACTGGCCCAGATTACCCGGTGAGGGGCTTCTATCGTGGCCGACATATGAGCGATCGCGAGGCGCTAGAGGGCTCGGGGCACGGCTACTCAAGGGACTGAGTGCAGCCAGAAGCCCGCTGGCTAGGGTTGTAGATGGAGCGGAATGAATAAGGGGTGGCTCATTGCTGTCTTGGGACAGATCAAGTACGGGTGGTTGGGTGCGAGATCGAGTCGAGCTTGAAGCCGGCGAGTTCGAGTTCGAGGCGTGGGAGGACGTCTTGGCCAGTATGGTACTGCCCCTGCCGGTCATTATGGTCGTGAACGAGACGACAGCGGCAGGTCGCGATTACGGCGGTTGCTTTGCATCAGTGCTGGGTCGTTGCCAATGCGTCTAATTGGACGCTCAGCGCGACCCTGAGGAAAGAGGATAGGCCCAAAATAGGTACAGGAGACGAGGGAGGTCGGGAGAGAGAAGCCTAATGTGGAATGCTGGATAAGGTGACGCTGCTCACAAAAGGGGGGCGTAGAAGTCGAGGACAATTGCCCTAATATCGGCCTGGAGATACCTATAGATGAATGGATCAGGGGGTGGTTTTAGGGGACGAGATGAAACATCACTCGGTATGGCCTAGCAAAAACCATACATGGTGAGGTTGGCGAACGGTCGTCGATGGCAGGGAGCTGGAGGTGGATGCGAAGGGTGCTCACAGGACGAGAGAGTGTGTGATTGTCACTTTACCTGGATGACATCGAGGTTCGTCGATGAACCCCAAGGCCACCTGCTCCCGGAGTGGCGGCTGCTGAGTGCCCGTAGCGGGGCTGATCCCCGCCCCCAAAACCAGAGGGCTTACGTAGTCAATCCTGACAGGAAGGAATACTACTAGTAAGATGTGTTGCTTTAGAATTGTAGGTGGCTTATTAGTATTACTATAATTACCTTGCAAGACAACTAATTCAGTGGAGACCATGCGACCGCGATTAGTGCACCCGCTTATTTATTGTGATACGGTTAGGTTAGGTACTTTGTGGTTGCAAGAGTAGGTGGGTGGTACAATAATACGCAGTGCTGACCTCGAAATCAAGAAGCGCCAAAATATAGTCATGGAGCGGAAGCTGAGCTTCCTGACATTCATTATGTTCCTTTAACTTCCAACCACTTATGTGAGTCCCACCCTAGATTGTTTGACGCCTTTTTGCATTGATGAAGATCGAGCACCCGCCCCTTCAAAGTGATGCAGAAACTCCCGACATGTTTTCATTTGGAACCATCCATGTGTTTATTCATTTGGCTCCCGCCGTTTGCCCATACTTTCTTATGCGAACACCTCTCGGATGCTTACACATTGCTCCATGTGGAAGGACTAAAATATCCCACCCGACTATTACAAAGGCATATCAAGGTTGCCGTGACCTGAGTCGCCATTAATACCGAAGAACTGGAACCTGCAGTCTTATGTTAGTCCCCCCTCTACATATCAATCAGGTTCGTAAAAGGGTGCAGTTGTAGCGAGGGGTAAGTTGGAGAGAAACGAGGCGAAAGCTTCGGGTGCATTCTGGGAGAGGTGGACCAACCAGTCTTCTACGTTGAGTGTCGTTGGAACTGGTTGTCCAGGACCAGACCCGGTGCTCCAGCTATCGGGGCTTTGTTCATCATTCAGGCCGCCACCATCGAGATGTGACTGCCACATGTTTGCTGATCCCTGGAATCCTTGCATTCCAGGGGGCAGCATGCCAGCCCCTTGCGCAGCTTGGTGGAAATCATTGGCGGCCTGCCTTGGTAATCCACCGGCTGGCATGGTTGGCGTTGGCATCTGCGCCATGAGATTGTGGCCCAAGTTCTGGTGCGCCTGGGTAGGGGACAGATTCGGAAAGGCGGGCATAGCCGAGCTATCTGGAAAGAGCTGGTCTGGCTGGAAGTTTTCTAAGAGCGACTGTGAGAGATTTGGTGAGTTCCTCGTGACCAAGTAGAGATCCGGTGGAGTTGCCGGCACAGAGAATGAGGGATTGAAAGGTGTGGCTGGTCTTGTGTGTGGGCGAGAATTCGTGCCACCCATGAAGGCATCTGCAGGAGCTTGACGTGAGTGAGGAGAAGTCATCAGGGTAGGCCCAGGCGGCTGCGGTAGGGGGTTATCGTTTTTCAAGCTTGGTGTCTGCGGCCTTGAGCGCTCATACGACTCATGGGGTGTGGGTGCATTCGACGTGAAGTCAATTGCCATGTCATCGTACTTCCTCTTTGCTGCCTCGGCATTTTTGAGCCCCAGATCTTGTGACAGGCTTTGGTGAAGGTTTCGATGCCGTTTACCAGCCGCCTTCTGTAGCCGCTCTTCCAATCCTTTGTTCCCGATGATCGCCTCAAACAAGGTGCAAATGGTTTTGCCAACAAGCCAGACCCGAGATACATCCTTCATTGCACTCAGACAACTGCGCAGGCGATCCTGGGTTACCTGCTGAATGGATGGTACTGGGGAGCGCATTTGATAGACGTGCATGATTAGAGCCGAAAATATGCTATAAACGATGAACGCAGGACAATACTTCAACTCCCCGTGTGCAGCAAGGTTTTCACATATAGATGTAATCATTGCTGCAGCCTGGAAAGCAATGTTGCGAGAGGGATATGGTGATTCAGCTTGGAACCGGCTTGAGTTGCTAGGTGGCATATGTGCCCGGTGAAGAAGGCACAGTGTCGTATAGTAGTTTGAATGCAGGAGAGCGGACCAGAAATGGTGTCTCGGGACCTCCCAATACACAATCTTGGGGCAATTCTGGAGCCAGTCGGCTAGAGCCATATCGCTATGGGTTAAGTCGATTGCATTCCTGTGCCTTCCTTTTGAAGCAACGGAGTACTGCTGTGACAAGACGAGGCCGGTAATCTCGCACAATTTGACGTACTGGAGAAAAAACTGGATGTGAACAGGGTCAGGAGGAAATTCCCCACCACCATCCGCCTCATCTTCGTAGAAGTCCTCCTCAGTCAACATCTCTACATCTGAATCATCAAGACTGATGCTGATAGGACGGCCCAGGGCAACAGAGACCGAGCGATCACGGGTGAAGAGCGTCCACCAGACACGCTTCCAAAGCCTCTTATCAGATTTGCTCAGCTGGGATTGCTCCACGCTCCTGTGCATGCCAGAACCCTGGGCAACGACGATTGCCACTCGAGTCCAGTAAAACACATTATTGGTGACATCCTCTGGTCCTTCCCAGTACCACCCCATCAGAAGCAACGATTGCACAATAGTCACACGATCGTCTTCGTAGTTGGCATCGTAAAGGGCCTTGGCTCGTTTGTAAAAGGTCAGAGCAGCAGGGTTGGTTGAGCCATTTGCGTCCATCAGCTGAGAGTTATCACAGGCCCGGGAGCCAGCCAGAAGCACGGCCTGTAGGAGGAGCAGTGATGGAGGGTTCTTTGGGTCGCGGTATTGACGCATGAACCGAGAACGGTCGATGACAGGAACGATGGGGTGAACCCATTTGAAGTATGCTTCGATGAGTTCATCACAAAGCGCTCGAGGTGGCAAGAGAAAGGCTCCTCTCTGATGAAGTATCTCAATCTCGACATTATCCAGCGCCGTCAGTCTTGCCCGTGAGCCCCTAACATTCTCTGGAAGCGGGTAGTGGACGACATCAGATGAGCCTTGTCGGTCGTGGACGAGAAGAGTCAAGTTCGAAGATTCGCCTAGGTGAGCCACTCTTCCAGCTTCGGTAATGGGCGCACGTGTGAACTTTGGCTTCATTATAATGTTCACGTCCCCTCCATTGTCAGCTTCGCCCCTCTTTCCCTGATCATCTGGCTCGACCAGTGACAGTGGGGTTTGGTCGAGGTGTGATACGGGAGGGACACTGCGAAGCTGAAAATTCGACGACGTAGCATACTGTGGTCTATCATCGAGGGAGTCGGCCCCTCGATCGCTTTGGCTTTGAGAGAAGTTAGCAATTAACCAGCATTGGATCTTCCCGACAGTGGAAGGTGGCCAAATATCCAGGATGCCGACGGGGGGAGGGTCTGGAACGGTACCTGTCTGAATCCTTGCTCGCCTGAGCGGTACCTGCAGCAGCCGAGGCATTCTGAGGTTTTTTTCGCTTTGGCTGAGGGATGCGACATTCTATCTGGAACGCGACGCAGTTGGTGCAGGGCACACCGAGGCTAGCAGCGTCACATCTGACCTGTGATGGGAACGAGTCGAAGGTTAGCCTTGGAAATTTGGAGGGAGGCTGGGAGAAGAGGGGTCGTACTTTGCGTGCATGACAGGTCTGTATAAAAGAGCCAGAGGAAAGAGTCGGTTAGCAAATAAAGGTCTGGGCAAAGCGGTAATATTCCATGCTGGTTAATTGGAGGCAGAGGGGTATTGTGATGTGATACTGAACTCATCATCTGGCGCAGCAATTGGCAGGGCAAGTAGCCAAACAGGTGGCAGAAAAGGCGGGACAACAGCCCACTTGATGGTCGAATTGCCTCGGCACATCAAGGGCCAAGATGGGGACCAAGGTGCGCGCGGGCGCGTTCAAGCACAAACTCCCACTTGAGGGTAGGACAATATATATTAAAGGCACATACCTCACATGCTCTTGATGCTCGTTGTCTACAACCCGCGAAAAAAGCACAGCAGCCAAAAAGTCAGCTTACCGCGACTCGAGAGCAAGTAGCAATTTTGGGAAGGGGCTCAACACAACCCAGGAAGCATTGCACGCGAAGCGCAAGCTCGACCATGGGGGCGAGAGGAGAAGAAAGGGAAAAGACAAACCTTCGGAAGCTGGTTTGCCCAGCCGATGTCGATGAAGCATTACTGGGCGCTGGAGGGTCTGCTTTGGAGAGCGACTCGGAAAGCGCCTGTGCTGAGAGCTGTTGCTGCTGGAGAAGCTGTGACGACGAAGATGGGCGTGGTGGCTCATGGCCAGCCGACATGTCGACATCCATGGTGCCACGTCTGGGTTGCGCCCAGGCAACTCGATGAGTGCGTTCTGTGAAAATGACCGGGCTTACAAGTTGTTTCCCTGCGCTTCCCTCTGTCGGACAAGAAGGAACCAAACCGCCCAGGCCTGGAGAGAGATCAATTCGACAGAGGCCCAAGGTAAGGGGAAGCGAAGGGAACTAGACTGGCTGGCCGGAGTGATATTGGTTGTCTCTTTAAGGTGTGGGCCGCTCTGGCAAGTGCCTCTGCAATGGTGTCCAGTTGCTGGTATCGCCTCAGGACGGGGACTCCAGACACGGACAGGAAATGGTGACGGAGGAGGCAGCCACGGCGGCGGTGGCATTTCATTTGGGTGCGTGGAGAGATAGGTACCTGATTGCTGGCACTTGCTTGCCGTAGTGGACGTGCTTCAAGCAGGTCCCAAGTGCAGGTACCTGCTTGGGCTAGTACTTGAAAACCCCACGGGCCGATCAAATGTTCATCAACATGTCCCGCCTTTCCTCTACCAGGGGCTGTCTTCATTTCTTATTTCGTGTATTTACATATATTTACACACACACATATATATATGTTGCCTTTTCCTTTCATCCGGCTCGTGTCTCTTCCCCAAGATGGAAGAGGGCTAGCCACTGGCAGGCGAAGGAGGGCGGCAGAACGATATACATACCCCCAGAATCGAATTGGATGGGTCGGGGAATCATTCCTCCACCCACCCCCTCTGTGCTTTAGTGGTCTCATGCTGAGACCCGCGTTTCGAGAACTGCGCGACACGGCCCCTCCCTTCCCCGAACATCCGGACTGCCTGGTCGACCAGGTTGGAGGGCGACTTGGTAAAGGGCATGCGCGCTGCTGCGATGCAAGGCCAGCTGCAAGATGCACACCGAATGCGAATTTCTGCGCAAACCTGGTCCCCGTCACCTGACGCATGCCCTTATTCAGTGTTCGACGGTGTGTGGTACACCTAGGAAGGCAAGAAGTTTGTTCGCATCGTTGTTTCAAGTCATCTCATATCGCGATATTCTCCATACAGTGGGCACCCACTTTGCGCATTGGTAATCGTTCGCCTTCTATTTGTGTTTCTAGGGCCCCGTGCTAGTGGCTTGAATCTGGGCTTGAGTATTTACTCGAAGCACAAATCTAGGTGCCTTGGGAAGCTCTATACATTAGCTCCCAGGCTCTTATGGCTTGGTCACAGGAAGGTAAAAACAGTGGGCTATGTACGGACCAGGCACTGACAACAAAGCTAGGGGCTGTCATCCATTGTGGCACTTTTTCTTGACCTCAATATGATCACAAGTAGAGTAGCTCGGCGAAGGAGCTGAAGGGCTAGACCTCGCTGATCCAAGAAGGCTACCTGCAGCAATCTCACCGTTCTCACCCCCACACAGCCCCCCTCGGTGGCATTCCCATTCACCTAGAGCACGAGGGGAGAAGATGACCGTGGGTGCCTGGGCAGGTAAGCCAGTCTGGTATGGTATCACCAACTGCGAGTTTATTGCCATGGCAAAAGAGGCAGATGCATGCCAAGCAAGTAATACGCAGCCCAAATCTCCCCTCATGACCAGCTGCAGTTGACGAGCCAAGCGGCGCACGCCCCCCCGGATCACACATGATAGTTATGGCCTCTGCATTTTCACATGCTAACAGTCGGATGTGGGCACAACACCACATGCTTTGTTTGGTGTTTGGCTGACGCCGAACCGTCAATGATTGGCTGAGCTGCGTTACTTGGCGCCGCTGTTGCTCAATGTACGTTCCGGCACCACGAGGACAGATGATGCAGAGAAGCAAAACCCCGGAATTTCAAGGTTGTCTTGTATCTTGTACTCCGTAGTTCCCCGCAACTCCAGGCGTGGTCCCACACCCTCCAGATGCGCATTACGGAGGTGAAGCCCTCAATAGGACAATTCTTGCTCATAATTGAGCGGTGGAGGGCGTGTATATAGCATTTCCCCCTTCATTTGCTGAGGGGGCTGACTCGCCTTCTCTCGGTACCAACGCGAAGAGTCACCTAATCCCTTTTTAATTGCCCTGGCTCAGCCAAACCTCGTACCCGCCTTGCATCATCTCCGGTAGGGAGCCAGGTTCGTGAAAATGCTCGCTACGTATGGACCTAGTCGACGTGACCTCGTCCCATTTAGGCCGTTATTGATTTCCCCAGGGCTGAATGTGGAGTTGAGGACAGCATTTAAGAAAGTTGCGACATCAGCAAGGCGCGACTACTTGAATATTGGTGTTGGGAAGACTATAATTGAAAAAACTCTTGCTCTAATTTACATGTCTGATTACTATGTGTATCCTTTGTAGTGAGGCCGTCGCCTAAAGCACGCCTGTCTTCGATAGCTTGTAAATGAAATATCCCCCTAAAAGTTCTGACATTCCTGATATATTTTGATCAGATTGTAGACTGACCCTGCAGTATGTAGTTTGCATTGCTCAAACTCTAGTATCTCTATGAGCTTTTGGGTGCTGGCGTGTCATGGATTGCCACGCCCGCGATAAACATGGCACTGACACCCTCCAACGCAGCTACAAATGAGCACATAAGGCTGGCGATTGCAAAGTGACTAATGGTGGATCCGATTTCTAGCCAAGATCCCTCATCCTTGACAACCCAGAAAAAGTAGAGAGTCAGAATGTCGCTCAGCGCCATGGCCAACATGAAGAGAGCCGATGGAGCTACCCCTAAACGTTTGTTGAGTATTCCTAGATTGGCTGAAATGAGCGCGAAAGGAATAAGGATCTTAACAATAAGCAGTGCTCCCTGTGAGAAGGGATCAAACACGGGGATTAGTCGGGTAACACTTTCAAGACTGAAGGTCGACACCGATGCCACATTGCCAGTGCTGAAGAAAGCTGATTGGAGAAGGATCAAGAAGAACAGCCCGACCCTTGCGTCGGAGAGTCGTAGAGGCCTAAAGAGAGGGGGCTGAGCTTTCCCATTGGGTTTGGCGTGGCCATTCTGCGCATGACGCGCCAAAGAAAAGCTTTGCAGGCTGTATTCGAGGCGCAACCAGGTGAAAAGGGTGACAGAAAATGCGACATAAAATAAACCCTCCCAAGAAATGGCAAGAATGACAAATGTCGGGGCGCATGTCAAGAAGATTACCACCAATCGGTGAATGTAATTGGTAGTTGGTGCAAGCCGGTACGCAAGGGGGATCAAAAATGAAGTAACTGCTCATGTTAGTTGCTATTTCTGCAAGAGAGATCACGCAGAGGGACAAGTTAAGGTGAGAGATGGACAAAAAAAGGAATTGAACATACTCAGTACTATCCACCCCGTGATCTGATTACCAAGTGGCAGACCATTCTTAGCTTGTAGTGATAGTACGCTGGACCGAGTGACAAGCATTGAGAGTACTATCAGACCGATCTGAGCTTTGTTAGTAAGTTGAGTAACAGAACGGGATGACCCTACCGGGGAGGGACTCTACCTGTACGCCGGCCAACGTCCTTCCGATTAGGGAACTCTGCTTTGCTTGTGCGGCTTTTCGTGTCCAGGAAAAGTCTGCAAGCACGTATTCTTCCATCGAGAGGTAAAATAGTCCAATCAGAACCATAAGTGATCCTCCGGACAAACTAATGAAGATTAGCTACATTATAATTATCGGTATCTGGAAAGCTGACAACTTACATTTGGTTCACGTCCTCTAGTTTGTTAGCTGGGAGGAGGGTGAACACGCTCATCACACCACACGAGGCCACCCATGTCAAGCTGAGCATGGCGTGTGATTTCAAGAAAGAAAACCCTTGGAATACCGGCCATAATGCTCCAATAATATACAGACCAGTAAAAATTTCACGATGAATGTAAGCTAGAGCCTGAGACACGGGTTAGTTGGCTTTGCTACACGCACCAAAGGGAAGGCGTAGGGGAAACGGATGACTCACCAGTGACATAATAACGGCCACATAAAGAACAGAGTGAACGACGAAAGTCAGCCACGCGCCGACCGACTGAATATGCCCAAACAACTGTTCCCGGCCTCGCGAAAGACTGGCTCGCCGTGCGTAAACTTCCTCCCAGAAAAAAACCGGGAAAAACGCGTAGGCATAGTATGTTACTGGCGACCTAGAAATAACGAATGATGCATACAGAGCTGCAAGAATAGAGGTTGATACAATGGTCCCGGTCCAGTTCCTTTGAGGTGCAATGCTTTGTTCTAGAACAAATAGGTTGATCACTATTGTGATGGCGTATGCCATCCAACCTAGGTATCCAATGGTGACGACACCCCTCAAGAACAACCAGTCGTAGGTCTGGAGATATCGAAGACCTTCTAAGGTGATAGAAATGAGAGAATCAGTTTCTTCAATGGCTTCCTCGTATTTCCCAGCCTCGATTAGGCTGCGAATCCCAATAAGCCGTTCTTCAGCAGTCTTCCCTTCCTCACTGAGGGGTTTATACGGCCGAAATCTCAATTCGGTCGCCCGCTTGTTCTCTTCCTTGACATTGTATTGCTCGATAATACAATGAGCATTAACTAAGACAGCCTCAGCCTTCTCGCGATCATTTGCGGAAAGGAAGGATAGGGGCAATTCGCCGACAGAATTTGCGGGAAACTCAGTCCCAACTAAGTATGCCATTAGAGCGGCCACGTCGGCCTGGGCCACGTCATGACGGCGGACATGATTCATGTTCCAGTCGGAAGAGTATGCATCATGACCAGGTGCGACTGAGCCGGGGTAAAGGTCAGGTTTAGCTACTCCTGAACCCCATGCGATCAATGGCGTGCGAGTGTTGTCAGGGTGTCCATCTCCATGACTACCCCAGTCACTCATTCCGTGATCTGCCGTAAACACAAACGCAGTTCTGTCATCGGCGTAGAAATTCTCGATAATTTGGGTAATCTCCTTCACTCCCTGATCAACAACCTTGAGATTGTGTAGATATTCGGCAGAATAAGGGCGATAGGAGTGGCCATTTGTATCAAGACCGAGCAGATGGAGGAAAAAGACAACTTTATCTTCACGGAGAGCTCGGTTTAGAGTCTGATTCTTTGCTGCCTCGGAGAAAAAGTCCCTGACATGGTCAAATACCCAATAGTCCAGCTGCAAAGCACCCTGGGAGAAATCCTCCATCTCTGGCGGATACATATATGCATCCACCCGGCCTGGAACCGCACCCTTCTCAAACATGGGAAGAATATCTGGACTCCCCCAGCTCCAACTATGGCGACTTCTATTGAAGACGCTGTCAAAGTTGACAGGATTCAATTTCCAACCTGTTGCGACAGCTGAGACATCTTCGTAGAGACCGGCGATGAGAGCGACGTGGCCGGGGCGAGACTCGGTTGGTACTCGTGTATGCGAAATACCGAAGGTTCCATGTTCAAGAATTCGAGAACGAAGAAAGGGGGCTAACGGTCGGGGGACTAAATCGTCGTCGGTCTTAGGATATGGCTCAGGGAAAGACTGAAAAGCCTTGTCGGCGCGCAATCCGTCTCCTTAATGATCCATAGGAATTAGCATGTGCCTGGTATAGCAAGGCCAGGACGGATAGGGTGGCTCACCAACAAAGAGGACAAGCCTATCGGCGGGGGCCTTGGTGGACGGAGCTCGCTCAACTTTGTGTAGGCGCATGCCCGACACAATTGGGCTGACAAAGTATACATCGAAGATGGAAAGAAGGTAGACAAGATGGAAGACAATAGCAATAGCTAAGAAGCTAACCCGTGACAATCCAGCCATGGCGGCGGCTGTGCTGGCACTTAGAATATTTGCGACTGGCTTGGAAATTTCAAGAAGAGGCCATGGCTCGGTTCAACAAGGGATTGCCGGATTTCTCTCGGGGTAGAAGATGATTCAAAAGAAAAACAATCAAAAGATTGACGAGAACGTCGACAATTACGACAGATGTGCAGAGGAAAAGAGCGTAGGTCTAGTCAGGGCCGCGGGACTGGCAAAGCATCCAATAACGGTGATGACGGGAGCTTCTTTTAAGCATCCAGGGAGCGGTGTTGGCATTAGCGCGTTCCTGATGAATTGATTGAAAGGACACGCCGCGTGGACCGCATGGCCAAAGCGGCAAGTGGGCGGCCCTGGCCTGTAGCAGCCACGCCTCACCATTCATCCTGTCCACACTTTGCAAGGTGATGTGCCATTGGTCATCAGGGTTCGCAGCCAATTCCAGTTAACCGTTTGTCTTTAATAATCGAATGAACCTTGATGGTGTCCCATTTTTCTAAAGTGTTCTAGGCATTCTATATCGCAACAGCCACACACGGACACTTGTCCCTAAACAAGGCGGTATACAACGCCAGTGGACATACATGATCATCACCGGCAGTGGCTCTAAGCTTCAAGGGGTATCAAACCAAATCAAATCAACCCGCAGTAATCCAAGGCAATCGAGTCTCCCCCCTCCCGACCAACTCCTTTTCTGGAAGGTCCTACTCCAACCTTTCTGTCAAAGCTTTAACGATAACTGCGTAGAAATTTGAAGCCTGTGGCCGTGTGAACGCAAGATCATCCACTAAATAATTGGGTAGCCGATCCATCAATTCACCGTCGCGGTTACTATCCAGCTGCGGTCGGTATTTGTATTTCACGTCCTCAAAGTTGTCGACCGAATCAATGCTATCTACAGCAAGTTTGAAGTGCAAAGCTGGTGATTTGAATTAGCATCCATCGTCCGCAGTTACCAGGCCTGGCCTGCCAGGTGAGTGCAAACTTACTTCCGTTCCTGCCTGTCTGAATGCAGTCAAATACATCTTCTTCCCCTTCCTGTTTGAAGCCTCGAACAATAAGACCCGTGAGATCAGTGTAAAGGTCTTCCTTTGCTTGCGCCGCATGCGCCGCCGAGGAAGAGGCCTGTCGACTGGCGGCCGTTGTCGATTTAAGGGCACTGCCAGGAGGAACCCTGGAAGCTGCCTCCGCATTTCGAGCGGCGACAAGCTTGGTGTTCAGTGTCTTGATCTCTGACCTGGCCTCGTCTAGGCTCGTGTTCAGATCATTAATCGTGGTTCGTAAAGTGTCGCATTTCGCCTCGCTCAGGTCCAGTTTGTGCTGTGCGGCTTTGCCCTGCTTTGCCAATATTGTTTGGGTTGCAAGCTCTGCCTTGAGCTGCTCGATGAGTTTATTGGCGGCTAGTATGACCGAATTAGTAACTGCCATCGAAACGTTAGCCTTTGGGTACGGGCTCACTTACATTCGTTGCTCTGCTCTGCTTGTGTTTTTAGGCGCTCGAAATTCCTCTCGGCGTCCTTGATCGCAACATCGCGCAAGTCTCTATGCCTAGCTTCCAAGTTCGCATATCGCTTCGACAGTTCTTCCAAGTGCCTCCTCATCGATGCACTGTCGATTTCGTCCAGGTCATCCACTTGATCAACGATAATTTCTTCCGTTGAAGGCTCGTCGAGATGCTGAAGACTTTTATCCGCCTGGATCTTGCTGTGCATTTCTACATCCTCGACGTCCATCTCCTGCGTCCCGGATGTCTCTTCTTGGGCTTGGATACCGTTTGCCCCTGCTCGACGGCCACTTGTTCTAATTGCCTTGGCTTTGACTGGAGGTTCTGTTGGCTGTTGCGCGTCATTTGCGCTTGATCTCTTTGGCCTTCCGCGTCGAGCCGGTGCAGGTTTCTCCGGCACTTGATTGGAAATAATCGATTGATCTTGTTTCTTTGGCGCTTTTGAGACTCTAATGGTATTTGAACTTTTCTCCTCCAGGGCTTTCCGAGTAGTTGACGACGTAACAACGGATTGCTGTTTCAGTCTTTGTGCTGGTTTAGTAATCTTATTGGCTGGAGGACGGCCTCGAGCTGCACGCTTCGGAGCAGGAGCAGGAGAGATGGGCTGCTGTGCAGGCTGGGCGTCTTGAAATTCAAATGAATCCATATCTGGCTCTGAGTCCGATTCTATCAGGCTGGTGAGGCCGAAGGACGCTTTCGTTCGTGGTGGCATATTGAAGAAGAATAAGGATTATGTTATTTAAAAAATGATGCTTTTGAGAAAGTTGGGTAATAGCTTTACATGCAACCGCGGCGATCCTTGTAAACATAGAAGTCAATCAGGCTCGCCGTCAGATGGTGAGAATGATGGAGGGGCTGCAGAGGTCGCGATGGCAAAATTACCTAAAATGGATGAATGTAAACAGAAATACAGAGTGGAGTTAATGCTCCAGTCTGCACAGTCTGTACCTATTGGATTGACCCTGAAGCTTGTGCATGTGTTAGTGGATACTAGGTACCTACAGACCAAGGGGCGCGCACTTCTCTTTGCCAGGCTGCACCAATCGGTCTTAGCGTCTCCATGTCTCGAATGCCCACTTCTGCACCATTAGTCAGACCTCGGTGGCGGATTGCGTCTATCTTTCACGTTATTCGGCAGTCGATCATCAAACAAATTATCAGCATCACATTCAGTCTATCCCGTATTCTCAAGACGAGTCTTTGCGCTTAGACAGCAATTATATCTGGCCGAGGCAAAAAGCGCATGCAGTCTCTCGTCTGATGCCCGAGGAACCTCTCTCTTGGCTACGGTTAGCCTTTGGGATGGGGGAGCGACGCAAACTTGGCGATGTCGCCATGGACGTCCTTTTGTTTGCGGGTGTTGTAGGTGCTGCATCAGCCACCATATATCATCACAACTAACATGCATTAACTAGATGACAGCCGGAATTTACGTTGCTCGCAGCTTCCTGAACCCGATTCTGAGCAGCTTGGTCGACCCAGAAAAAGAGAAGCAAGAGCAGGCCAGACGACAAGCAAAGGCGCATCTAGAACGCCTGAGCCGCCGACAGCGAGGGCCGGAAGACCTTGATGAGGACAGTAGTGGATCCAGAAAAGGGCCTCGGCTGGAGGAACTTGCGCTGAATGAATATGAGAATCTCATCGCCCTCGAAATGGTTGCGCCAGAGGACATTCCGGTTGGATTTGATGGTGAGTGAGGCCCCTTGCAACAACTTGCGGTGTAGTACCAGGCATTCGGGGATTTGTCTGACGATTACAGACATCGGCGGCTTGGAATCAATCATCGAAGAAATCAAAGAATCAGTAATTTATCCGCTCACGATGCCCCATATCTACTCACACGCCGGCTCTCTGTTATCTGCGCCGTCGGGCGTCCTTCTTTACGGGCCCCCGGGGTGCGGAAAGACCATGCTGGCAAAGGCCGTGGCACACGAGAGCGGCGCTTCGTTCATCAACCTGCATATTTCAACATTAACAGAGAAATGGTATGGTGACTCAAACAAGATTGTGCGGGCTGTTTTCTCTTTGGCCCGGAAAATGCAACCGGCAATCATCTTCATCGACGAAATCGATGCGGTTTTGGGCACACGGAGGAGTGGTGAGCATGAAGCTAGTGGAATGGTGAAAGCAGAGTGAGATGAAATTCAATCCAGGCATGCTGTCCCTACCGAAACCTAGCTAACTCTAAGGGCCCCGCCCTTTCTTTTCAGGTTTATGACGCTCTGGGATGGGTTGACATCTGTCGATTCTGCAGGAAGACCAGCTCAGATCGTGGTACTGGGCGCAACGAATCGAATCCACGACATCGATGAAGCGATTCTACGACGAATGCCCAAGAAATTTCCAGTACCTCTACCCGGCCAAGAGCAAAGGCGGAGGATTTTGCAACTGGTCCTCAAAGACTCGAAAACAGACCCGAACCACTTCGATATCGACTATGTATCAAAAATCACCGCCGGCATGTCTGGCAGTGATATTAAGGAGGCCTGCCGAGATGCAGCAATGGCACCAGTCAGGGAATATATGAAGGAACACAGAACTCAGGGGCGATCAATGGCGCCTGTTGACCCACGGAATTTCAGAGCAATCCGAAATGATGACTTTTTTGGGAGACGAGTCGGTCAGAGGGTCGCGATCCCGGAGGAGTCTACTGCACACACCAGGGTGTCCAGTGCAAGATTTCACGACGCACAGGATGAGTTGATTGTAGAGGAACAGGACTGATCCGAGCGATGCACATAGTCATCGGGCAGGCCTTTCACTCTGAACGTTGGCTGTTCGGTTTCTCATCTTCGATTTTTCGTTCAATACGATGTGGGGATTCTAGCACCTTTCTAATGAAAACATATATTGGCAGCACAAGGGATACATATGGCTGTCTAGCCAGTCAGGGAATATAACAAGCATCTGGGCGAGGGCGATCATTTTATCTGTACAATTACAAACCAATATACATTCACAGACACGTCTTTGACATTCACGGTGTTTACTCATTCCATCGTTGTGTCAACAAAAGTTCTCATGAATGGGTATCGCTCATCGTCTGGGTGGTTGTAGATATGCGACCAGTCGGCGCGAAGAAAGCTTACCCCATCATGCCTTTTTCCCACTGCTATTCAGTGGCTCGCCGGCCCCGATGGCACTCCACGACCGGACTGTCGGGCCAGTGCGTACACTGTACGTATGAGCACGTCATCGGGATTCGGTATTGCTAGTACTCGCTACATTACCACAGGGCTTGATAACGGGGTACATGGCCCGCGCTCTAGCCGCCACCACTAACGGCGGTACTCGCATATGACTCTGCCCCTCCCTCCGTACATCGGCATGAGTCCGAATGGCGAATAGCGGTGGGTGATGCATGTTTAAACCGATCTGCAAGGGTCAATTGGAAGGAATGACCAATCCCTAGCTCCTGCTTCAAACTTCGCCCGACTGCCCTGCCGCCGTTTTTCTGGTTTCCTGGCTCTCAGCATATTGTATAAGATACACGTTGTATCGTTCCAATCCTAGCATTCTCTATTATTCTTTCCATATCTGACGATTTTGCGTGATTCCAATTGCTGGATTCACGCTCCTCTTCCCTTGCCATCCTCCGTCATGTCCGCCCCGCCTCCGCCAAATGGCGATGCCAATTCATCCTCCACCGACGACAAGAAGTCAAACCCACTGCTGAAGCGAGTCGACCTCGATGGACACGACCTTCCTCCCTCACCAGCCCCGTCTAGTCCCCGAAACGGACGTCGCAGATATGCCCTGGCCACTGAGCTAGTATACACTGACAGCAAAGATCAATATGGTGCCTCCAGCATACCCATTTACCAGTCAGCTACCTTCAAACAGACCAGCGCAAGCGGCGGACAGGCTGAGTATGATTACACTCGATCTGGAAATCCTACCCGAACCCATTTAGAACGCCATCTTGCCAAGATTATGAATGCCAATCGTGCCCTAGCCATCAGCTCTGGCATGGGTGCACTCGATGTGATCACCCGTCTACTGCGGCCAGGCGACGAGGTCATCACCGGTGATGATCTTTACGGTGGTACTCACAGACTGTTGACGTACCTGGCAAGTAACCAGGGAATCATTGTTCATCATGTCGACACGACCGACGCCGAGACGGTCAAGGCACGCATTTCGGACAAAACTGCCATGGTCCTCCTCGAAACGCCTACAAACCCTCTTATCAAGATTGTTGATATCCCAACAATTGCCCGGAACGCCCACGAAGCAAATGAGAAGGCCCTTGTTGTTGTTGATAACACAATGCTCTCCCCAATGCTTTTAAACCCCCTCGACCTCGGTGCTGACATCGTTTACGAGTCAGGCACCAAGTATCTCTCAGGTCATCACGACATCATGGCTGGTGTGATTGCAGTGAATGATGTTGAGATTGGTAACAAACTATTCTTCACTATCAACTCAACTGGCTGCGGTCTGTCGCCCAATGACTCATTCCTTCTCATGAGAGGAGTCAAGACTCTTGCCATTCGTATGGAGAAGCAACAGACCAATGCCCAGGCTATTGCTGAATTCCTCGAATCGCACGGATTCCGAGTTCGATATCCTGGACTCAAAAGTCATCCTCAGTATGACCTACACTGGTCAATGGCCCGTGGCGCTGGCGCTGTCCTGTCCTTCGAAACCGGTGACCCAACAGTATCCCAACGAATTGTCGAAGCGGCAAGATTGTGGGCCATCAGCGTCAGTTTTGGTTGTGTCAACAGTCTCATTAGCATGCCTTGCCAGATGAGCCATGCTAGCATTGATGCCAAGACAAGAAGAGAAAGACAGATGCCGGAGGATATCATTCGTCTATGCGTCGGTATCGAAGATCCTGCTGACTTGATTGACGATTTGTCCCGCGCTGTAAGTATCCTCCCTTTCCTTGCGATGTCACGCCGGGTATTGTGTGCTAACTTAATCTATAGCTGGTTCAAGCTGGTGCCGTAAAAGTGACTTTGGACGGTTTTCATGCGACAGGTGCTGCTGAAGAGCTTGGACGAACTCCACGCCCAGCCAACTGAAATCGAAAGGGCAGCCACGACGAGTTGAACTTTTCGTGATACCCTGGCCGGCTATGGCAACTATGTTCCTTCAGTACGGTTATGCCAATAAAAAAAAATGAGGATGACAATGGTTGAATTCATGAAAAAAAGAGACGAAGACCATTTGAACCCCGGAATAGTGCAGCGATGCTCATAATACAAACCGGGTATGGTAACTGTATTTACCTACTCTTTTTGGGGGGATGAATTTTTTTTTTAACAATGGCCTATGCTTGGATATGCTCTCGAAATATTCGCCAAGCACATTACATATTTGCTGAGCAGCTTCATCCGTGAACAACCAAGCATACAAGGCTTGTTCCTTCGCATTTGCCACTATGCTAAGAGGGTAGCGGGTGCTATCTGTATGCGCTGTTAGCACAGGTCAGTTGCTACTGAAGGAACCAGGGAGAGTCAAATGGATATGGCGCACACCCAGTGACTTGTTTCTTTCGTTGGGGTTCATTGCGTGGAGTTCACTACTAGTCAAGGCGGCGTGGGTGTCTGACCAAGAAGCACAGCATCTTATCGTTCTTCTTTTAAGATGCCGAGAATGCTGGCCGGATCTGGAGTGGACTTTTACTTTGTTAACTTCTCTATCGGGGTGGTTAAGTCACAAAGGCTTCTCCTATAATTGAAGGGCATTTCCATGAACGAAAGCTACAATGAATTTGAAATAACGATCCTAAAAATTTTTGTATTTTGGGTGAGGTGAACATATATACCTATGTACACGCATGTAGAACGCTAAGCACTAAAAAGGGACATGTACACTAAGGTAGCATCGATAATTGTTATTTGTAGGGGTGTAGGATAAAATTGAAGTAGAAAGGTAACGATGTTTCTTCTAATTCAGAAGCAGAGAAAGACATAAAGAAAGAAAGTATGTCTGAGAGGAGGATATCATGTAAAACTAGGAAAAATCGAAACGATCAGGAAGAACAATGGGGGCCACCAGTGTCCAGATGTACAGCCCGTGGCATGCCCAGGCACACACAATCTTGACCCAGCTTGCCCCCATCGTGCGTCCAACCGATGCAAAGTCTCCGTCCCGCTTGGTTGTTTCCCAATTGAGAACGAGAAGTGTCGACACCCAGGCGGTGGCGAGGAAAAAGATGATGTGGAACATAGTGTAATTGTACTGGGTCTTGGACCTTTCGTCGTCACCGGTGGAGTCAACCCCGGCATCACTCTCGTCGTCGGACAGTAATGCGTCGGCTGGGAGACTACCCTCTTCCACGGCACGTCGGAGTGCCTCGGCTCGCATCTCACGACGAGCATTGGGTTGCTGCGTGATGAGACCATGCTCATCATCGTCAGGAAGACGAATGTTTCCACTCCCCTCTCCACCTAGACCAAGACTTTGTGTCGCAGCTCGAGTGGTGGTGTAGGCAATAGTAAGCATGGTTACGATAGCGCCGATAACGACGGACGTGGTTCTTGTCCCCTTGGCGAGCGACAGGCGGTTACACTGATCATTGTCAGGCTCCATGGCGACGGCCGACATGGTCAGGTAGGTGCAGTAGATGGCCACCATGGCAGCCTGAGCGAGGCCAGCTTTAGGGTTATGCTCTTGAACAGTAGGGTTGACGGATATGACGGAGATTATGATCCAGAGAATAAGGTTGATGGTGATGACAGCCTGGTTCATGGTGCAAGCTGAATTCGCAGCGAAGAAGACGTATTGAATGACGGTCATAGCGATCGAGCCAATATACATGCCGAGTGTAGAGCCGATAAGAACGAATCTCCAAAAGCGGGAATCGGTGTCCTCAATCTTGGCCAGGCAGTATTCAGCCCAGCTATGTGCCAAATCAACAAGCAGAACCAGACCGAGGACAAGGAATAGACATGCGCCAGCACGGGCAATATAATTGCCCCAGAACATGAAAAATGCGTCCGGGATGAGGAAGGAAAGGACAATGAAAGCAAGCCAGACGATTATCTTTGGGCCCCAGTATCCGTTCTGAATCGCGGCACGAGGGTTTTTGGTAGAGGAGACGCCAAACATAAGACATCCGAGAACGAGGTGGAAGAGGCCCAGAGCAAAATTGATTCTGTGGGCAGCCAGCCATCCATAGCATTGGCCAGTAGGACAATTAATCTTTACATAGTCGAGCGTGAGATGCTGTAGCTTTTCGATGGCCCACGGCGTGAGCATAATCCAAGACAATATCGAGTTGACGAGGAGCATTAACGCGTAACCGATACGGGTAGCGACACTAGGACGTAGGTCAGTCATCGGCCGGGAGAATAGTTGGAGGGAGTTCTAGACAAGGTAAACCGTACCTGTTCCCGCATTTGCCGCAGGCGCTGCAGACCATGGAGCAAGTAGCCGCGCCACAACAACTGGCAGCGCATGACAAGAGCTATTCAAAACGATCAGTTTCCGTAAAGTGAAAGTACATAAAGCAAATATAGGGGATAATCTTACGGTTCCCATACTGGGCACCGCCAGGAGCGGCAGCGACAAGAAGGCACCCATGTTGCTGGACCTAGTCGCGACTAGACGGTTAATCGAGCAAAGGAGATTGCGCCGGACGAGCGCAAAGAGCGTGTGTAGTCTTTCACTATGATATTTGGCTGCGGCTAACGGGGCGGGCTGAAGGATAGGGTGATGTCCAGAGCGCTTGTCTGGGCGCCGTTGGGTGCAGTAGCCGTCTTGCCACCAAAGGGAGAGGGACGTTGGATGATGTAGTTGGCGATGGAAACCTGCCTGGGCTCGTTACGTAAGGCCACCACCGCCACTGCCGTACGTGCCTTATGTCAGAGCTGAGGCTGAGCCCAGGCCTTATCTTATCGCCCGGCACGTGAAGCGCTGGGACCCTTCGTCAGCTCTCCGCAAGTTCCAGAGCAACGGCCCACCGCCACAAACCGGAACAGTGCCAGCGCAGGTCTTCTGCAGGGACTTTAGCGACTGGATGGATACGTGAAGGCTTAAAATAAAAGGAGGTGACCAACCAGCGGCCGTGTCGCCCTCGCCTGTGTCTCGAGCGTGGCATTTCCCTTCCGCCCTTAAATTACTTAGTTGTCCTGCTCTGTTGGTCTCTCTGCTCCTGCCACGGACTGCCGGCTGTGCTTTAGTCTAATTCTATACTCCTCGTTCCCCTGGGATTGACCATTCATGGATACACCGCAGTAGACGCTCTTGCTTGCATGTGTTTGTGGTTTTGAGGATGAGACTATCCCTGTTCGATTCGTCAAGCTCCCTTGTCCGTAAAGCTTGTTTCTAGGTCTTGCTCCAGACTTAGCGCAACTGGCTTCAGGTCGAATAAGTCGTCGCAACTCAGTCCAATTCGGCTCGCCTCAACTCAGAGAGCTGGCTCTCTGGCCCATTTCCAAAACTGCAGCCATGGCCGCAAACATTACCGTAAACCGTTGGCGCATCATTGCCAGTATCGCGGCCACACTTGTCGCTCTCGCCTGCGGAACCAACGTGAGTTCCCGTCGTCTCCTGTCTCTCTTCACTCTCTAATCGCTCACTATCTACTTCATATAGTATGTCTACTCTGCCTGGGCTCCGCAGTTTGCACAGCGCCTCAAGTTCTCAGTCACGCAGAGCAATCTGATCGGACTCTTTGGCAACCTGGGCATGTATACTCTGGGGATTCCTGTCGGCATGTTCGTCGATCACAAAGGTCCCCGCCCTGCTATTCTTGCCGGGGCAGTCTTACTCGGTGTGGGATACTTCCCCTTCCACATCGCATACGACAGGGGCTCGGCTCATGTTTCTCTCCTGTGCTTCTTTTCTTACCTGACCGGCTTGGGTGGCTGCATGGCCTGTTCCGCCGTCGTCAAGATATCGGCTCTGAACTGGCCCAACCATCGCGGAACTGCCACGGCGTTTCCCCTTGCCGCCTTTGGCCTCAGTGCTTTCTTCTTCTCCTCCCTCGGTTCCCTCCTCTTCCCCGGTAACCCGAGCGATTTCTTGTTGTTGCTGGCGGTTGGTACTTCCTCCATGACTTTCATTGGCTTCTTCTTTGCCAAGATCCATCCAGATCCGTCAAGCTCACCAAGCTCCTCCGACGCTGCCTATACGTCTCTAAACTCGGTTGACCCAGAAAGTCATCCACATGGTGATGATGATGAGCCCCTACAGCATTTACACCCCAGAGAATTAAGACTACTCCCAGAACCCGGCACGCCGCGCCGGACATCAGCTGCCATCAACTCGCACAGTTCTAGCCAAATCAGCTCTCCTGGTTATCCCAGTCACAGCATTGATTTGGATGATGATCAGGCCCGACTTTCTGTTGACGCCTCTCACACAGACCGCCTTATCCCCACTTCAGATATGCTCGAGTCCGGCCAGTCGCATGTAGATATCCGGGGCCTCAATCTCATAAAAGATCCCACTTTTTGGTTATTCTTTACCATCATGTCGATTCTAGCAGGGGTCGGCATCATGACCATCAAGTAAGCCAACAATCACTTATCTACATTCCACAGGCCCCATTTGAAGCATATCTAACTGTTGCCAGTAATATTGGAAACGACTCCAAGGCTCTGTGGGAGCGATTTGATCCGACCGTCACTCAACATTTCCTCGTTGCAGCCCAGCAGATGCATGTTTCCGTCCTGTCCGTATGCAGTTTCGTGGGCAGACTCAGTAGTGGTATGCATAGCAGTCTCATCGTCAGAGATCTGGTGAAGCATCAATACTGACAATTCATCAGGCGTTGGGTCGGATTGGCTCGCCAAGAGCTATGGGGCCAGCCGTGTGTGGTGCCTTGTCATTGCAACCGTCATCTTTTTGGCTGCGCAGCTCTGTGCTCTCAATATCGAAAACCCTCGCCTCCTTCTTTTCGTCTCAACCCTTTCTGGCCTAGGGTACGGCTTTCTCTTCGGTGTGTTTCCATCGATCGTGGCCGAGCAGTTCGGCATTCACGGAATGAGTCAGAACTGGGGCTTTCTCACGATGGCGCCAACCATCACTTCCAACGTGTTCAACCTCTTTTATGGACACATCTATGACCAACAGGTCACTGTCAAAGATGATGGTGAGCGGGTCTGCATGCATGGGCTGGGCTGCTACAAGGATGCGTACTGGCTTACTTTGGCTGCTTGCGCCATAGGCCTCGGCGTTTGTTTATGGGTCATTCATTATACCAAGCTTCAAAGAAGCAGGATATTTGCCAAGGAAGGGGGACAACTCTAGATCTACGAGTAATATCAAGGGCTTGGGCCTATCTTCATCCCATCGTTGAGGCTTACGGTTGAGGGCAAGATCTTTCAATAGAAAAAGAAAAAGAAAAGAAAATCGGGTTTTGACCAATTGTCCGCAAACTTCTAAGCATGGTGACACAGTTCAGCAGTGAATGAACATGAAGGTTTTTAGTTTTAATACGTTGAACATACAATCATCTAATCTCTATGTATCTGCCTCATGTGGACGCCGTCCGTCCCTTTTATTTTCTTCGTCATCCAAAGTTCACGAGATGACTAATTTCTCGGGAAATGTCCATCCAATTCCTCCTTCTACCCACTAGAATATCTCCTTCTTTGGAGTTTGATAGCCACCATTATATGAAGACCCCCTCATCTCCCAAGAGTAACAAAATGAAACAATATAAGAGCTAATATTGATATATTCCCTCCAATGTATTAATCCAAATGCATCTTTCGAATCAGATCACCCCAAGAAACGCCAAAGCAATGCGAAGGGGGGAACAATGCCGCCATGGATAAAAAAAAAAAATCATGTCCACGCTTCCTGGCAGTGGACGCAAAATATACAATATGACGAGTCAATATTTGTCGCGTCATCGATGAAAAACAAGATATAGGTTAAGCTCTTGAACGGCTGCCTATACGACACGGATCCCGTTAGACCGCGCGTACTACCCAGAAGACACGAGGCCCCCTGAAGTAAAAGCATATTGCTCGAAATGAAGAGCTTGCTTGATCAACACTCTGCTGAAGCGCCGCGGCGCCCTAGGGCGACTTTCTCCCTTTTCGAGCCTCGGGTCCGTTGGCATTAAACAAGGAGCCAAGAAAGGTAAGAGACCACGAGTCCGCAGTGGAGTGGACGATGGCAAGCCAGGCTGCGATAATATTGACCAAGTAATGGAGCATGTAGGCATGCGAGACGCCATATATAGCAGCACAGAGAGCAGTTCCAAACAGCAACACGCTCGTAACATGACGTAGTCCGCTTCTGAGTTGTGGTACCATTCTACCAGTTGTCAGATTTTCAACGAGAAGAATGAAAGGCATGATTGACAAAACATTATGATGAGAAGAGAAAGGCGTAAGCCAGTGAACGGCCAGATTCCGAATCCAAACTGCTAGAATCGGGATATTTATGGGCAGAACCCAGAGCATAAGCAAGAAGATGGAATGTGCGTAATTATAGGCGTTCTCACTCGCGCCTAACGAATCTATACCGGTCGTCCGGAGAGCTCGTACAACAGTGAAGAGCTGAACCAAACACGAGACGAGATATGCGAATTGATAAGGGATGAAAATCGAAACCAGGAATAAGAGAGCAGCGGTCGTAATCATCCTTCTGCGAGGGGTCGATGGAGGAAAAGCTGGCGAGCGCGCTCGGCGGTGCTCACTTCCTACGGTACTAGACATGGGAGAGCATCTCACTAAACCATATAACAAGGATAGAAAGGATGTCAATAGCAGAGCGCTATAGTGAACGCCAACGCAAACACCAGTGCAAATGATGCCAATCAGCGGAGTGAGATACCAAAAAAAAGGATCATCCGTTCCGATTAGAAGATCGTTTCGGTGAAAGTCCAGACCGGGAAACTTGAATGTAGCTTTCCTGTTTCCCAATAGCGAATCATCCGCGGTTGCTGCTCCGCCTATCGCCATTGACAATAAAGTCAACGAGAGTAGCATCAAAGGTATGGAGCGTCGGAGTGAGAGTTCAAGTGCCTCAATGAAAGACACAAAGACTCCAGTGCGATCGTAAACATGAAATTGTTTGCGAAGAACAAGCGTGACAATTAAAAGCGGGAAGGCAGCAAAGACGGTTCGATAACGCATATAGAGCTTCCCAAGACTAGTCAAAACGTCCACTTGAATGGATATGTTCAGAGGCGAGTCACATGTTGGGTCGGTCCAGAATTGAAAGCCAACACCATCGGCAGATTTTGAGTCAAGGGAGGGGGGAAGATAAGGCGCCACTCCGTGGAGACTAACACTGGCATTCTGAATATTAACGAAGAATCTTGACTCAAACGGCCTGTTCAGGTATTGACGCATCAATGGCGCAAAAAGAGCCTGACGCGAGTTTCCATTGCCGCATCGTCCACCGGATACGGTTAAGTCGTACACTAGTAGGCTTGATGCAATACTAGGAACTTTGACCTCGGAAACCATAGGCCGGTCAGCCGGCAGTGTTGTCGACAACCCGAACATGAGCAGTCTTGCAAGGCTGATGTCCTGATTCTGGTGATAGTCGATCACGTCACTAAACTCGGCAATTATGAAAGAAGGCTTCTTTGACAGTGACTTGTCCACAACGGCAACGAACTCATGCTCTGAGAGGTGTTCCAGATCATACTGAAGATATGAAAAGGATTGGATGTCTGATTCTTGGCCGGTTGGGAAGGGGAGGACAGATGAGAGGGTCGATGCGGGGAGTAGTGTCGCATCATGACCCGCATTTTTGCATGCCAGGCGTGTGACTTGAGTCTTCCCCTCTGAAAGGTCGATAGCAGCCGAAGAGGGAGGGCCTGGCTGATTGCTTTGAAGTGGAAAGATGTTGCAGAGTAAAACTTCGACCTGGCTGTTGTCGCTAGTTTCTGAGAGGCGGGCATCGGTCAGAAACGAAAATCGCTTGGACTTGGGTGTTCCTCGAGGAGGAATTGCGAGAAGATAAGCCTTTGGCTTGGGAGCAGAGCCCACAAGTGGCAATACAAGTCGCTCTCCAGCATGAACCACGCCCGTAGAAGCGTCATCTATCGTCAACAGTGTAGTGGCCTCCTGCATCAGGGCAGGCTTCTCGGATGTGGCTTCTAATCCGGTGAGAAACCGTTTTTTTAATGCCCTCATACGATCAGCTCGGGGCTTTGTCTGCGAGGCGCGATGGACATCAACGACATCAAACAAGGCGCGCGCAACCACTTTTCTAAACTGGTCACACCAAAGAATAGCTTGATGATCCATGCTCGTCCACACAGTAGGGATGCCCGTAGTAAACACGGTAAAACCATGAGTTTCTGGGACTAACGATTCAAGGCTTGCATAATCAGATGGCACAATAGTGTCAAGGTTGCCTCCAGCAATCGAAACAAGAGTTACATGCCAAAGAGGGTTGTTGTTGGCCCACTTCTGCGTGTAGGCGTGTCTCCAATATGCATTAATCTCATCGTAAATTTGGACAATTTGTCCATCAAAGGTGACAGGAGGACGAGCATGGGGTGCAGACATGGTAACGATGGTGTTGATCGAGTTTGACTGGTAATTGGGCTGAACCAGCATTGCGCGAGCAACAACACCGCCCATCGAGTGGCCGAGAATAATAACAGAGGTGGGATCAGGAAGAGCAGAGTCGCGTGAGGTGCGTTGGGGATCGGAGTAGAGCGAAAGGATGAACCTGACAGCCTCATTAAGATACTCTGCCTGGTCGAGAAGGGTCTGGCCGTGGAAGGCGGTGATGTCCTCATTGAAGTCCACGGTGAAGAAGTCGAGATTCCGAGTACCGCTCGCAAGCTTTGAGCCATCGTATTGGAGATGGTTGTAAAAGTATGATGCTGCTTCGGCCGCAATAGGGCGCACCTGCTTGTAACTTCCAGCATTGCCAGGGATGAAGAGAACGGGGATTCCGTGAAGCTGTAAAGAAAAGTCCTGTCAATTTCAATGGTCCAAGTGTTTATCGCCATATCAAAGCGCACAGGGGTGAGGGAGGGAGGAGGTCAACAAACCCTAGATTCATCATCCACGCCCTGTTCGCGGTATAGGTAGAGTGAGTATTTAGTTGCGAATCGTGTATGCTCGGTATCAAAATCTGTCAGAGGGACATAGGAGGGCCGCATATAAGACATTCGGCAACCCTTGGGGTCAACATGACGAGTAACCAGAGAATTGAGAAGAGCTAGAAGAAGGCATATCCCCAGGAATGAGATAAAGAGCGACAAGAATGATATCGAGTAAAAACTGCGTCTTGATCTTGGGGGGTCCGTGGAATCGGATATCTTCGGCATGCCAATGCCAGCTGACGGGGGTGTTGAAACTGCCATGGAGGCTCTTGACGGCAAGGAGGCACCCTTGGTTACCGGCGGGCCAGTTTTTGACGCAAAACCATTGCCGACAAGCGCAGCGCCCTGCCTTGAGCCCGGGTTGGTACTGGTAGAGATTCGGCTTCTTGTTTGCGAGGATGATTCCGAACGGGAGACAGAAAGAGATGGGCGACCAGCGGGATCGTTGTCGGACTCGAGAGAGGATTCAGCACCATCATCGGCCGAACCGGACGAGCGCCCCTTCATGGGGAAAATGCTACCGAAGCAATCGTGGTTGACGCGAACGGAGGTGTGGGAGTTTGCGCGTGGGAAAACGCTGACGATAAAATTGGAACTTGGTCCAATCCAAAACACAGCCGTGCGGTTGGATATAAAGGCGAGCTAAATGAGCGTCGGGACACCAGAAAGGGAATGTGGCTCAGAGCTGGTTCGATGAGAGCAATTCGGAGGTTGGTATCGTCGACAGTCGCACAACGAGGGGGTACATATCGTGGAATCCCAGCCAGTGTCGCAAGCAGAGCAGGATGATCTGCCGACCCAGCGAAGCAGAATCGACCGTCGAGATTATTTGGGCAGTAGCAACGAGCGATCCATCGAGAGATGGGCGAATGGTCGGCAATGGCGGTAGTGGTGGTGCCAGGTGGATTGATCGATGGGGTTGGGAAATTGGAGGTTTGGGGTTTTCCAATCCTGCCCTTGCTCGGGGAGCGGGTGTACTCCGATAGGTACCTGGCAGCTTGCGGTTGCGCCTAGAGCGCCACTCTCTGAGGGTCCGAGCCACGACAACGGCAACGGCAATGGGCAGCAAGGTGCAGAGGTAGTAGTAGGTCAAGTGTGACAGGGGAGGAATTGGGGTCCTTGACAATCAGCTGGAGTCAGCGGATGTCCGGACATCACTCGCTCATCAGCCCGTGCCTTCCTTCCTGCAGCCTGCAACACACTACCTACCTACCCGTGCAAGGCCGCTACGCTCAACTGTCAAGCAGGTGCCGGTACTGCACGGTGAGATAACCTGCCGTGGGTACCTATCTCATATGTACTTTAGCGCCTACCCATAGCACTAAACTTACATGCATTACTATTGAAGGTACATACCTCCTTAACTCAGGAATAGGCGCGATGGCTGCAACTCTGTGTGCTAAGTAGGTAGTATGCAGTCTCGGTGATAATTGGTAAACAGCTGGGCATGTTGGTGTGACCAGCTTGACGTCAATGCTCCGAAGATGAGACTCTGCAAAGCTCTTCTGAGGAGGGTTGATATTCTGTGAGAGCTGTTCCATAGAAGGAACACAGCCAATCATGCCGAACGCAATAGATCTAAATGCGGGCCCCGATTTAAGAATACAAATTCCGTTGAGCTAAAGATGCAAATGCAATCAACGATAATTGAAATGACGCGATTAGGCCAGCCTTTACGCGCCTTATGTGCCTAGCTCCCACCGTTCCGAGAGCAAGGTACGTGTGCACCTCGTGAAAGTACATGCACTAATCCCTTCACGCAGCGAGTGGTGGCTCACTACTAAGCCTGGCTTTAACTGGTATTCCTTGACCAGGCCCCTTACCATGTTGCATTTAGCCATCGCCGCAACTCTTCTTAAACGTTGTCTAGGATAGAGTCTCGCATACAGCCATTTCAGACAATTACAGCACCTCATGATACTAGGTCAAGCGACTGGCATAATCTGTGTGCACAGCGTTCTCTACCGATTCGATCCCAGCCAAGTCCTCCCAAGCTACCTTTAGCCTGAGCATCTCTTATCCAGACCAAAAGGATTGAAGAGTGGCATCCGTGTAGGGGTTCTGCGTCTCTCAAGTTCATCCACCTACCTTTAACAACGACACGCCTAGGCTAAGGCGTGATTAGCTTAGATATACCGCCAAACTCAGAATGCAATAACATATGGCCACAATCAAGCAAATTGATGGTCGGACGGTTCGTATTCAAATAGTTCCCCGTCTCCTGTTCACGCTGAGCTCAAGTCATAAAATAACACATCCCCGAACGACAGATTCACCGAATCCAGTCCGGCCAAGTCATTGTTGACATGTGCTCTGTTGTGAAGGAGCTTGTTGAAAATTCCATCGATGCCGGGGCCAGTACTATAGGTACGTGTGTCTAACGCTGTGCCCACCGTGTGACGATGTCAGTTGATACACATATATACGTATACGTATAGCTGAAGGACGTACACAGCCACGTTCCTTTCGCTCATCCCATCATCACGTTCCATCGTAATCAACAATTATTGACCTCTCGTCTCCAGACGTCCGTTTCAAAAATCAAGGGCTCGACCTCATCGAGGTGCAGGATAATGGGTCTGGTATTGCACCAGCCAATTATGAGTCAATTGCCTTGAAGCATCACACCTCCAAGCTGTCGTCGTATGATGACATCGGCTCTCTGGAAACATTTGGCTTCCGCGGTGAGGCTCTTGCCTCACTGTGCGCCCTGTCCACCGTTTCTATCACGACATGTGTCGCAGCAGACGTGCCCAAGGGCTCACGGCTCGCCTTCGAGGCCTCTGGGAAACTTCGAGACACCAGCGTTGTAGCCGCTCAGCGAGGAACAACGGTGGCCGTCGAGAAACTGTTTCATAACCTTCCGGTGCGCCGTCGAGAGCTGGAACGTAATATCAAACGCGAGTGGCATAAAGTAATTGCCCTCTTGAATCAATATGCCTGCGTTCAGACAAATCTCAAGTTTACCGTGTCTCAACAACCAACAAAGGGGCGCCGTATTGTCCTATTTTCTACCAAGGGCAATCCTACAACGCGAGAGAATATAATCAACATTTTTGGTGCCAAAACGATGGCTGCCCTCGTTCCTCTAGACTTAAAACTTGAGATGAAACCAACAACCTTAGGCTCCGCCACCCAGGCAGACCTTGCGGCCGGTCTCATTTCCCTCGACGTGAAAATCGTGGGTCATGTGTCTCGCCCGGTGCATGGAGAGGGGCGGCAGACTCCAGATCGGCAAATGTTTTTCATCAACGGACGGCCGTGCGGGTTGCCTCAATTCGCCAAAACCTTTAATGAAGTGTATAGGTCTTACAACTCGTCCCAGTCGCCCTTCATTCTTGCAGATGTCCAACTCGATACACATTTGTACGATGTCAATGTCAGTCCAGACAAGCGAACCATTCTCTTGCATGATCAGAATCACATGCTAGACTCAATTCGTGCAGCTCTAGTTGGGATTTTTGATTCGCAAGACTATACTTTACCAACCTCACAAGTATTAAGATCTCGCAATGCACAGGCTGATGAAACTACTCCCATCTCACCCTTGAATCAAAATTCATCGACGGGTCAAGCCACCCACTCGAAGAGAATCGTTCAGTCCCGTTTAGAGGCCTCAGAAAGCTCGGGAGATGAGAGGAGCTCATCTGAAGATGATGAAGGCAGCGACTCTCTTGGACCGGGTCAAAGGGAAACAAAGACTACAGCCGTCCCAAAGCCTATGACAATTAGAAAAGTTAGGAATACCCTTGATGTATGGGTCCATGGACGAAAAGCGGTCATCCCAAGAGCTGAAGAGGATGAAGACGCCCAATCGCAGTCTTCAGATGGTGACCAAGAAAGCGCACGTGCAGCCCCATCAAGGTCCGTTACTGGAAGTAATACCAAATCACGATCTCGCGATGCCGAACACTCTCGTCGGCCACCATCAGACAGCGACACCAATCAAGAACCCAAGATCACCAAGCCCGCATCCGTGTTCCCGCTATCAAGGTCCAGTTCACCATCAAGCCTGGCAAACGATGAGCCTACGATTCCCTTCGTCAAACCGATTAAGCCTGTCAGTGGGGGGGGCCTTGTATCTCCACGTCGGCAGTCAACCATGAGACGCCCCCCGCCACAACCAGCCAAGATCTTTATCGGTGCTACCGGAGGGGATCCCGAGGATATTGGGGGTGAGCCTAGCTCGGATGAGGGAGATAGCCAGCATAGCAAAGACCAGGCATCAGATGATGAACCCGATAGCGATAAAGACAACAAGGAGGAGGAGGACGACGACGACGACGAGGGTGAAGACCAAGATGATGATGATGACAGGCCGACATTCGGGACCACCCTCTCTCAACGATTTTCTGCGGGTAGAATCAACAGACAACGCTCCCCTTCATTTTCCAGAACGCAACGTCAGATTAGCCCAGACACGTCTACGGTTAGAACGAAGAGAAGCCCAGGCTCTAGAAAGGGAAACGAGCAGATCTCTGATGATGAAAACTCACCGGCTGGCGATCCTGTACTTTCTCAACGCTCGAGTTCATCTGCATCTCCTGGAGACAAGACAACGAAGCCATCACAAGAACCCTCAGCAAATAATAACTCAGCAAGTACGAGCGCATCTTCAGCCCCTCGGGCGCAGAATCTCCAATTCAGCACAAGGCGAAAGGATGCCACATTACAATTGATCCATCACGTCTCGGGCGGAGAAGATGTTATTCGGGCTACCCCAACTTCCCGGTCATTAATCAGACCTCAAGATTCGTCGTCCCTTTCTGGCACCCCCCAGCAACAGCAACAACAGGTGGAAGACATCGGTGCGACCGATGCCGAGTCTAAGCTCTCACTTATTATATCAAAGTATGATTTCGCAAAAATGAGAGTCGCTGGCCAATTTAATCTTGGTTTCGTCATTGCTGTGCGGCCTGCAGAGAAAGACTCCCAAACTCTGGGTGCATCAGCCCATGATGAACTATTCATTATCGACCAGCATGCATCAGATGAGAAGTATAACTTTGAGAGATTGCAGGGAAGTACTGTTGTCCAATCACAACGGCTTGTTCATCCTAAGTTACTCGAACTTACGGCACTGGAGGAAGAGATCGTGATGCAGAATATAGAGGCTGTAGAGGCCAACGGTTTCAAGATTGCAATAGACGTTGACGGAGGTGCACCCGTCGGATCGCGTTGCCAGCTTACGGCCCTGCCCTTGAGCCGGGAAACAACATTTAGCATCACAGATCTTGAGGAGCTAATTGCTCTGCTTGCTGATGAGTCGTCTGAGTCAACGCATATCCCACGTCCGTCAAAGGTGAGGAAGATGTTTGCCATGCGAGCATGTCGCAGTAGCATCATGATAGGAAAAGCCCTCACAAGACACCAGATGTACTCGTTAGTCGGACACATGGGCGATCTAGACAAGCCTTGGAACTGTCCCCATGGACGGCCGACTATGAGACATCTGTTTAGTATAGATAAATGGGACGAAGTGGGCTGGAAGGGAGATCTAAAGACGAAGTCTACAGCCTCCTGGACCGCTTACAGGAGGGGAGAGTAAACTATGGGCTTGATTCATTCGCATTCGTATTCCTTTCTATTGCCACTTGTTTTCATATGCACATGCAGGTACTCTTACGTTCACCGGGTTCCCAGGCATAGCTAATTTGGTGATTGATGATCACTTGTTGCCTTTTTGAATACGACACCAAGCTACAAAGAAAGGCACGAGTCTGATAAGGTCGTCTATGGTTATGGATTATAGCCAAATGGCCCCTTCCATCTCCGAGTTATTATAAATGTAAATTTCACTAGAATAGCCTAAAACCTGTAAGCCAAAGCCGCCATTGTTCCTTTCAACGCCCAAAGTGAAGTAAAGAAGATTGCGATATGATAACCTGACCTTTCATCAGACGTCTCTCAACCAAACAATTAACCAGTCCAATAACCCTTACATACACGAAAATCTGAATCCGAAACATAGGACACATAAATACATCGCAGTACATGACAGAGAATCCCCAACCGTAAGCTTATGCAACTCCTGATGTTTGACTTCTTGTTTTTCTCCATCCCACCCATCTCAGTTCTTTTTGTTGGAGTAGAAACCATACTTGCTGAGCCGACTGCCACCTGCTCGGCCCTCCTCGGCAATCTTTCCACTGACGTTGCGACGGCCATAAGCCTGAGAAGCGTTGGACTCGAAATCGTTGCCAGACGAGATCTTTCGATCAGCTCCAACCATGATGGGAGGTGTCGCGCTCTTGAGGTCTCCATAAGGCTTGGAGTAAAAACCGATGGTGGTTTGAACGGGTGTGTACTTCCTTGGCTGCCATGTTTTCCTCTTTGGCGACGTTGAGGGAGAAGGCGTTTGCTCAGTTATGTCTTGACTCGCGCTAGCTTTTCGCTGATTATGGCTAATCTCAGACAAGGAAGTAGATCTTTGTAATGAGGTCTCCGTCACATCATCTGACGGAGCATGGAAAGGCCAGTTCGGCTCATTTTCTTTAGCGTGTGATGGAGCCTGGGGGTTTGATCCGAGTGGGTTGGGATGTCTATGTTGTTTGGCCAAATCCATTTCCTCTTGGTCACTGTCATGAGCGTAGGTGTGGTAATTCTCATAATCCGACTCTGAGTCTTCATCACCGTAGTAGCGTTGCTCCAAGGCAGCATAAGTGTTTCTATTGTCCTGGCGCATTGCAACTGCAGCATTGCGATTCTTCTGGTTTGTCCTTGAGATTAAAGAATCAGTTGGTGCCCATGTTTCGGTAAATTTGGCAACTCTGCGTTGATCACCCCCTTCTTGGGAAGATGAAGATGTGCCTGAACGAGGCGGAGCAGCAGAATCATCCTGGAGAGGGACCTCTGAATAAGCTCCACGTTGGCTGGGCAAGGAGCGGAAAGAGGGCAGCTTTGTATTGTGTGAAAGAACAGAGCCTCGCCTTAGACTGTCCTCTTGATCCAGCGAGCCTTGAAGGTCCCGAGACATGCGGGCAGCGGTCAGAGAGGTGCGGGAACCTTCACGGGTATGCATGAAGGGAATAGACGTTGGGCGAGATACATCGGACCTTGCTACAGATTGGCGACGAGAGTCCGGGCTGTAGGGTGTTGACATGCGCTTCTCGTTGGTGTCGCTATTGAGAGTCGTCATGGAGGACTTGTTTCTCTTATGGAAGGGGCGAGCTGTGAGATGGTCCTCCAATGGGTTCATGTCAGGTGGCATCAGACTAATTTGTCGGAATGCATAAGCCAGCCAGAGTGATATGGCCAACGTGAAGAAGTGAAGGCCACCTGTTCCAATTAGGGTGTAATAGATTGCTGGGATGAAATACTCGAGAAGACCTTGGTCTGACAGCCGAGTCGTCCATCCCGCAGAATCATTATGAACAGTAAAGGCTGAGTAGGCGTACAGGCCAAGGGTACACATATCTGCAACACCAGAGAAGAGCTGGTACGCAGATGAGGAGGAAGGCGGACGGCTCGCCGCATCACGAGATAGATGATAAATGGCGTAACAACAATTGAGGGCCACAATTCCCGGCTTGAAAAAATACAAGTTAGTCCATGCGCAACCAAAGGATTCGCTATTAGCTATAGAAGCTGCTGCTCACCGTGATTCTCATCACTAAGGCTGTTACAGTTTCGATCTTGTCAAGTAGAATCATCAAAACCAGAATACCGAGGGCCCCATTGAGCTCGAGGACACGTAGGAATAGCTGTACTCGTCGCAGATAGCGGATAGCCTTCTTTGTCCGAGGTCCCATAAGCTTGTAGTTACCCGATCGATGCTGCAAAACCATGTGGGCACTGGAATGTCGGGTCAGAAAGAAGAACAAACAAGCCGATCAGGATGAGACCACAAGAGGTGGGGTGCATTGAGGAGCAAAATAAACATACTCAGGATGGCGATTGAACGAAACCAATGGCCCCTTGGGCTTGGGTTTCCTGGGTTTGGGTTCCCAACTGGCACGCGTAACGGCCTTTGGGTCGAACGTCGGCTCGTACGTTTCGCCCTGGAAACCTTGCAAATATGGCTGCTGCGCCGGCATGGTTGCTTTCCTGGTGGTGATGACGGGGTAGAGTCGTTGATAGATATATGGCTTCCGAAAGGGCGGCTAGGGCCGTAGCTGTGTCTTAAGTCGCAACCCGAAGAGCTGGCGAAGAGGCTATTGACTGGAATGCTGGCAGAACGCCAGCCGAGAGATGGGGGTTAAAAGACGAGGATCGGGAAGTTGTCAGGCAAGTAAGGCTCAACAGTAGCGAGCGAGGAGCAGCTGGAGGGGCAGTGAGGGCAACAAGTGAGCGGATGAAGCAGTACGCTCGCGCTGTCGAACTTGCGCTTGCTGCCTGCTTCGGACGGCTGGTAGTAGGGACGGTTGGGAATAGTTTAGTATGGATGAAATAGGAAGAAGATCCAAAACCAATGAAGACCCAATGTCGCAGTCAGGTAGGTAGCAACGTCCCGTCCCGCATTGGGTGAGTGTGGGTGGGTAGGGTGGACTGAACTGGCTGAGGAGCTTTGGCCGCACATGTTTAGTTTACAGCTTCCAAATCGGGCCAGCTCTGCCACCACCGTTGGTTGCCACAGCAACAGTGGATCGTCCAAGACCGAGGGGCCGATCGCCGACCGAAACTGCTCGGTCCAGGATAGGAAAATCGACGAGTTCGGGAACCAATCAGGAAAGCTAGGGCTCAGTTGAAGATGCCATTTCCAGTCCCATTCAAAGCTGGTGGTTGAGATCTGTATATCTCCATCTTCTTCATTCTCTCTCTCTCTGTGCGCAGAGGTCGAGCGGCTTTCCGCGCCAATCCACCACCATCATGTCCTTGCTTGCCAGATCCAGGACAAGTTGGCGCGTTCGCCATTGGAAACCAATCCTGCCAAGAGGTCATGAAAGGTGTAAATATCTATCTACTGCGTCCCAGGCACCTCGTAACCCAGATGCATCCTCGCCGTTCCGGATGGCTGTCGTGGGCTCTGGCCCCGCGGGCTTTTACACTGCATCCCGCGTCCTAAGCAAATTACCACAAGCCAAGATCGATATGTACGAGGCTCTTCCCGTGCCCTTCGGGCTTGTTCGTCATGGCGTTGCCCCAGATCATCCGGAGGTCAAGGTCCGTTTGTTTCCACAAGTAGAGTATCATCCGTGAGCGTTACAGCATGGCTGACAAAGGCCTTCGATGTGTAGAATTGCCAGGATAGGTTTGACGAGATCGCCTCGTCTCCCAACTTTACATTTGTAGGCAATGTGACAGTTGGCGATTCTAGTCTGTCCAGCAGGCATTGCACTGTAGAGCTTCAGTCGCTCATGCGTCACTATGATTCGATTCTCCTCGCCTACGGGGCTGCAGAAGACAAGAAACTGGGCATCTTTGGGGAATCTACACTCACCGGTATCTACTCTGCTCGTGAGTTTGTTGGTTGGTATAACGGTCTACCCGACTGCGCCAACCTTCATCCAGACTTGACTCGCGGCGAGGATGCAGTGATCATTGGCCAGGGTAACGTGGCGCTGGACGTCGCTCGCATGCTTCTGGAAGATATCGATACCCTCAGAAAGACAGATATAACCGAGCATGCCCTCTCACGCCTTGCTGAAAGTCGAGTAAAGCGTGTTCATATTGTAGGAAGAAGGGGGCCTATGCAAGTGAGCAACTTTCCTCTTTACCATTTCATCAAGCCATTCCTTCGAGATAAGCACTAAACGTCACGGACCAGGCCGCCTTCACGATCAAGGAGGCTCGTGAATTGATGAAGCTTCCAGATGTAGCTTTCCATCCCGTGAATCGGACTCTGATCCCACAAGATCTCAAGAGCCTACCGCGGGCGTCTAAGCGACTAATGGAGGTCCTGTTGAAGGGTACTCCTGATGCTGATCCTCTGAAAACTTCAAAGTCCTGGTCATTGGACAGCTGTCTCTCGCCCAAACATTTTCTAGCTCGCTCAGACTCGCCTGATAGTGTAGCCAGCACGGAGTTTGACATTACAAGCCTCGCGGACCCATTCGATCCTAAGACGCGTGCTGAGAAGACTGGTGAAGCGATTATACTTCCTTCCGACATCGTGCTTCGTTCTGTCGGTTATAAGTCTGTACCTTTGCCCGGCTTCGTCGAAGCCGGCATTCAGTTCGATGAAAGGCGAGGTATTGTGTGCAACGATGGTTTTGGGCGGGTGACCCGCCTAGTATCTGACAGTGATGCTAGCTGCAAGGCAAGGCAGCAAGTTCCAGGTCTGTATTGTGCTGGTTGGTTGAAGAGAGGTCCAACAGGCGTGATAGCTTCAACAATGCAGGATGCTTTTACAACAGGAGATGCGATTGTCCAGGATTGGCTCTCAGGCTCCTCCTTCCTGGACTCCTATAAGGAACTTAGTCGAGCTCATGGATGGGACGGAGTGAGAGAGGAGCTCGGACTCGATCAAGCAAGGCGAGTTGTGACTTGGGATCAATGGAAGATGATAGACACTGTTGAGCGAAGTCGTGGCGAAGCAAAGGGTAAGGAACGAGAGAAATTCACAAATGTCGCTGACATGCTGGCAGTGTTGGATTAATCGCTCGTTAGGTAGCTGATGACGATACTTACTCCTTCCTTATGCCTGAGCCTATCTATAGACGAGACAAAGATGCCCACCCACAATGTACAACAGCATATCATGTAAAATTTGACTAAATTTCATATATATACTCTATGAGCTCTTGACCTTCTCTGTAAGCTCGGGCACCTTTTCAAATAAATCACCCACGAGTCCGACGTCAGCCACCTGGAAAATTGGCGCATCAGCGTCCTTGTTAATCGCCGCAATGACCTTGCTATCCTTCATACCAGCAAGATGCTGGATAGCGCCAGAGATACCAACGGCAAGATAGAGCTGGGGGGCAACAACCTTGCCAGTCTGGCCGACTTGGAGACTGTTGTCGGCATACCCACTATCAACCGCCGCACGAGAAGCACCCACAGCAGCACCAAGGGCATCAGCCAACGGCAGCATCACACGGTCGAATTCCTCCTTGGACTTTAGACCCCGTCCCCCAGACACAACCCGGCTAGCGGTTGCAAGATCGGGGCGGTCAGATTTGGCAAGGTCTTCCGACACCCATTCTGACGTAGAGTCGACCTTGGGGTCTGCTCCTTCTTCCACAGCGCCAGTCCCAGACCCTGGGGCCTCAGCAGCGAAGGCAGTTCCTCGAATGGTGATGACTTTGACGGCATCTGTTGATTCGACGGTGGCAATTGCATTGCCGGCGTAAATAGGTCTAACGAACGTTGATTCGTTTTCGATAGCAGTAATGTCGGAGACTTGCTGAGAATCCAACAGAGCGGCAACACGAGGCAAAATGCTCTTTCCAAACGCTGTGTGTCCAGCGATAACATGTGTATAACCACCCTTCTTAATGTTCTCTACCAGTAAAGGCGCGTAGTTCTCAGGAAGGCCCTAAGAAGCAGAACGATTAGTTAGAATCGCTCACCGAATCACAAAAATAGGAAAAACAATCATGCTTGGGCAGAAAAGGGGTCTGGGGAGAATGATCACACACCTTATCGTAAGCGGCGCTGTCCACCACTAAAATCTTCTCAACACCTTCAATCTTTGCGGCTTCTTGAGCAGCCGCGCTGATATTCTTCCCAGCAATAAATCCATGTACGGTACCTCCAAGCTTCTTCGCAGCGGTAAATGCGCTCAAAGATCCGTGGCTCAGCTGTCCATCTTTCTGCTCAAGAACAGCGAGTGTTGAAAGCAGACGGCTTCTCGTGTAGGCGCGGGAAATCCTCCCTCCTATGAGCCTGCCTTGTGCCAGGACGCATCTTCCGGTGGGTAGCATCATGAGCTGGACCAAACCGTATTGTAATTCGAATTACCAAAAAGAAACAAGAATTCTAATGCCAATTGGTGAGCGAGGCTGACTGTGATGTCTTGCGATATAAGGATGGAGAGAATGTTAATAGGCGACTTAACCTACCTACTTACGGCTGGAAGCGGCCCGAGGTCTACTGCAGAGCAGCGGGACTCAGTTCCCGACCATCGGCGACTGTCACAAGCGTGCATGGAGGACCTTGAACAACAGGTCCGGGCGCCTTCCTTGTCACGTGCCATGTCACACCTGTCTGGTCACGTGCGTCTGCCTCAGGCGCCGCATCACTGACCTTCGCAGTAGGTAAGCAAATCCACCTGCATTGCTGCTGAGAAGACAGAGCCTTGGATAGCAACGTGTGGAACAGCAGGGTCCCATCGCGCCAAAATTTCTCCAAAACGCGACCGATCGAATCGCATCGCCAACCTCATCGGCATCGCGGAATCTTTCTACCGGCAACAATTCAAGCATCTGTCGCATCTCGACCATTGATCCCCATACCTCGTCGACAGCCGGAGCCCATTGTTTCGAGAGCGCGTTCAGTCGCGCTTCAACATCCGCGCGCACTCGCCTACCTAGCTGTCTAGCCTTCTCCATTGCCCATCTTTCTACGCCCGGAATTTGGCATAAACGACCACGACTGTGGTCCTCCTAATAGCTAATGGAGGATTCAACGACGTACGGCTCCCCCAACAATGGGGCATCCCCTGGCGACAATCCTATTCTTGCGCAGCCCCCTTTGCAGCCCGAAACTGCCACCGAAGGTGAAGGTATTTATTCACACGCACTCATCCACCTCTGAGCTATCTTCATCAAAGCGCAGGTTGGCTCTTAAAAGCACTCTTTTGCTGACAAATCTCGATCCTTCAGATATTCAGATGTCGGAGAACAACACGAATGAGCCCAGCATCAAACAAGGGAGCGCAACCCCAGCGCCCGGGGCCGCATCTAGCAATCCTTTAGATGCACCAGAGGCGCCACAGCCCGAGGTTTCTGGCCGAGGTGATGAGGATATGGGTGACGCCCCAGGCGATTCAAAGGATGGCGCAGCCGCAGCTGCAGGCGGTGACGCAGCCAACCGAACTGAGGGCCAGGAGATCAAGTCCAAGGAAAGTGCTGAGTCGGCTGCGCGAGAGCATCTGATTTCCCAGACACATGCCATTGTGCTTCCCAGTTACAGCACTTGGTTTGATATGAACTCCATCCACGATATCGAACGCAAGGCCATGGCCGAATTCTTCAACAATCGCAACAGAAGCAAGACTCCTTCCGTATACAAGGATTATCGCGATTTCATGATCAATACTTATCGCCTCAACCCTGTTGAATATCTGACAGTTACTGCCTGCCGTCGTAATCTTGCTGGCGACGTATGCGCCATCATGAGGGTCCACGCCTTCCTCGAGCAATGGGGTCTAATTAATTATCAGGTAATACCGAAACTCTGTGTCGATCGAGGTACAATTTCTAACGGGGCCAATCGTTGTTATAGGTTGACGCAGATCAGCGACCATCACACGTGGGTCCACCATTCACCGGTCACTTTAGGATCATTTGCGATACTCCTCGCGGCTTGCAGCCATGGCAGCCCTCAGCAGACCCCGTTGTCTTGGAAGGCAAGAAAAGCCAGGCCACAGATGAGAAGGCAAAGGCAACTCCTGCGAACAAAGGAGATCTGAATCTGGAGATTGGGCGAAATATTTACGAGGCCAACGCCAAGGGTACTCCAATCACCAAATCTGAAAGCAAGCCCAATGGCGAGACACCTGCCACCAATGGCGTCTCAGGTTCCGAAGATGCCACCAAAGCACCAGTCGCTAAAGTTCAGTGTTTCATGTGCAGCACAGATTGCACCCGTGTTTACTATCACAGCACCCAGACGGACCCTGCATCCAAGGCCAAGTACGACGTCTGCCCTGGTTGCTTCAATGAGGCACGTCTACCCTCCAACCACACATCGGCGATGTATACAAAGATGGAAAATCCTCGTTATACGGCAGTTTTGGACAGGGACGCGCCTTGGACCGACGCCGAAATTCTTCGCCTTCTCGAAGGATTGGAGAGATTCGATGATGACTGGAGCGAGATTGCAGATCACGTCGGAACCCGGACCAGGGAGGAGTGCGTACTTCAGTTCTTGCAACTTGACATCGAGGAAAAGTACCTGGACTCGGAAGCTTCGGTTCACGCACCTACAGGACTCTCCATGCTTGGAACCCAAAATGGACAGCTTCCATTCAGCCAAGTCGACAATCCAGTCATGTCAGTTGTTGGCTTCCTTGCCAGCCTAGCAGATCCAGCTAGCACGGCAGCGGCAGCAAACAGATCAGCAGATGAGCTGAAACGAAATCTGCGCAAGCAGCTTGAGAGCAAGAAGGAAGGCGGGGACGACAGTACCCAGGATGACAAGCCTGCCAAGGAACAGGGCGATTCCATGGATGTTGATGCTGGTCAAGAATCCACCGATACTTCTCTGGCAATTACTAAGGGGGATAAGGGGGCTGATTTGGCCTCAATTCCTCTTGCCTCGATGGGTGCAAGGGCAGCTGGTTTTGCCTCTCATGAGGAACGAGAAATGACGAGACTTGTTTCGGCTGCTGCGAACATCACTCTACAAAAGTTGGAGCTGAAGCTCAAGTACTTTAACGAGATGGAGGCCATTCTCCGCGCAGAGCGACGAGACTTGGAACGAGGAAGACAACAACTATTCTTGGACAGGCTAGCCTTTAAGAGGCGTGTGCGGAATGTGCAGGATGGCCTCAAGGCCGCTGCTGCCATTGGGGGGGAACAAGGTGCCCGCCTGGCTCATGAGGCGATGAACGAGGGCGACAAGCTTGGCTTTCAGCCTGTTGCCGATGGGCAAGTGATACAGGCACTTGGCAACGAAAGCCAGATCAAGACTTTCGAAGCATAAAACAAAAAAATGCTTGAGGAGGGGAGTGAGGTGGTTCCATATATCCCTGATCTTTCCTTTATTAGTTGGTTTCCGGTATCCTTTGATTTTGTTTATTTTTGGTGCACCTTCCCCACGAATGAGGATGGTCTGATTTTTCATACGAGTCTGCAAGGCGGCGTCCAGGGGAGCTAGGAAATCAGAGGCCACAAGAAAGCACGAAAGGGGGATGCGGCTCGTGATCTGGCGCTCAGCGCGCGTGAGGGGACGGAGAAAGCGCGTGTTTGATATTAGGCCAGGGGTCAGGCTATCTCGCGGATGCCTGATCTGATGTCTGTAATAGAAGCCGCTATACCAGTAGGACTAGGCGTTGTTTGGTTATATATGGATATGATTCACCAGCTGTATGAAATCTCGCCTCGAGTGTGCCTGTCTACTGCTGCTAGTCGATGCTAGGGGGGTCAGTAAGACGGACGGGGCAATAACGTGCCAGTCCTGTGACGTAGGCCTGTGTGACTTAGAGCCCACTCCTTCAAACGTGCGGCAGGTGAGTATTCACAGATCGGTGGGAGCAAATTGAAAATTTAATACTGCATACCTGGGTAGGTACTCGTTGATTATGGATACCTACTGTGGAGAGCTCTCGTTTGGGTGGTGGTGGATTTACCTCGGTTTAGAAGTGGTACAGGCAAGTTGAAGCCACGGCTGCCGCCTCTTTCAACAGTCACGCACAAGTATCAATGCAGCATAGAATGAACAGATGGAATATCTATCTTAAGGCGGGTAAACCCAAGCCCTTACCAGGAGCAAGCCCACCCAAAAGCCACGGGATAAGCTGCGATAGCAGAAGGCTTGCAAGAGCCTCCGCATATTGTGTCTTACATTCGCAGATTTACGAATTATCACCTATGAGTTGAGGATGATGGTAGGCATCTAAACCAAGTCCCGGGCAGGGGGGTGTGCAAGATTATCGCATCTCCCTACGACATAAGACGAAGCTGTCCCCGAATATATCAATCCATAAGATGAACATGCCCGAACAAGCAATGAGATGACTAACAGGCTTTTCGTTCAAGTCACTCCCGAAACCAGGCGTGGATCGTTGCAATATTTGCCTCGGCTGAAAGGGGCCCCACCAGGATGGGCCGGCGGCTCGGCGACTTCGCGAGGTAGTTGGATAAAACAACCCGGGGAAAATCAATGCATCCATCCATTCAGCAACTGCCGACACCCAGGCTAAGGAGAGGGGTGCACATATATACACTGGGCAACTACCAACTGATAGGCGGACCATAGATAGCACGGTCGAAGCAGAAGGCAAAGAGCAAGCTGGCAGAGGAACTCAGGGAAGGAACAGCTAAGAGACCTGCTGAACCTGAGCAGGCCTCAATACAAGTCCACAGCAGGTACATGTAGGCACGGAGCATGGTGCATTTAGGGCCTGGAGAGACGCCGCCAGTGGGCGCACAGCGGTCCCACCTCCCCGCAACGACCCTCTGGAGCAATTGCCGGGGGCCGCTACGGTGCTGTGCATCTCACCCTGGGATCCAGTAGCAGGTGGTCTGAGAAGCTCGCATGTGCGCAGTGCATGTGAGATGCTGCCAACCAGCAAACCTAAGCCAGACCGAAGACTACCGGCAATCTAATATCCTCTACAACGATGTCGGATGTCCAGGTGCATCCACCTTCCGCACGGCACACTTCACTACTACTCCCTTCAACCGCACTCTTGGATTCCCACCCCTCCATCTTCCTTTACTAACCCTACCTATATAACGCTGTGACCCCCCTGTCACAGGCTGCCGCCACGGGCCATTAAGCACCTCGGTATAATTCTGGTCGGCCTACTTAGACCGTTGTTTCTCCCATTGCGTCTCGGTCTTCCTTCAAAACCCGCCGCTAAATCTTGCCATGTTTCGCTCTCTTCGCCCTCTCTCCAGTTCCCTCCCTCTTGCCAAGGCAACGTCTACGGTGAGTACGCCTCTTCCTTTCGAATACTTTCTTCTGCGCCCTCTCCCACTCCAGAGTTGGAGACGGTGGTCGAACCCCGGTCCACAAGACTCCGAACTAACTGAGGCACGCCTAGCAACGATTCCGCCTAGCCACCGCCGTCATGGCTCCCCAGAGACGAGCCAAGAGCTCCCTACCAGAAGGCTACGCCGAAGATAAATCCAAGGGCCTCACGCTCAGATTCCAGGATTCGTTACCCAAGCTGCCAGTCCCAACCCTCGAAGAAACAGCGACCCGATATCTCAAGAGTTTGCGGCCGCTCCTGTCCGAAGCGGAGCTTGCGACGAGCCGAGCTGCTGTCGAGGACTTTATCAAAGCCGGCGGTGTCGGATCCAGACTGCAGGAGAAGCTCATTGCCAAGCGCGAGGACCCTGCCACAAAGAACTGGATATACGAATGGTGGAATGATGCTGCCTACCTGTCCTACCGCGACCCTGTCGTTCCCTACGTGAGCTACTTCTACTCTCACCGCGATGACCGCCAGCGCCGAGATCCAGCCAAGCGCGCTGCCGCCATCACCACCTCGGTTCTGGAATTCAAGAAGCAAGTCGATTCGGGCACTCTCGAGCCCGAGTATATGAAGAAGCTCCCCATCTGCATGGACAGCTACAAGTGGATGTTCAACGCCAGCCGTGTTGCTGCTCACCCAGCCGACCACCCTATCAAGTATTCCCCCGACGAGCACAAACACATCATTGTGATTCGTAAGAACCAATTTTTCAAAATCCAGCACGAGGTTGCTGGCAAGCAGCTCAACACCTCCGAGCTCGAGGCCCAGTTTCGTCGAGTGTACGAGATTGCTCAGCGCGTCCCTGCCGTTGGTGCTTTGACATCAGAGAACCGTGATGTCTGGGCCGACGCTCGCAAGCTGCTTCTGGACTCCAGCCCCAAAAATAAGGTGGCTCTCGAGGCGATCGAATCTGCTTCCTTCGTCGTCTGTCTCGACGACGCCTCCCCAGTAACTCTAGAGGAGAGGGCTCACCAATACTGGCATGGCGATGGGGCCAATCGCTGGTACGACAAGCCCCTCCAGTTCATTGTGAACGACAATGGCACGTCGGGTTTCATGGGCGAGCACTCCATGATGGATGGGACGCCAACCCACCGCCTGAATGACTACGTTAACGACCTCATCTTTGGAAACAAGCTAGACTTCTCCGACCCGTCAATTCGTTCCAATCTGCCTGAGCCTGAGCTTGTTCAGTTTGAAATCAGCCCAGCCATCCAGTCAGAGATTGATCGCGCCACCAAGGACTTCAACGATGTTATCGGGCAGCACCAGCTGGCCGTACAGGCCTACCAGGGTTATGGCAAGGGCCTCATCAAGAAGTTTAAGTGCTCCCCAGATGCCTACGTTCAAATGGTTATCCAACTCGCGTATTTCAAGATGTATGGCAAAAATCGCCCAACCTACGAGTCCGCTGCTACGCGACGTTTCCAGCTCGGTCGCACAGAGACATGCCGTACAGTCTCGGAGGACTCAGCGGCATGGTGCAAGGCAATGGCAGACTCCTCGGTTGATGGTAAGACCAAGACAGACCTTTTCCGCAAAGCAATTGCCGCCCATGTGGAGTACATCACTGCCGCCTCGGACGGCAAAGGTGTAGATCGTCATCTGTTTGGTCTTAAGAAGCTTCTTGAACCCGGTGAGGAGGTTCCCGCCATTTACAAAGACCCCGCCTATGGCTACTCTAGTTCCTGGTACATTTCCTCATCTCAACTCAGTTCTGAGTTCTTCAATGGGTATGGTTGGAGTCAAGTGATCGACGGAGGTTTCGGTATTGCCTACATGATCAACGAGAACAGGTGAGTACAAACATTTTGTGTCTGGAAATTTCTATACAAGATCTAACGACTTACAGTATCAACTTTAATATCGTATCCAAGAATCTGGGCAGCGATCGAATGAGCTACTATTTGAACGAGGCTGCCGGTGATATGCGAGATCTTCTCATTCACTCTCTAGAACCCCCCAAGTCCAAGCTATAGAGTAAAGGATTATAGTTCTGCTGCGTTGTTAATCCACCACAACAACGAGCAGGCTTACTTGTTTCGAAGCAATAGATTTATGGTCATTTTGTTACATTTGATGGGTCATTTTCCTTTAGCCCTCAAGAATTGGTTGCAAAGATAATAAAACCCACCCCACCACGATGGGGATGTGGAAAGGGATCGCAACTTGTTACGATGAAAGCTCCTCACTGTATATAATCATGTCGTTGTAAAGATTTGAGAGTACATGGCCTGTAGATAAAATAGACGATCGATTCTTTAGCCACGCAGCGGTTCGCCTTCCAGCAGTCCTTGAACACGCAGGTGAGCACTCATACATTTTATTCAGTGATCAGCTCTACAGCGACTACACTCGATGACGCAGCGATAGCTCCTATATTTACTTGATATATATGCAGACCGTTCCTCGGGCCATCTAAATTATCCAGCTCTCTCCTAGTAGTACATGTGCGACGCTCACAAATGGTATCTCAAAATGTAGCTGTCCGCTCTCCTGAAAGCAAGGCCTAGCCCGAATGATCAACAATCTCGTTGACAAGCTCACCCTTCTCCTCGTCATAGTACGAGCAGATCTGTGAAGGCAAGGGTACCTCCTTATAGTCTTCATCTGGCCCCGAGATGACGTTGACGTTGATGCCGGCCGACTTGCTTGTAAACACCTTTGTAGAAGTGCTTTCCTTGCTGAAGTAGATGGTGGCGCCATCAACCTGGTCGAGCAAAACAGTTGGGATGACGCCCATGACCTGCAGGGCGAAATTCTGTGCCTTGACCACGTCGACAGTGGACACGAGTGAGTCAACGACAAGTGAAAGGCGGTTTGAGTTCTCAATAGTCACTTGGTTTGCCTTGCCCCTGACGATGACCGTCGTGTTGTTACATCGGCTGATGAGAATCGAGTGTGAGAGAGTTGCGTCGATCTCAATTGGCTCAGGCTCCTTGTCGTAGTTTTCCTGCAGACAGGACGAATCATTAGCAAACAAACGAAATCATGCCAAAGCACTATATTCACATACAATTGTCCATTTATTTCCTTCCAGCTCCTTCTTGGCGGGCTTCTTCACCCTCATACTCTCAGGTTTGGGCTTCTTGCCTGGGGCAGGGCTCTTTCCTCTAGAGGCGCCTGAGCCGTCAGAGACGGTGGACCCGGCACGAAGCGAGGGGTTCTTGTGCGTCATCTCAGACTTGTCAACCTTGCGAAGGCCCTTAGTGACCGACTCTCCCTTATTCAGCTCTGAAAAGACAGCTCCAAAGCCTCCAGATGTAGAAGAGGCAGCGGCCGGCGCGGGCTCCGTCTTGATGTCCAACACAGGAGGTGGACCTGGGGGAGGTGGCGGAGGAGGAGGTGCACCTCCCGCCGGGGGAGCGCTGGGCTTTGCGACAGACTTGACGACCTCGGCGGCGGGCTGACCATTGGGGTTCCAGACTACGCCGTTGGCGTAGTGCTGCTTGATGAGTTCGGACAGGTCACGGAAGATTTGGTAAAAGGATTGGACCCACTCGACGTGCTTAGGCTCCCTGAGGGCCATCCCAATAACTTGTGTTAGCAGGCAGTTCAATCACGGAGGTCGAAAGATTCTGACAAGGACCTACTTCTCCTTGAACTCTTTAGTAACCTTGTTGCCAAAGAATTGCGCTGATCCAAGCGTCTCATCAACATGCTTGAACGGGCGGTTCTCAACACCGACCCAGCCGAGAAGCATAATTCCATCAGCAACAGCGCTGAGGTGGTTGTAGGCAGGGTCGGCGCGATTCGTTTCCTTGATTTCCATGGCGGTCATGGCAGCCTCGTTGACGGGCTTGATCAGGTTCTGGAGTCCGGACATGTCAGGTTTCTTAGCCTTGGATGCAACAAGGAGGAAGGTTCGCTGCTCCTCAAAGCCCTTGAGGACGCTGGCAGCTTGCTTGGCAACGGTGCCGCCTAACTCGTTGCTCAGCTTGACATAGCGATCCACGGATGTTGCCAGGAAGTTGTCAAAGTCTTCGATGGATTCGGGGAGGGGCTCGTCAGCGGGCTTGGGAGCTGCGGGAGGAGGCGGCGGCGGCGCGGGCGCATTGGCTGGGGACGGAGCAATGTTGGATTGGGTCAGAGCTGGTAAGGCATCCTTTGGCAGCTCCGTGGATGTTGCAATGTCCTCGAGACGGGACGTGGCAGCCTCCAGTCTATTCAGGGGAGACAAGCAACCAGTCAGCAGCTGAAGGGTGAGCTTGAGCTAAGTAGGAGAGTTTATAGGTACCGTTTGATAAGGGTGGTCAAATTGTGCATATGGGTTGGCGCCGCCATGGTCTTGTCTTGTCTTGTCCGGCTGTATACCAGTCTCTCTATGGGTGATGTTGTTGGGAGAGGTAGAGCAAAGAGATGGTGAGCTTGGATTGTTTCGTTGCTGAGCCGAGCCAGGTATGTCGTAGTGGTCTTAGATAGGGGTACTTGGGTGGTACCTAGGCAACACGGGTACGCCCAGCTACCTCGGAAGTGGTGAAGGTTGATTCAAGGCGAGAGGACCAGGAACGACTTCGCACGGCCATGAGCGGGATGTGGTTGGGGACGGCGCACATATGAAAGCAAAAACAACGATGCAGCTGGGCATAGGAGCTTCTTCTCTGACATGGAACTCTATTCCATCATGGTTTATGATGGTTGCAGGCGGCCACATTCTGGCCGTACTAGCAAGGTACCTCCGGTACCTGCCTGCATCTCTGACGGTACCTCTCTGGCTCGCGGGCGGTGGGTACGGTACCTTCTGTGGGTCTTCACCAGGTACCTGCCTTACCTAAGGGGTCCGGATTACTTGAACTTGGGAGATCTGCGGGCCAGGTTAGGCTACAATACCTCTGCCTCCCAGCGTCTTAGAGCTCATGCCCAAGGTACCTCCACTGTCACCTAATACTGGATCGCAGGTAGAGTTAGGTGCTAGGACCTAAAGGGATGGCCATGGACGTGCCAACTGCTGCGCCTGGACTAGAGCCGAGGGCAATGTAAATGTGTTGGAAATGCATTCAAGGTTACATATTCTTAAAGATCGGGGCAAGTGCTTGTATGTACGTGCAACCACACTCGCAGACGGAGCAGGCCTACTAGCGAGACTGACAGCTAATCCATAGTGGGCACTTGTGTCACGGTGCCTGACTCCATCCATGATTCCATGTGTTGATACCCTACAGCTGCGCCAACGATCAGTGCGTATCCATCATGCAGACAGGATAATGGCCATCTTGGACGGCCAACATGGCCTGGATCGGGGCTAGATGTTGAATGCGTTGCTGTCCATGATTCCATAGCCCACATATGCATCCTGACTCCGATTGGTATTATCTCATCCACCACTAATGATATCTGACACACACTCTCTCCCTACCACCTTTTCTTGATGTGCATTCGCTGTCGTCCGTGTGCCTGAAAGACGGTTTCCACTCGGAAACAGCCATCACCCACCGCTTGTTTTTTTTCCTCGCTCCTCATTGTGCATAGCAGAGATTGTTATAATAGACATCCTGATCCACCATCCGACCGCGGACCTTTGCATACTTACACTGGTTTGGAAGGACGGCCTTTGGATTTGCATGTATCAGCCTTATTCCATGCTCATGTACAGGGCAAAAATCTCATCCTTTCACCTGCGCTATTCCGTATCACATCCAGATGGACAATGCACCACAACAAGACCAACCGCAGCAAGACCCCACCGGGTCCCTGGACGGGAAGCCCCAGGGGATCATTGTCCTGACTGAAAACCTCAAGAAGCCCGAGGCCCAAGATCAACAGCCAGAGGCGGCGGCCAATCCGACCCCCGAGCCCGCCAAGTTAGACCGCCCTGGCCAGGACGAGAAGGAAGATGAAGCTGCCATTTCATCGGCGCCCTGTATCGACTTTGTCACCCTTGGAATGTTTATTATCGGTGAGCCGGCCGCACATTACCCACACACTCGATCCATCCAAGCCTCATCAGTTCCCAACGGTTCAGACCTGAACTGACAATGCCCTCCCTCCCCGCCCTATAACCGGTAGGCTAACCCAAATCCATTTTCTGCCCTGCAAAGATGACATTGACTTTGCACCACCAAAGACTGCCGTTAAGGACATTCTTGGGGGAGCTGGCTCATATTCGGCCCTGGGCGCTCGCCTCTTCTCACCACCGCCCAAATCTTCCACTGTGGGCTGGGTTGTTGACAAAGGCAGTGATTTTCCGGCATCAGCGGCGGACATCATCGACAGCTGGGGCACATCGGTTGTCATCCGCGAGGACACTGAGCGCCTCACCACCCGAGGCTGGAATGGTTATGTTGGAACTTCGGAGCAGCGGTCCTTTAAATACATGACGCCTAAGAAGCGTCTCACGGCTGAGGACCTCACACCAAATCTCCTCCAGGCAAGGGCTTTCCATCTCATCTGCTCCCCCCTTCGTTGCCAACAACTTGTCGCCGACATCTCAGCTCGTCGTAAGGCAGCAAATCCCGAACACTACACCAGGCCAATATACATCTGGGAGCCAGTGCCGGACCTCTGCACTCCAGACGAGTTGCTTAACTGCACCAACACCTTGCCAGTCGTGGATATATGTAGCCCCAACCACTCCGAGCTTGCCGGATTCATGGGAGATGATGGCCTCGACCCGGAGACTGGTGAAATTTCCACAGTTTCTGTCGAGCGAGCCTGCGAACAACTGCTTGCTAGTATGCCCCTTCAGTCCTTCACGTTGGTAGTGCGTGTCGGGGAGAAAGGGTGCTACATAGCGAAGAACGGAGGGAGGAAGCGGCAACGTGACCCGACATCCTCCACCAAGCGACGCAAGAAAAACTACGTCAGAGGTGGTCTGCAGCCAGATACTGATATGGAGGCCCTCTTCGCTGGTCTCCTCCAGGACGACGATGGCTTGGTTGCCCGCGAAGAGATAGAAGTCGATCCCGGCATTGAACGGTGGCTTCCCGCCTACCATCAGGACGCATCCAAGGTCGTTGACCCGACAGGAGGTGGCAATACCTTCCTGGGCGGCTTGGCTGTTGCTCTGGCCAGAGGACATGGTGTTGAGGAGGCCGCCGCATGGGGCACGGTCGCGGCTAGCTTTGCCATTGAGCAAATTGGTGTCCCTATTTTGGAGGCAGAAGATGAAAACAACGAGGAGAAATGGAACGGAGAAAGTATCCAGGAGCGGCTAAAGGGGTTTCAATCACGACTATGATTTATGCTTGGACGGTAACATTTAATAGAGAGCTTATAGACACTGGTTTTTTGGGGTTGGTTTCCCTCTCCTCCTTGCTTATTTTCATTTTCATTTTCATTCTTTTCTTTCCTGGAAAATGGTACAACAACTTTAAACCCGCGAGATAGCCCACCCCCATTGTATTAATGTCGTTACTTATCATGTCCAATAATGCGTTCATGTGTCTCATCCATCACAACATCGTCACGAACCCTAGCAACAGAATCTCCCCCAATGCCGATATTGCCAGTACATCTGTGACGATCACGTCTCCTGTTGCCCAAGGCGTACCGTGGAGCCAGCGACTCGGGGGATGCAAACCCCAATCATCACTGTTCGAGCTGCCACACTCCTATCCTCGTTTAGATCTGGAAGACAATATCGTCATCGGACAACCTAAAAGAGCAATTTGGTTAGACACGATCTCTATTCGGAGACAACAATTTGGCACATACATTATATGGTTAGCTTCTGACAGCTTCTTCAATGCTTTCGTGGCTTCTCCACGATTGAAACGACCCCCGTCCCGGTTTCCAATTTTGGCGTTCACAGCATCAACAACAGCTTCGAGGGGGGCGGAGTCATCCTCGAACAAGTTCGTGCCAAGGAGTTGTCCCAATGCCGTTCTAAATGTGGCTAACCGTGCAGGAGTAATTGGCTCTTCATCGTCATTGAGAGCGAGGTTGGATGCACCATCGACAAGTTGCTCGTCGTCCTGCGATCGTTCAGCAGCATGGGTTCCCGACGATGGTAGCTGAGAGGCAGGCATGGATGAAGCAAACGAAGTCTGAGACTGAGAATCCACATTTCCTGACCTCGTGCTCCTCGTAGATCGCCGTGGTGTGTTTTGGCTGGAGATCACTCTGGGGTCCGTGGCGTCAACATCCGTTTCCACTTGATCAGCTTCGCCGACACCGTTGGTAGCTGTAGATGAAGCAGGTCCAGACTGCGAGCGTGTCGTGGCTCGGGTTGTCTGGGTTGACTGCCTAGCGCTGCGATTTGAACGGACCGGCTCGTTTTCACCCTCCTCGGCATCGGAGTTCTCATCGCTGGAGGAGGCAAAATCAACTGTGGCCTGTGTCCGTCTTCGCTTTTTACGTGAGTCCTCTACCACTTCCTTGAATAAGGCAAATCGGAGGATGCCCTCTGCAGCCAAAGCATCCCTTTCCTCCACCCTGTTAGATAATCGCGATTTCGCGTGAGCAGTAGCTAAACGAATTATCGTCTCCAAGGTTCTGACTGTCAAGGGGCTTGTTCGTCTTTGATTTCCCTCCATCTCATCGTTGCGTAGACCGACATATATTTCGGCGATTCTTTCCGAAGCCTCTTGTGTTAGAACCGGCTTAATTCGAGTTTTGGCATACTGTATGTACTTCTTCATAAAGGGCATAGTCAAAACTTCTGTCTTTTTCTGCGAGCCTCGACCCGAGGTCACAGTGACACCCGCATGAAGCATTTCATTGTATTTCTCATACATTTCCGTTGGGCCCTGAGCTTCGGATTGAAGATTCATTGACACACCCAAGGACTGAGAGCCCTGATCTCGCACCGGTGCGCCTTCTTCAGAACCAGCTACACGGTATTGGTGCATACGAAGCACATGCTCTGAGACCTTGCGGTCCCGTGTGTCCTCAATGTCGTCTGTGACAACGAACAGAAGATCGAAACGAGACAAAAGAGAGTCTGGTAACGCAATGTTCTTATGGGGGTCTTTGTGAGGGTCATACTGGCCAAAGATGGGATTTGCGGCTGCAACTACACTGCACCGGGCGTTGAGAGAGGTGTGTATGCCAGCCTTAGCGATTGTCACAGTTTGCTGTTCCATTACTTCGTGGATGGCAACGCGGTCAATATCAGACATCTTGTCAAATTCGTCAATGCACACGACACCACGGTCTGCCATGACCATCGCACCCGCTTCAAGTCGCCTCTCACCAGTCTCCTTATCAGTAGTTACGGCAGCCGTTAAACCGACACCAGACGAACCGCGGCCTGTAGTGGCAATAGCAAGCGGGGCAGTATTGAGAACAAACCTCAAAAGTTGACTCTTGGCTGTGGATGGATCGCCAACCATCAATATGTTGATGTCACCACGTAAGTGTGTCCCGTTTTCGAGATTCTTCTCCATGCCGCCCAACAGCATGAGTAAAATGGCCTTTTTGATGTAGTCATGGCCATAAATACTGGGTGCCAAAGACTGCGATAATAGCTCGAGAAGATTTTTCTTCTTTGACACCTTGTTGATGTTTCGAATGTCGGTGTCGGTAATGGTGGCAGTGGCAACCCCGCCGCCAGACTTGGAAGACAGAAGGACAACATTGTTTGCCAATATAACAGTCTTGAACAGGGCGCTATTGTGGTTGGTGTTTCTATTTCCGAGAGTTCGGTAAATTCCCACAAGCTGGATCCTGTCACCTGGCTTGACACTGTCAACCAAGTCGTCGTCAAGAATGACATCTACTCCTCGAGGAAGCTGACCGGCGGGTGCGCGCTCGGGCATTTCCTGGATCGAGATAGTTTGGTGATCTTGGTATGTACAGAGGCCGTATTCGGTGATAAGGGGGTTCCCGTTCGCATCCTCTCGAGGGTAGACACTTGAGGTTGTCGCACCATTGGTCATGGTCTGGTCTGAGTAAGTTTGAGTGACTAGCACATCTTTGTTCTCATTGTAATGTACGCTCTTGACGATCTTTGGGCGGATTAATGAACATCGAGTGACAATGCCCTCTAGAGATACCATATAGTTGAGGTGTTGGGATGAAAGTGTGCGCGGGTTGCAAGCGTGAAGGCCGAAGCTTCCTGCCCAGGCGCAGTAGTAAGGTTGGTGTTCACGATTTTTCGGACCTGAACGAGGTTGGATGGTATCCACAATGCTCTTGAGCGCTTCATTGAATGCCAAGGTGTAGTCGAATGGTTGTGTCAAGATGCCCTGGGCAAGCTCGGGATTATGGTTCCGCACATGGTCGAGGTTGACTGTCAAGCGACGTAGATTTTTCTGAAGCATCAAGATGATGTTGGATCGATAACTACGGGCATGAGCATCGCCTGAGAAGTCTCAAATTAGTCCGTCGGTCGAAAAAACTAGGAGCGAAGGACACAAATATGCTGCCCCTCTCTTTGGAGGTTGAGGGTCGTACCTGGGTCGAGAAACTCCTGAGCAAGACGGATGCGGTCTCTCGCCCCTTGGTCTAAAGGGTTACTTGAATCTATGTCCGCCATGGCAGGGCCCTGATTGATGGTGGTTTCTTTTGCGTCGCGAATTGGCAATCTCACTGAATGGCTAAGATGCGGAAGTTGAAAATAGGTGGCGGTTTCCGATATTCGTCTGCTCCAAGGCCAAGGGTGTGAGTGAGGTGGGCGGGGGAGGTCCGGGATTTTCGACGCGTAACGCGTTCGCGTTCTGGCGTCACGCGTAAAGTGGCAGAGATATGTCTTATCGATAAGCTACGACAGCTTCCAGCGACCATCGTTACTATTTTCACCTTTACACCCATTCTCCCTACCAGATGCACTTCTACCAAGCTCCGCAACGATTGGATAATACGTTCTTAGTAGAAGTGCTGAAACTTCAGAGGTTGTGGCTTGGTAAGCGGCTGAGAAACAGCCTGGCGCACCAAACAACCTACCGTGGAAAGTCATAGTATTATTTAATTAGGACAAGTAACCACCGAAGTAAGTAGAGAAAACCCCGGTTTGTGGCTACATAAGCTATTAGTATGAATGGGTAAATTTAGTGATAATATTTCTCCATAGGATGGTCCCTGTGTGCAGTTTGGGACAGAGTTGGATAGGTAGAGGCACGTCTCTAGGTATGCTTATAACGGGGAGGTAGCACCTGTGGTAGGTACCTCAACTGACGGTGAGAGGTATAAGTGGGCACCTTGTTCCCCAGGGACTTCGAGGCCATCTGTGCCCCACCCACTCATTGAAGCTCACCTAGCCACGGAGGCGCCTCAGGCGATCTAGCCACCTTCTCATCAACGACGGTAGTTCGAAGGAGCGCGCCAACGCCGCTCTGCCTACGCTTGGCTCGCATCAGACGACTTGGTCACAGCTCTCCTTCCACGCGACCTCCTCCTTATTGCTCACTAGTGCCGTCATTCTTCTGCTTCGCCATGGCCATCGGGCAAGTCGTCAAGGGCCCTGCCATCGACGAGGAAGCTCGGGCAGAGGTCGACGTGCTTAATTCCCATCTAGAGAAGACGACGCAACTGACTAAGAAGATTCAAGCAAGTTTGGGTCGCTTAGAGACATCTGGCCAGAGCGTGCGTGACGTTGCTGGGCCATTGAATGGTGAAACCAGAAGGATCCAGACTCTTGGCCACAGTAAGTTCGCCATGCTAGAACAGTTGAATTATACTAAACAAAGCTGATTTCCTTAGATATCGATTCGATACTTTCAGCCATCGATCGGCTTCGTCAGCCAGCCGATAGTAAAGGCGATGAAGAACAAACAATCCGGTCTGGCCCAGACAGGGCTGGGCTACCGAATTTCTTAGCATCCATGAAACGACTCAACAAATCATACAACGACATGCAGATATCTAATCTTCGTGCCAACCAGCGCACTATGGCCGATCTAGGACGGCTTATCCAATCCGGTAACAGTCAACTCGAAGGCTATTTTGATCACTTGCTCCGTTCCGATACACCTCGTACCGTTGAGCCCCTTCACTACATTACGAAAGACAAACCTTTCCCTGTCTTTTCACAGGACATGATCGCCCGCCTTGGCCTTGTGTGCTCCTACATTTTGGCCAATCAACACGGAAATGACATTGAATCTCCTGTCACGAGGATTTACGCCGAAATTCGTGGACCATACATCTCGGCATCGTTGGCCAACTTAGCAGCAGCTAGTGTGAATACAGCGAAGAAGAAGAACGCGAGCGCTGTTTACCGGGCAGGAACAAATGGAATCGGTACATACGCGCAAGCAATGGAGGGCATGTTTGTTTCCGAATATGACAACATATGCAGCATCTTTCCTCGGAACAACTGGGCCTCAATCTTCCAGGTTACCTGCCAGGCAGCTTTAAATGAGCTAGCAAGGACTCTACGCGAGCTTAACTCTCATATCAAGGCCCATCTCGCAACAGACTGCAACCTTGCCTACGAGATAACAGAGATACTTGGTGGCTTGACTGACCGGCTTGAGGCTCGGACCGGGGAGCTGAAGAGTTCCTTGACAGCTTCATTGAAACCGGTACGGGAAACAGCAAAGTCCTCGTTGTCGGAATTAATGGATGAAACGAGACGAAAGGTCAATGCTTTACAGACATTGCCCTCTGATGGTGCACCAACTCCTATCGTCTCGGAATCCATGCGACGTTTGCAATCGATGGTGGAGTTCCTGCAACCAATATCAAGTATCATGGTATCGCTCGGCGATGGTGGTTGGAAGTCGGGAGCCAGTGCAGGTAGTCGAGCCGGAGACGGCGTTCCCAGTCTTGCGTCATTTGATTTTGCTGCGGACGGGAAGGACATATTTGCCCACTATTGTCTCGATACAGTCGATGTGCTGCTATCTACTCTTGAACAGAAGGCACGAATCCTCCTCAAGGGGAAATCGGTAGTCGGTGTCTTCCTTGCCAATAGTGTCATCATCATTGAGCGTATGATTATGGACTCTGACCTGTCGTCCTTGCTCTCTGCTCGGCTTGACCAGCTCGACCAATGGCGGAAAAAATCAACGGCACTGTACACAGATATTTGCAAAGACTTGTCGATACACTTGTTTGACACTATACATACAAATCGCACTCATAGACCGACATCCGGGCCTTCCGACTCAGCGTCAGTTGTGAAGGGCCTGAGCAGCAAGGACAAGGACAAAATCAAAGAAAAATTCACACAGTTTAATAATGCGTTTGAGGATATGGTTTCTCGCCATAAATCATACAGCATGGAGCGTGAGGTTCGTGCCATGTTTGGGGAAGACATCCGCCAGAAACTGCAGCCACTCTATGAGCGATTTTGGGACCGGTATCATGAGATCGACAAGGGCAAGGGCAAGTATGTCAAGTACGATAAGTCATCTATGGCAGCCGTCTTCCTTAGCCTGGCATCTTAAAATGCCAGTGGGACTGCTTCGCAGAATAGTCCAACAGAAAACCAGTACTCATTCAATTTGAGATGGGGTATGGTTCAAATTTGGTGGGCATCCTCGATTGAGCCAGTTAGTCTGGCCCGATAAATGCAAGTATGCCCAGCTAACAATATTCACCACCAATTCTTGCCAGCGGAGAAAAGGCATCCACCTCCAATTCGTTCTCATGTTGGCGGATTATCGCATACGGGGATCGTTTCGCAGCCCTCACCCCAACGCGGATCTCCAGAAAGAACTTCATGTTATGGGTAAACGAAGGCGCCAGACACAGTCCGGAACTCCCTTGACCGGCAAGGAGATCATTGCTGAGAGCAACAAAACGCCGATGGTCCATTCCCACCACTATGACTTGTTCGAGGAGCACTTGTAGCATGTCCCACAATAGTCATGCGTCCCAAGATCGCTGGCCTTGCAGCAGCTAATACAGCAGCCATCAACTGGTGTCTGGATTTCCTGAGCGGCCATCGTTCTGTGAAATCGGTCCGAAGAAAACAATTGTGCAGGACTCTCGTTTGTTAAAACGTTTTGGTAGTGCACCCGTTGTGTTGCAGTCGCTGGCTGAATGGAAAGGAAGCAATGTCGCGGCAAAAACTAGTTTGTATATCCTGGGTCTGCTGGTCTTCGCGAATTTGTATGTATGTTAAAGGTATATCAAGGATGTGCCTACTTATAGCATGGGATACATGGGGCTTTGGTGGTATTTATAGAAGATGTCATCTGATCGCCAGCTACCTGAGACACTTCATAACACCTGCCACAAGCACATGTTAACCAGTTACCAATATGATACAGCAGGCGTGTCAAGATAAGATGGTGTTATAGGTAAATAACTAATTAAGAAAGAATCCTACTGATAGTATATAAGGAAGTAGAATATAAATAGTAAATAGTTTATCTAGAAATAGCTTTTTTTTTTTTTATTAGTTTTACTATAAATAAAAATATATTCTAAAATTAGATATTATATAACTAGATTATATAATTTTTCTAAAAATATAATTAGTAATCTATATTTAAATTTTTAATTCTATAAAATAAAATTAAAATTAAATATTTTTAGTTTAGATATAAATATTAATATTATAAAAACTCTAATAATAGAAGTTATATATTAGAGATATATAACTAACTATAGCTCCTAAGGGGAAAAGCTTATTATCTAATAATAGTAATTATTTTTTCTTAGCTTTATTAATTAATTAATTAAATTATATTTTATTTTAATTAATTAATTAATTAATTATATTTTATCTTAATTAATTAATTATATTATATTATTAATACTAACTATAGATATTTTAAATATCTATAGTATATTATTTTCTATAATTATCTCTATTTATAAAGCTTTAATTATTATAAATAAAATAAATTTTAATAAGATAATAGAGATTATAAAAATATATATATATATAGTTTTTAATTAAATATATTTAATATATATCTTTCTAAATAATTAAAAGTTTATTTATTATTTTCTAAATAATAAAAACTAAAATAATAAAAAATATAATTTATTAATTTATTTTATTCTATTAGTATTATATAATAGATTAGAAATATTATTAATAATTTTATAGTTCTTTAAATTAAGAATATATAGTTTATTTATTAATTTATTATTTTATTAATTTACTTTAAAATAGATTTTTATTAATTTATTTCTTAATATTAATATAATATCTTAGTTTTACTATATATTATATTTAATAATTAGTTTATAAAAGATTTTTATTATTTTATAGTTTTCTATATTATAATATATATTCTTAAATATAAATTCTTTCTAATTAAATATTTATAATATCTCTAGAGATTAATATAATTTAAGAAAATTATTTAATAGTTTAAAACTATATTCTAATAGAGATTTATTTATATTCTAATATTTAGTATCTTTAATAAAAATAATATTTACTTATTTAATTAACTAATTATTATTATTTTTATTTAAGTTTATTCTAATAGAAATAATATATATAGTTTTATTAAATTTAATTATCTATAGTTAATTAGCTTATATCTAGATAATAAAATTAATATTATTATTTTATAAAAAGCTAGTTTAGTATTATTAAAAAGAACTATATATAGATAAATAGATATAAAATTAAAATATATCTCTATATAGATCTTAGGAACTTTATTATAGTAAATATATACTATATTTATAGAGATAAATTAATATTAACTTCTAGATAATTACTTTTTCTATCTAATAATAAAATTTTATTTAATATTAAATTTAATTAATTCTAAATTTAAACTCTAATTAAAATTAATAAAATAAAATAAATAAAAAATTAATTAAATAATAAAAACTATCTCTCTATAAATTATCTTAATATAATATATAATATATTAAAACTAAAAATAATATATTAGATTAAAATATATATATATAATAGAATAGTTATTAATAAGATATAATTATAATTCTTAATCTAACTAATTCTTATTCCTAATAAGTATATTATTAATATTTAATAGCTAGTTATTATAATATAGAGATAGTTTAAATAAATATAATTACTAGATCTATTATATTATAAATAGCTATATTATTATAAGAAACTCTTTAATTAATTAAAAGCTTAAAAACTTAATATATTTAAAATATAGCTCTTTTAATTATTAATTAATAATAATTATTATTTTTTAAAGAACTAGATTATTTATATTAATTTAGCTTTTTTTAATAAGAATTAATATATTAATTATATTTATTTTATTATTATAATTATTACTTATAATAGTTATTAGTAATAAGATAATTATAATTAAGATAAGATATAATTAATTAATTAAGATAAGTATAGAAGAATAGTTATTATTAATAAATAATAAGTTTTCCCTTTTAGAGATTATAATTATAATTAGATTTATATATCTAGCTATATAAATAACTCTTATTATTAGAGTTTTTAAGATATTAATATCTATACTTAGAATAAAAGTATATTTATTTTAATTTTTATTCTATAGAAAGTTTAGATATAAACTATTAATTTTATATATAAAAAAAAACCCTATATAATAAACCTAATTATATATTATATCTAATCTTAAAATAATCTTATTTATAATTAAAAAAAAATAAAAATAAAATAAAAATAAAAAACTAGAAATTATTTTTAATTTTATATTATAAAAAATTATTATTAGTTTAATTAAATTATTTATTATTATAATAAAATTATATTATATAAAACTATTATTATAATTATTTCTATATAATTAGATATTATTATTAATAATTTATTAATAAATATTTTAAGCTTTTTAATAAATATATAAAAAGCTTTTTTAGATTTTAAAATAAATAAATAATTTATAATTTTTTTTTAAGATTTTTACTATATATAAAAAATATTCTAAGATTAGATTATATATAATTAGATCTATATAATTTATTTTTAATTAAATTTTAATCTATATTTAATCTTTAATTCTATTTTTTTTATTTTTTTATTTATATAAGCTAAAATAAAATAATAATTTCTTTAAAAACTCTAAAAAGAGCTTATTAAATATATAATTTAATTATAGATTCTAAAGAGAAATACTTATTATTTATAATTAATTATAATATCTTTCTAAGCTTATTATTACTAATTACTAATTATCTCTTTTTATAATAATAATAAATATCTCTAATATTATTATTTTCTATAATTAGAATCTAATTATTATAAATAACTAGATTTTTAATTATATAATAATAATAATTAGTAAGAATTCTTATATTCTTATTAATAATATAAAATAATTAAATTTATATTTTATTATTAAATTTCTTATAATTATAAAGTTATTTTTAATTATATAGATCTAATAATTATAACTACTAAGTTTAATATTATATTATAAAGTCTATAAGAAGTAAATAATAGATCTTATTTTATATAAAATACTTAAGAAGAAAAAGCTAAATAATAATCTTTAAATACTTAATAATTATAATAATCTAAGATATAGCTTCTAGTTCTAATATATTATATATTATATAGAATTAATCTAAATAGAGATAGCTTTTAAAGTCTAAATTAATAAAAATTATTTATATTTAAATAAACTTTATATAAAAGAAAATTAAATTAAATTAAATTATTAAAAAATTTATTAGAGTAAAAAGTTAAATTAAATAAAATTAATAAAATAATATTTAAAATATAGTAAGTTAATTAATTATTATAATAGAATATTAATAAAGAAAATATAATAATTAATTATAAAGTTACTATATACTAATTAAAATACTAAATATAGTTTTATATAATATTAATTTATAATTATTTTAATTTTAATAAGTTATTATATAGTATAACTAAGTATATATAAATAGATATTAAATTAATATTAAATCTATTTTTTTTTTTTAATTATAAATAAGATTATTCTAAGATTAAATATAATATATAATTAGATTTATTATATAGGGTTTTTTTTATATATAAAATTAGTAGTTTATATCTAGATTTTCTATAGAATAAAGATTAAAATAAATATACTTTTATTTTAGATATAGATATTAATACTTTAAAAACTCTAATAATAGAAGCTATTTATATAGCTAGATATATAAATCTAATTATAATTATAATTCCTAAGAGGGGAAACTTATTATTTATTAATAATAACTATTCTTTTATACTTATCTTAATTAATTAATTATATCTAGTAAGTATTATTATATTAGCTAGAATATAAAATAAAATATACTTTATTAGTTCTAGAAGAGATATCTTATTTTAATTATAATTATTTTCTTATAAATATTTATTACTAATAACTACTATAAGTAATAATTATAATAATAAAATAAATATAACTAATATATTAATTCTTATTAAAGAAAACTAAATTAATATAAATAATCTAGTCTTTTAAAGAATAATAATAATTATTAATTAGTAATTAAAAGAGCTATATTAAATATATTAAGTTTTTAAGCTTCTAATTAA